GTAAGAATGTAAACCTTGCAAAGGCCGCAAGCGAGCTGTTACCCTTGTTGCTCTCGCTTTACCCTTTTTTCTCTGTTTTCACTTCGTAGCGAGTTTATAAAGGCCGAACGCCACCGTTGTCTGGTAAATCTGCCCCTCGAAAACTATTATTGGTAAAAAAAAAATATACTATACCGCACGGTTGATATCATGATAACGAATTAAAGAACAGGCAGGACACTGTGAAGCGTAAGAATTTTTCCTGATGTCGATCGATCCCTTCGCGTGTGTGCAACACGGATATTACGCAAGGAGAAAAAGCATGTGTGCACTGTAATCTTTTACCCTTATCGCGTATTACCCCCTGTCCTCTGTTGCGCTATACCGTCGTGGAAAACCACAGAAGCGAGTGTCTCTTGTAATTCATGCCGCATAAAATTACTTATCGCGAAAGCTTTCGCTCTCAAAAGTTGTTTACCCGATTGCATTTTCTTACGCCCATAAACAGCGTCGCGGGGTGAACAAAGTTGTGTCTACGAACGGTAGTATTCCTGATCTCTCGAGAATTCTCAAGAAATTGCCAAGTACTTGGTACTTGAAATGTTGTTTAAAGAAACTTATTAGAAAATTATTAGAGTCTTATGTTTTGCAGAAGAGTGCGTCGCGTATCAGCAACACTAGAATTTTCATCTTTGCTGTACGCAATGCTAGATTCTATCTATTCGTACTTAACTACGTGTTCGTGTATCAGTTAGCTCATCTGCCCACCTCTCTGTGTTACACGGCCTCCGCCACCTCCTCTTCTTCCAAGGTAAATTGCAAAGGCCGAGGGTGGATGTTTCGCGCTATTTATAATGTTTACAGTGGCGGACGCATTCGACGAAGAGGCAGCTATTTTGTGTTATTTACCGGTTATATGCTTAATTACAGGTTACAGAGTCGCTTATAGGCGCGGTAATAGACCGGCAATCAGTGGTTACTGAAAATCGACCTATTCGACGAAGATGTATAGTTGGAACCAAGGCTAGACCGACGAATTATAGACGAGCGTGATAGAAAACAATACTGCAATAAACTCGCGTCATTCGTTTAACGAACGAACCTTTTACGCGTACTTTTTATTGTTCGACAGAGGATGCCTCGTTATCGATATTGTTCGTACTGGCCTTGCACTATTTCACCGTTGATTACTCGAATACGGTAATGGTCCATTATACTTATCGCGTTAACCGTCGAACGAATTACACCGAATCAAATTAATATTTGGACATTCGAGATTTTAATTGGGGATTCTAGAGGTCAAAATAAGACGAAAATCAAGAATACCAATTTGTTGATGGAGGCTTCGTTAAAAAATTATTAACAATCAAATTCAACAATTTCAAATCGTTCTGAAAAAATTATTTTCGGTTGCGGGGGTCAATTACAATAATTTTTGGTCAATACACATACCTCCGAAATCCTATCCACTTTCGAGAAAAAAATTCGAGTAGGTATTGAAATTTTTAGTCGAAATTAAATATCTCTAATCATACTAAAAAAATTATATTTAGTTACAGGGGACAATTACAAGCATTTTTGGTGAATAGACATACCTCCGAAATCCTATCCACTTTCGAGAGAAAAAAATCGTGTAAATGCTGAAATTTTTCGGCGAAAAAAAAATTTTCAAATCATTTAAAAAAAATTATTTTCGGTTGCGGGGGTCAATTACAATCATTTTTGGTGAATACACATATCCCCGAAATCCTACCCATTCTCTAGAAAAAAATTCGAGAAGGTGTGAAATTTTTAGACGAAATTGAAAAATTTCAAATCATACTAAAAAAATTATATTTAGTTACAGGGGTCAATTACAAACATTTTTTGTGAATAGACATATCCCTGAATTCCTACCCACTTTTGCGAAAAAAATTCGAGAAGGTGTGAAATTTTTAGACGAAATTGAAAAATTTCAAATCATACTAAAAAAATTATATTTAGTTACAGGGATCAATTACAAGCATTTTTTGTGAATAGACATTTCTCTGAATTCCTAACGACTTTTGCGAAAAAAATTCAAGTAGGTATTGAAATTTTTAGACGAAATTAAATATTTCTAATCATACTAAAAAAATTATATTTAGTTACAGGGATCAATTACAAGCATTTTTTGTGAATAGACATTTCTCTGAATTCCTAACGACTTTTGCGAAAAAAATTCAAGTAGGTATTGAAATTTTTAGACGAAATTAAATATTTCTAATCATACTAAAAAAATTATATTTAGTTACAGGGATCAATTACAAGCATTTTTGGTGAACAGACATACCTCCGAAATCCTGCGCATTTTCGAGAAAAAAAATCAGTACGGTTGGAACTTTAAACGTTAATAACTTTTTAACAAAGCCTCCATCGACAAATTGGTATTCTTGATTTTCGTCTTATTTTGGCCTAACAGAATCCCCCATTAAAATTTTTCCCAGGGTTGACCGTACACCCTGTATGTATTTTGAATCATTGTGTACCGCGAATGATTGTAGACGCACTTTAAACAACGTCGACAGCTCCGTGCGATGTGGAAGCGACAACACGCGTGGGTATCCCGCTGCATCTTCGAATTTATTCGTGCCAGAGTCGGGACGCATTAAAAATACGTGCAACGTTGATTGATATTGCACACGTTAGTGGAATTATATCGTCCGATCGGATATTTTAACCACAAAACCATGAGATGGCGTATCGTTTCCCTGAAATACGGTGTAACCAGACTGAAAGTTATCGATCAATAACACCACTACATTATATTCGATATGCTCAGACTCCAGCCAAAGCGTATTAAGAGTCGAGGTTTCATACGTCCGGCTCTGGTTATAAAAGCAGCGAGACGTATACATAACGTAATAAAAGCCTGAAAATTCGTTTGTTTAATCTCGAATGATTCCTGGTACCTTTATTCGAACGATATACCGAAATAATATCGGTATCTCTTTCGTTGTTACATCGGTTTCGGTTTAGCTTTGTACGAAGTCCCTGAACAAAAGTCCTCAGTCGTATACGCTTGTTCTACGATCGTCAACATCCTTTTGGGAACAAAAAGATATCCCGGTGAACGAAAAGAGTTTGTTTCCGTCTCTTTCGTCTGGCGGAATCACGGTTAGTTTGTAATTGCTTCGCGTCACTGTCGTTACGTTTTACCCGCGCGCACCGTGCGTGCATTTGTGATACAGTGTACGTGTGTTTGCGTGCACAATGCATCCGTCATGGAATACATGTCTGCAAGTACCTATCTCAGTCGTTATCAACAAAAAGCTGCTTCGAGTAAATACAACTTAGGTATGCGAAAATAAAGAATTCAACCTTTGAAGTGACCCCAGGAAGACTATTGTAAGACTTCCTTTCAGAAAGTTAAACTAGTTCAAAGATTGATAACATTTTGGCTAATAATAAGTGTCCCCATTGAATTCCTCGGCATTATGGGGGGAAATAGGGAATGCAATATGATCTCATACAGCAGCTTCCTGCATTCTTGTACAATACTACTATTTAGCAGCGAATCGATTACACTCGCGCATATTTTTCGAGAGAATTTGTCATTGTTGTTTTTACAACTTGGTTTCCTGTAATGAATTAATCATCGTGCCATAGCGTGACTAATTATGCATCGCGCGGATGCCTGTTAATCGATACACGCCAGTCGCTTTCATTTCTCGTTATTTGGTCGCAGTTCGAAGACCCGATAAAGATCGAACCCGAGAAGCGGGATTCGGACATTTTACAGTTAAAGGAAATTTTCTCGAACTTCATGCACTTGAATTGTTAATACATTATGCGAAAAACATTTTCTTTCGATTCGTTTATACATACAGGGTGTTCGGCCACCCCTGGGAAAAATTTTAATGGGAGATTCTAGAGGCCAAAATAAGTCGAAAATCAAGAATACCAATTTGTTGACTGAGGCTTCGTTAAAAAGTTATTAACAATTACATTCAAAAATTTCAAATCGTTCTGGAAAAATTAGTTTCGGTTGCGGGGGTCAATTACAATCATTTTTGGTGAACAGACATACCTCCGAAATCCTATCCACTTTCGAGAAAAAAAATCGCGTAAATGCTGAAATTTTTCGGCGAAAAAAAAATTTTCAAATCGTTTAAAAAAAATTATTTTCGGTTGCGGGGGTCAATTACAATCATTTTTTGTGAACAGACATACCCTTGAAATCCTACCCACTTTCTAGAAAAAAATTCGCGAAGGTGTGAAATTTTACGACGAAAAAAAAAATTTCAAATCGTTCTGGAAAAATTAGTTTCGGTTGCGGGGGTCAATTACAATCATTTTTGGTGAATAGACATACCTCCGAAATCCTATCCACTTTCGAGAAAAAAAATCGGTTAGGTGCTGAAATTTTTCGGCGAGATTTAAAAATTTCAAATCATACTGAAAAAATTATATTTAGTTACAGGGGTCAATTACAAGCATTTTTTATGAATTGACATATCTCTGAATTCCTACCCACTTTTGCGAAAAAAATTCGAGTAGGTATTTAAATTTTTAGGCAAAATTAAAAAATTTCAAATCATACTAAAAAAATTATATTTAGTTACAGGGATAAATTACAAGCATTTTTTGTGAATAGACATATCTCTGAGTTCCTACCCACCTTTGAGAAAAAAAATCGGGTAAATGCTGAAATTTTTCGGCGAAAAAAAAATTTTCAAATCGTTTTAAAAAAATTATTTTCTGTTGCGGGGGTCAATTACAATCATTTTTGGTCATTACACGTACCCCCGAAATCCTGCGCATTTTCGAGAAAAAAAATCAGTACGGTTGGAATTTTAAACGTTAATAACTTTTTAACAAAGCCTCCATCAACAAATTGGTATTGTTGATTTTCGTCGTATTTTGGCCTCTAGAATCTTCCATTAAAATTTTTCCCAGGGTTGGCCGAACACCCTGTATAACATCGCCTTTTAGGTATTTCGCTCAATTGTTCAATGGAGACCTGAATATAACCATCGCGTATTCTATTCACTTTATTACAGATATACCAGACATTCCTGAGAACATCAAGAATTTACGAGCACTTCAGGTGGCGGACTTCAGTAGCAATCCAATTCCAAGGTTGATCAATTATTTTTATTTCTGGTTGGACGGTGTATTAAAACGCTGTTGCCTCGGTCGGGAAAGGAAATGAACATTTTTCGATAATCTTTTTTCAGACTCCCGGCTGGTTTCGTGCAGTTAAGGAATCTGACTGTTCTAGGACTGAATGATATGTCCCTTACAAATTTACCACCCGATTTTGGAAGGTGATGATATAAAAATTCGCGATAATCACGTTCTAATTGTTCGATCGAATCGTATTGCCTCGGCATTGACAACTTTATTCTGATTATTCTCAGCTTGGAGGCGTTACAATCACTGGAATTGAGAGAAAACTTGCTCAAGTCTTTGCCTGAGTCACTTTCTCAACTTTACAAATTAGAGCGGCTGGATCTAGGCGACAATGACATTGAAGTATTGGTACGAAAGGATTGAAAAGATCGTCGTAAAAATTTTAAAGCGAACGGAATACAATTAATTGGAATTGAACCGAACTGTTCGTTAAATGTCTTCGTGTTTCTATTTCAGCCTCCGCATATAGGACAATTGCCAGCGTTACAAGAGTTATGGCTAGATCATAACCAGTTACAACATTTACCGCCGGAAATCGGAGAATTGAAAACGTTAGCATGCTTGGACGTATCTGAGAATCGTCTGGAGGATCTTCCGGAAGAAATCGGTGGTCTAGTTTTATTAACGGATTTACATTTATCGCAAAATGTTATTGAAAAATTACCCGATGGACTCGGGGAACTAAAGAAACTCACCATTCTGAAAATCGACCAAAATAGGCTTTCTACTTTAAATTCAAATATAGGCAGGTGAGATTCGAGTTATTCTTTCGTTTCTAAGGGCGTTAATAATACACGAACGAGTCTGAAGTTAACGCGCCATTTTCTTCCGCAGATGTGAAAATTTACAAGAACTAATTCTTACGGAAAATTTTCTCTTAGAACTGCCTGCAACTATAGGAAAACTTCTTAATCTAAACAATTTAAATGTGGATAGGAATAGTTTGCAATCACTACCTGTTGAAATTGGTATGAAAAATTTATTAGAAATTAACCGTTTTGCAGATAAAATTCATCGTTATAATAAAGACAAAATTCGGTGCTAAGTTATTATTCCAAAATAAAAAGGTGAATATAATCTGCAAAAGGGTTAATTTATAGAGCAAAGTCTATATGTTATTGATAATAAGAATGATTTTTGTTAAACATACTATTGTTGTACGTTAGGTAATTTGAAGAAATTGGGGGTACTGTCTTTAAGAGATAATAAGTTGCAATATCTTCCAATCGAAGTTGGACAGTGTACCACTCTTCATGTTCTGGACGTGTCGGGTAACAGGTGCGTAACTATTATCGTAATAATAATATTTCCAATAACACTATTCGTCTTTCAGATTGCAATATTTGCCATATTCCTTGATTAATTTGAATTTAAAGGCAGTATGGTTAAGTGAAAATCAAGCACAGCCAATGCTTACTTTCCAAACGGATGTTGATGAGGAAACCGAGCAAGAGGTATTAACGTGCTTCCTGTTACCGCAGTTAGAATCCCATCCTGATGGTTAGTATATTAATTTCTTATGGTTCTAATTAAATACATTCGATAGCCGATATCTAACGTAATTTTTGTTTAGATTCAGGTAGGGTTGGTATGCTGGTCGGTATAGGAAATGCTATTCAGAGTGGTGAAATACGCGAGCTTGGTAGCAGCGATGACGAAGGCTGGCAAGAAAAAGAAGCATCGCGAACGCATTCAGTAAAATTTACGGACGAACCTCCAGAAACTGATAAGGAGGTGAGCCTGCTGTACATAAAAAATTCCGTTAGATCCTTTAGATCTAGGTTTATGACGCTATTGCGGAGATATTTTATATGTTGGAAACGCTCCTATTCTTACGATTCATTGTATGAGAATTATATTAACTGAAAACTAAACAAAAACGTTTTTCTTTTCCTTACCACTTCGCATTACTTAAATGAGTACATACGTGAGACTATTATATTTATTTCAGACACCGTTTGTACGTCAAAATACACCGCACCCGAAAGAATTGAAAGCTAAAGCTCATAAATTATTTAGTAAAGGGAAGAGTGACAGCCGGTCAGCATCTACGGACGAGCAGGTAATTGTTAGCTTAAAATTCTTACGTTAAAACGTTCTTTTTAAAGATATATAAATTTATTACATTTTTTTTTCATTTGGGGAAACTATATTCTTTCAGGATGTTTCTCAAACATTCGGTTTGGATAAAACGGAAACTGACTCATTGACAAAGCCGAACAATTTGGAACCAGCTGCGACAGACGAGGCACTAGCAAACGATAAACTTGTAGAAAATGAAGAAAAACAAACTGTACCTGGAACATTAGTCGATAATACGGATCTTCAATGTAACAATGAATCTGAAATGTTTTCTAATCAGTATATTACAGAATTCAATCCTGTAAGTATTCGCACAAGTAAGCGTATAACAATTTATTTATTTATTTATTGACAATATAATTCTTATAGGATCTGGGAATTGATGGTTCAATATCCGAATCAAAGGATGGAAATGATAAGGGAGATGACGAATCTGAGAACGAGGAAACGCAAAGACACGTAGAATTTTCTATAGCAGAGGGTACTGATTACGAAGGTGGCGGCGATTCAAATAGACCCAATAGACTTCATCGTAGAGACACTCCACATCACTTAAAGAACAAACGTATCCATACAACTGTGGATAAGGATAAGGTAGCTTCCATTATTGCACAAGTAAGTTGATTACCGACCTAAAACACACATTTAAAATATCTGCTAAAGAGTAATGATAACGTTTATAATTAAGTAAAAGAAATCTTATAACATTTAATGTACACAGGCACTTATGAAGAAAAGTGATGAAACTGCTGCACCCACGTCGGCAACCACAGAACCTACAGACAATTTTGACACTCAGAGTCAAGGTAAAATAATCATAGCTGTATTATATTACTTAAAAAGATACTCGTCTCGTTTTATTTTATTAAATATCCTTGTGTTTATACTTGAGAATAGTAGCCAAGGGATTTTTCGAACGTGAAATTTTACAAAACACACATTAAATTTAGAGTAAAATTGTACTTCGCGTATTATAGCTTTTCATTTTAAGCTACGTTCCGTGATGAACGTTTTCAGACTTCTTAGTACGACTGCTCCTCGTAATCATTAACAGCAAACAGAAAGACCATGATAAGATATTTTTTTCCGTGAACTATCTTATCTGTTATCTGATTATCAATCTGCTATACTATTAGCGAATCTACTCGCAAGAAGTGAGCGTTATAAAATAGAAATGTTTAATTAAAAATACAAACAATACTGGGTATTATTTACGAAGGTTAAAAATGACTAGGAAATTCCGATGTTTTGTAAGAAAAATAAGAAATGGCGGTAAATCAGTAAAACATAACCACCTTACAACCTCCGCTTGTATGAAAATAACAAAGTTTACTTTTGTATAGGTGCAATATCTGATGCCGAACCAACGATAGAAATACGAGAGGAACAATATGAAATTCATATTGAGAGAACAACAGGTGGTCTTGGTTTATCAATAGCTGGTGGTATCGGTTCAACTCCATTCAAAGGCGACGATGAAGGCATTTTTATTTCGAGAGTTACCGAAGGTAAAACCATTAAATTCTTATGGATTTAAAAAAATTCAATTTTTGCATAATTATGGAAAGTAAAATGTTATTTAGTCTGTTTAGCTGTCTTATAAAATAATTATTGTTATAATTTGTAGGCGGGCCTGCTGATTTGGCAGGTTTAAAAGTAGAGGATAAAGTACTGTCTGTAAACGGAGTTTCAGTAGTAAATGTAGGTCACTATGATGCTGTAGAAGTTCTAAAAGCATGTGGACGTGTTCTTGTACTAGTAGTTCAGAGAGAAGTTACAAGGATATTACCGCCATATGAACAGGTAGTGCATTATTACATGTATCTTTTTTATCATGTAATTAATATTATTTATGATATTTAAACAGATATCTTCAAGAAAAGACTCGGTATGCTCTAGTTTGAGTACAAGTAGAGCTCCAAGTGCGACGTCTCATGTTTCGTCTACAGGTTTATCGCATAATTTAGAAAATGGTGACGCTTCTTTACCTCATGAAACTATTAAGGTATATATAGTTTACTGTAAATAATTAAAAATTTTACACATGCATTATAAACCGAAAATACTGTTTAAAGTTATTCATTGGTATTGTTTAGACCAAAAATATCCCGGAACCTATAACTTCGGTGAAAGCAGGTAATGAACCAATGGTATCCGTTCTTGTTCATACAACGTTAATACGGGACCAAAATGGACTTGGATTTAGTATTGCCGGTGGAGAAGGTTCTCCGCCATTCAAGGACAATAGTGATGTAAGATATAAAATTATAAATGTTGTTTCTCTATACTTCTACGTTCTTGATTTTTCTTTCAGGCAATATACATTTCAAGAATAACTGACGGTGGTGTAGCACAGAAAGACGGTAAATTATTAGTTGGAGATAAAGTAATATCTGTAAGTATAATAAAAAAAAAAAATTAAACAGCTTTTAGATGGGAAAGTGGCTTATGGTCCACCATGAATTATATTTTATCGTCCTTTTTGTCTGAAATATTGTTATAATATTATTCTCCAGATTAACGGTGTCGAAATGAGAGGATCCAAACACGAGCAGGCAGTTGCTCTTCTAACAGGCTTAGAAAGATTCGTTCGATTAGTAGTCGAACGTGAAATTCCACTTTCGCAAGCAAACGCAGCAACGGTTGTAACACCTTCAGAAAAGTCACCTCGCGTCATTGGTGCACCCAAACCGTATACAGGATTATATAATGCCAATAGTTATATAGCAAACAGACCAGGATATACCGGTTATCGACGATCTATCGATGCCGACAGAGCTTTATCACCGAGTCCTACATCAAAGACGCCACCGCCTATGAAAATCGAAACCGCCGAGGTGCCGAAAATGAACGGTGTTACAGAATCTGGATATACTAAGAACGTTTCTTCAGTATCGCCGAGTCCAACAAATAGCCAACCTCATCCGCAGCCTGCACCGAGACATAGCATTTCGCAACCGACGATCGCGTTCGCGACAACTACAAGCTCGACACCTACTTCTTCTACAGAGCCTAGGTCAATCTCGCCCCAGGAGGACATACAGGTATCGAAGCCTATCACCAACGAAGAATTTCAGGCTATGATCCCCGCACATTTCCTTCGCCCTCCTACTTCCTCGCCGTCGCCAGATTCCCACCAAGGCCCTATCGTGACAGTGACAATAAAGCAGCCTGATAGCCTACCTGGAGATGTTAATTTTCCTCCGGCTCCCACCACACTTGGTAAAGTTACTGAGACCATCACAAAGAGCACTCTCACCGAGACCGTCGTAACTAGGGTGACCGACAACCAGTCGGTGCAGCCAGTGATTATTGAGGTATGTGCTTGGTAGTTAGATGCACGAATCATTATGTACATGCAGTTTATCGAAAGTAATTTTCCAAACAATTTGATAGAGACGATATTGTTTGACTCTGTTTTCGTAATTAAGCTAAAATATTTGTGACGGACAAAGTTTCGACAAAATGGTGCAACCGAATGAGATGGTCAAAAGTAGCCCTAAATCAAATTATATTCTCTGTCTTCTTCATCGACTGATGCATGATAAGTTTAATTTGGTTTAAGGGAACTTTTGACAAATATGTATTCTTGGTCCAAGCAATCAATTCTAGTCCATGTTATGCCTCTGTAATCTTCAATATTATTAAAATTACAATTACTTTGTCATTAACGAGGGAAAGTTTGCACTCATCAAATATTTTAAGCAATATTTAAACACTGATGGTCGTTATTTATTAACTTATTTCCATGCTTGGATGATAATCACAATGCTGGTAATATTGTTTAACGAAATTCCTACATTCGAATTTAGACAATAAAACGATACTAATACCACAATATTTTCGAAAACATATTCCATTGCAATCGATCGTTTATCTTAAATAACTTATAAAATAATGGTAAAATAGTCTCCTTTTTGCATGCTCAATAAAGAAACTAATATTTTTATAAACTGCGATCTTATATCATTTTATATGATACTGATATAATGAATGTTTTGATTAAAGTGATCGAGCAAAAATTTTGAAGGAAAGCGAATTAAAAATTGTTAAAGTCGTTTATATGTGTACTTAGTTTTGTTTCTATAAATTATACTATGTTTTATTGCATGCTTACATATCCTAAATTCGTTGCTGCCGTTTCGATATGTACTGGAAATATTTGTTAGAAATTTGGTTATATGGGATGTTATATTATTTGATACATTAGGTGCTTATCCCCTGGCATGGAAATAGGTAAGTAGTATAAACTAAGTACATTCTCCTCTTCTACGTTTTATAGGCTGAACCAATGTATGTGTAAATATAATGCATAACTTTATGATCTCAAATTATACATATTTACTTGTTTCACTTGTACTATAACTGAATGGCGGTAAAACATGTTCGATTTACCAATAATGAAGCATTAATTGTTTAGGATGTTGTCCTTGTAAAAGAAGGATCCTTAGGATTCAGTATCATTGGAGGTACAGATCATTCTTGCACCCCGTTTGGTGCAAAAGAACCTGGAATTTTTATATCTCATGTAAGTTTTACACCACTTTCGAACAATAAGTAGTTCATAAATGATCCTTTTTTTTATGTAATGCACATGTTCTATTTGGATATGTATCTTCTATCAAAAAATTATTGTATTGAAACTAGGTCGTGCCTGGTGGTATAGCTGCAAAATCTGGCAAATTAAGGATGGGTGACAGAATACTGAAAGTAAATGGTACAGATGTAACGAAAGCTACTCATCAAGAGGCTGTGATGGAACTTCTGCGACCAGGAGATCAAATTATGCTTACGGTTCAACATGATCCGTTGCCGGAAAATTATCAAGTAAGATATTACTAATTTCTGCACTTGTTGCTTGACTAGTCACTGCATAAAAGTTCTTGCTTTTAAACCAAGAAATAGCTTCCTAGTTCAAACACGCTTATGAAAGTACAAGTTTGCAAGTCACAAGTTCACAAAGAATGTTAATCACGATACTTAGTTTTCATTAGTTTTGGTGTTCAAATATTTAACAAATTTAAGACTAACAAAGAAAGTTAAGGAACCCCGAAATTCGGAGAATTTTGAAACGTTTACAATTAGAGTGGTTTTGTTTGTAACAGAAATCTAGTTTCCATTGTAGGGTAAAATCAATATAATCATTATGTTTGTTAACTAAAGCTTATTATCTCCAAACAATGACACTAGGTGCTTCACTCATGATAATTTCCATACTTAATATCACTATTTATAATTTGTCCTACAAGCTGGTCGAAATAGAGTACATCCCTGTGACGGTAAGTATTCAAGTAATATGATTTGTTCTTTGATGCAGAACACGCGTATTATTTTGATTTTGTTGATGCTATGCTTATCTTTCTATTAAGACTGAAAATCAGCACCAGATCACGAACAATTGCTTTTCTGCCTAGGCTGAGATTGAGTAGAATCTCACAATTGCCTTTTTATTCACTTTACATGCTTCATGCCACGTTAAAAGGACATAATAATATGGCAGTCAACCATATGCATTAATAATTTTTCGTTCAATGTTTCATATATAAAAATAGATACCAAATTTTGAAAGTTCCAATACCTTAAGACAATATCGAAGAAATAAATATTTAAATTGTGTAAACGTTAAGTAACTTAATATTAAAAATAATAAAAACATATTTGATATTAATTTTCATTATTTGTTACATTCTAGGAATTGGTTATTACAAAAGAACCAGGTGAAAAGCTGGGTATGCACATTAAAGGCGGACTTAGAGGACAAAAGGGTAATCCCTTGGATCATACAGACGAAGGAGTTTTTATATCTAAGATTAATTCAGGGGGTGCGGCTAAAAGAGATGGAAGACTGAAGGTAATTATATTCAATAGTCTCTATACTACTGATAGTGATCGGGTCGATACCAAATTAAACGGGTATCAATATGTCTGTAATCAATACTTTTTATTGAGTACTTCGTTATCGAATTGATTGAGTATCATCAGTAGTATTGATATCAATCTGGTCACTGACTACTTTACTAGCAACAAGAGTTTTATATGATGAAATTTTTGTGTATCGTCAACCACAGGTGGGCATGAGACTATTAGAAGTTAATGGTACATCATTACTAGGCGCAACTCACCAAGAAGCAGTAAATATACTTCGGTGTTCGGGAAATACAATTACATTAGTAGTTTGCAAAGGGTATGACAAAAATGAGGTCGAGTCTGTGCTACCAGTATGTGATGGTAAAGACTCTAAAGAGTCTAGAACATCTAAAGAATTGAAGGAATCTGCAGCAGATGGTACTAAGTCCTTATCACAGAGTATATCGAGTTTGGATCGTGATGACGAAGAAGCGGCAACTCTAAGACAAGAACAGGAAATGAAAGCTGAACTTGTTGCATGGGAACAAGAAGAAAGGGAACGTGCTTTAATCGAACATAGAGAAAAATCGACTCCTGAAAAAGTGAGACTTATGATCGCATATTAGTTCCGTTTGTTAAACGAGTATAAAATTGTATTATCAGCTATATTAGTAGAAGCAATATTAGTTTTAATATTTAATGTTTTGATACAGGTATTAGATGTAGTAAGAGCAGCTGAATCATTAGTGAGCAAATCCAATAGTCCTGTTGATATGGTACCGCCAAAATCACCTGGTGGCACTAAAGACCTCAAAACAACTACTATCGTGATGAGCAAACACACTTTAGCACCTCAAAATACAAATGTAAGTACTTCTATTATATGTATAATCTTAAAATTGAAAATTTTGCATGTTTTGCAAAGATACGAATAATTTGCAAGTAGTAGTTTATTTTACTAACAGGACTTCATGTTTTATGCAAATACTACAGTTACCCGATAACATTTAAATCATATATAAAGAAAAGTTTTTCGTACAATTAAATGGTTCCTAATTCCCTTCTATCTTATCTTAGAACACTTTTTAGCGTTTTTAGGTGTTTCTATGAACAATATATAGATATAGACATAAAACACTAATATTTGTGCATATCTAGGTGCTTGATTTATTTATTAGTTATGATATAATTTTACAGAACTGTTTTTATTTTATTTTCATTGAAGAACAATTACCGTAATAGTTGTTTTAATGTTGCTTTTTCTTTTACACTTCGTTCACTACGAGTGCATGATTTTTTAGTGTATCTTATTAGTAGTTAAGAATCATACATTTGTCTCATACATATAAATGTGTGTATTTGTGGATACATACATGTATAATTTATTAACAAAAATATTACACTCTTTATGAATGGCATTGAAACAAAAGGAGGGACACGTTTGACTATTTCAGTCTGTGAATGTCGAATGTACAGATAACAATAATTCGTAAACATTTTAGAAATAGAAAAATTATTATGGTACAATATAATGTTATAGAAAAAAACAAATTTAATTCTTCCCTACATAGATAAATTAACATGTTAAAAAACTTCATCCAACAGAAATAAATTATAAATTATGCATTTGTGTACATCCTTATACGTGTGCATAAGCATGAAAAGTATTTTCACTTAAATGTATTTTAGTTCTCTTAATCGACATAGTGCAATACTCTGGAAAGAAACATTGGAGTAAAATAACAAATTATTAATTTTTTACTGTTACCAAAGAAGAAAAACAATATAAACTTTTTAGTTTATCATACTTAGATTAATATTGTATTTAACATAAATTTAGACAAATTTTCCATTCTTTGTCACTAGAAAGATTTTATTATTTGCCCTTGTTATATACCCATCATAAATCTCATTATTTATTTGTTAACTCATGACGCATGAAGTATACATTTGTCAGTGTTCTTAGCGTCGCATGCTCTCCTGAGCAGCAAAACAAGAGATATTTCACATGTTTACAGACAGTGGAAGGTGATAGTGCTACTTTGGCTGCCCTCTAACAGGAGTGAGTCGTTCGACCCTCTACTCATTTTCCCTGTGTCTACGTCCATACCTCTGAACCCGCAGGACTGTGCCATAATAAATTATTCTAAGGAATTCATGTCATAACTCACATAATCACTGTTTATTGCGTTTCATGCGTATCATTGTTATATACAATTTAACTATCGTTACTCCGTTTGTTACTGATACTGCCATTATAATGTTAAGTGTATTATTGCAAACATGCTGATTGGCTGAGTTGATTTTGTGATTGATTTTTTGCTTTGGTCCAGATCGGGTCAAAAGATTGTAATCGTCACAGAAGTGTGTGATATCTTCCTTAACTACAGAACTCTCGTGTACATACTCATCGCTACTTCGTTCGTAAATATCGGTTAAAAAATGAAAATGAAAAAATATTTCTGTGATAGGTAGACAGAAAAATCATAGACAAGAACTTCCCACGTATTTAACAGATATTTTTTAGTCATATTTGTACATTGATTCTTAGACTTGTTTTGCAAATCTATTTTAAAATGTTAGAAATGTGCAACGGATGACTGCTGTAACTGATTGAGCTTAAAAAAGTTGTGTGAATTTTTCTTAGGTACTGTATCAAAAATTACTGAAAGTAAGAAAGAACAACTACGGTGGTAGCAGATAACTGCTATCTTTTACGCGAATGCTAAGTTAAAGTATATTATTATACTTTTAAACAGATTTATATATTAACATACATCAAATTTACATTTTCTTACAAGAGACAAATAATTTATGTTATTAACATTTCTTTTGCAATACACAACTTGGCAACTGAAAGAAGAAGAATTCCACATTCGTATCTAAAAAGAGGTAGTCATTTTTTGAGAAATAATTCAATGCAGAGTTTAAGTTTTATTATTTATACTACTGTCGGTATATTAATTTTAATAATCCCTGTTTGTATAATGTTCTCTGTTTATGAAATCATGGGAAAGTATAAATCTGTTTTATTTATATTTCTACAATTATTTTGGTACGATACGTAGTGAATAACGTTAGATACGTCTTTTTTATATTATTAACAAAGTTTTATCTAACTCGTGTAAAGAAAAATACGATATTTTACTACTTCCAGAATGGATTTATTATACAGTAGAGAATAATTTATGTGTTACAATCCATAGATACTCTTGATTTTTTATTTCATTTACCTAAAATGAAAGAAAATAGTCGAAGCGTATATTACCAACCAAGGAAATGTACTCAGAAATATTAATTCAGAGAAATCATTTTAATTATTTATTATATTGTATGGTGTACAATTTAAAGTAATGAAGAGAGATAAAATGTCTTTTGAAACTTGAAATATCATTTCATAAGGTATATACATCTAGCATTTTTCCTGAGTTACAAGTGCTAGCACTATTGGATCTTACTGCTGCAGTAAATTCATATCATTATTGATATATAAATCAATGTACTGTATTCTACAAATTTTCTATAAATGTTATATGTTGATATAAATCTAATGGACCAGATGTTTATATATTATTACAAAGTATAAACCTAAGATAGTATTTATCTAACTCTAAAAAAAAAAAAGAAAAATGATGTTAATGTTGAAGTTCCAGTTGACCAACATAATAATGAGACATGATGTGCGGTGCTTTATTCGGATGTATCAATGCGTCAAGTTCTTCTGGAAGTAGTTACATTTATCCCATTAACATTATAAATTCTGAGAGAATAAATTTTTCATGTTCATATTTAGTAACGCAGAGACTACAGTTCCTGTTATGTAATGAGTTACAATCCGGGATACATGTCAACTGATTACATTATTTCAGAATTTCTTGCCGTGCATTGATATGTATAAAATAATGAAGAATAAGGTACAAATGTGAAATAACTTTATAAAGTTGATTTTAATACATTTAAAATCATTGGAAGGGTATATAAACAAAATTGTGCGCAAAGCTGCATGAATTGTTGCAATAATAGTACAATTGATATAATATTGAATGTATAGATGGTAAAAAAAAAAAGAAGATTGGATGAATAAGTTCAAAGCTGATTCCTTTTTAATTCGGATATAGATTTTGTATGAGATGTAGTACTGAAAATAAATCTGTTTTTAAAGTATAATTACAAGCTGTGTGTAGACAAGTATTTCAAATTTAGCGAACAAAGATGTATCCTTGTTTAAGAACGTAGAAATTAGAAGTGTTGATTTTTATACATTATTTATGTAGTTTCGTTTTATGTCTTAGTTTGCGATAGAGAGTGGCATTAATATTACTAATACAATTATTCGTGTTATTTACTCAGTCGCTAAGGAATGCGAGAACTGGAACATCGGTGGATTATTATTCGTCGACCAAGTCTCCGGTCTCTACTCTTACTTCGCCAACGAATTTCAATCGTACTACTACTGCCCAAACCTTGCCATCTCCAAAGAAAAAAAATTCTCTACCAAAGCGTAGCATAACCTTCGCCGATCTTCCTCCTATTTCTAAAGAAAAATCAATCAATCATACATCCTCGACGAGGGGGGAACAGCTTATATCATTGCATGATAAATATACCTCGGATCCTCAAATTATTTCTTATAAGAAAGCCTACCATAGTCCTACCCAAACTACTCATGGTCATTTCAAACTTCCTCCGACACCTTTGACTGCTTCCGAATCTACGGGGCATCTTGGCACTTCGGCTTCCTTTAACAAGCGACAGAACGCACGCTCTGTTGATGGGAATATTCTGGTTGAGGTGGGTTGAAAAAGCTTGTTTAACTAGCACTAATCCACTATTCTTTCCTTGATACTCTTTATCGAGAATGGCTGGTACGTTTAAATTATAGAATTTTATTACATTGAACGTAATTCGTACTCGCTAAATAACTTTGCATTATTTGAGTACAGATAATAGAACTCTATTATCAATTATATCTGTGTTAACGTTATGAATAATGTTATATTACGATTAATGAAATTTCTATTTCTAAGCGATTATATTTTATTGAATGTCTGATAAAATTATATTATTAATATAATGTTCCAAAATGCAGTTATCGCCAACGCCGTCTCCAACGCCACCGCTAGTAAAGATGTCGGTTAGCGACAAAAAGAAATTGTTTGAAAGTGCCATGGAGGAGCATCTAAAACCTTCCCCAAAACAAGGTTGATATTATTCGAACCATCTTAAATTTCTGATAATACGACAACGCATTGCTTAACCATTATTTCTTTTCTCTTTTTCCAGAAAAAGTATTTAGTTTTCTAAGTCAAGATGAAGTTGAAAAAATGAAACAAGAAGAAGGTTGATTATTTATTAATATTTCGTTGTAAACTTTATCGATATTAATAATTCATACGATTTTAAATGATCGTTGTTATATTTCCAGAGAAGAAGATTGCCATGTTGACACGGGATGAATTAAAATCGTGGGCTCAGCTCGATGAAAACGAAGGTTTAGAAGATTTAGAGGAAACCTTAGAAGATCAGGATAATCGACGACCTAAGTAAGCTAAGTTGTACTCATTCTACGCATTTGAGAGTGTGGTGATTAAAATCTTGTTACCTTTTTATTTCTTTCTTTGTCTCCATCTCTCACGTCTGTATACCATTCGATGATAGAAAACAGTGGCAATAAAAAAAATTTAATTTTCTGAAATAATAATATAATAATATTTTTATCATTTTTAACTAGCTATACATCTTTTATGCAACAATATAATTGTTTGACACTGATCGTACTAAAAGTTGATACGCTGAATCAAGTATGGCATTATACGATCTTTTAAACATTATAGTAAGGCACTGGATCTCAATAGATCTCAATTACTTATTGCAAAAAAAAATAAGAGAATTGTATTAATTTACATTAATGTATTTACATACATGAGTATTATAGCATACTTAATGCATGTTTTTAGTTTAAACACGTTTCTGTACATAGAAATATACAAAACATTGTAATTATACAGATTATACTTTCCAGTTGTAAGATGTTAGATATAGCCATTTTTAATTATATTGTATAAGTATTGTACTAGGCAGCTATCTTTTAATTGAAAAATACTTATATTCATCTGATCATTAAATTGTTTAATTATAACTATTAATTGGTGATTCACAAAATAATATAAAAGATATTGTTTCTGTAGATGATTTTATAGTCAAGAAAGTCATCTGGTATCGACTAGTGTATTGATGTTTCATATAAACATGATACAAAATGACTGAATATTATGTAAATATCAGTATTTTTATACCTACAACAAATTCTTACATATAGATATATATATATACATATATCGTAACGGGTGCTTCTTATATTGACTATTATTTTTATTACACTATGCATGCTTATTAGAATCAGCGTACAAATGATTTCGTTATGTCTTAGCGATTGCTTTTTACAAAATAACGTATATTTGTACATAAGCTTTATGAATTCACATTCACGTTGTACCTTGCAGTTAAGGTTGTGGTTATGCTTACATAGGCATTTAATGCACAATAAAGTTTACGTATTTCATTTAATAAGTCAAAGTGATAAGTTTATGGAGACTATGTGTATTCAAATATAATTTTCGATATCACAAACGTACGCTTTCAGCACATGTTCGTTACACGCACTGCAAGCAAAGCGCACTTGAAAGATTCTGAAGAATAGTTATTATTTATTTAACACTAACATTCGTTTGTGGTTTTATTTATATAAAATACTTACATCTCTGTTCAGAAAATTATACCGTGAACATAATTATTTTTTAGAATCTCTTAGTACCGATCCCTATTATTATTCATAGATTTAGTTGTTGTGTAGTGTAGCCTAATTGTGTATTTTTATCGTTTGTATATAAGTCATGTAATATCCCTTTCGCCTTTGTATTGAACGTTGCTTTTGTACCTCTTTTTTTAACGAATAAACATTAAAATTTTGGCACATGTATATGATTTGTCAGTGTGCATGCTCGTTACCTTGCAGTAGCCGACTGAGCTCGCGAAGTTCGATCCCCATTCTGCAGAACCTTCCAAGCAGTGTAAGGACAGCAAAAGCAGAACGCCGCTTGAAGGAGAGATTGGTACAGGAGGTATTGATTTTATTGAATCTTTTTAATCATTACAATTAATTTTACGTTTATAACAGTCACGTGTTCGAAATCATTCCGAAAAAAAAAAAATTGGATAAATTCAGAATTACATAGTAGAATATATTATTTTCTTCTGGAAATTTGCCTATCGTGCCCAAAGAGATATTAAAAATAAATATTTTTTGTTGAAATGTTAATAATCGATTGAAATGATTCAATGCGAATATAAGAAATAAATAAATAACATTCTTTTGATCTAAAACATTAAATAAAAGTTGGATAAAAACTTACACTTGTTGTCTAACATTTTTCTTCGTTCGCAGGGTATAATTTCGGACGAAGACGAAGAAAGCCATTTGAGTCCATCCGAACAGAGAGCATTGAGGGCAGAGAAGCGTGCAGCGTGGAGACAAGCGCGTTTGAAATCTCTCGAACAGGTATAATATACAGGTTTTTTTTTTTGTGTAGAATCTATCTCTGAAATGGGGGGCACCCTGTATAAATCTTTTAAACAGTATCTAAATCAATTTATTCATATTGCATATTCGTGTTTAGGATGCTCTCCAAGCGCAGATAGTAATAAAAAAAATGAGCGAAATGATGGACAATGCGAATAAAGCAGATACAATACAGGACCCTGAAGACGTTGTTACTCCTATTCCCGAACTGGAGAAAGCAGCTGATGTAAATAAGCATTCATAAAAATACGCTTGCATCGATCAATACTATCAATGACTATGTATTCTAACGATGTGTCTGAAACTAATTAACCAACATTTTTTATCATACCAATTTAACTTAATTGGTTACTAATTACTTCTCTGCTCGTCTATGGTTCTAACTTAGTGTTCGTCTATTACATTATTTTTTAACTACAACGGTGCCTTGTTTGTCTTACTATCATAGTTCACTACGTTACGGCCGTCTAGTGCAGATTTTCCCAAACTTGCTGTACGCAGCAAGGTGGGTCCCCCTAAAGAGATACGCGAATCCGAAAAAGTAGTGGACGAGAAGGTCACTCGACGTACCGAGGAATATGTGGATGAGGTGACGGGTGAACGTCGTGTGCGAACGGTCGAATACGTCGAGAAGCTAATTGAGCGACAGGTATTATAAATTATAGAATTTGCACAGAATATAAGCACCAGAAATTCTCTAATCACGTCACGGATTAGAAACGGTCTGAGTGAAAAAGCGAAAGCTGCTCCGTAGAATGTTAGAAATTTTCAAGTATTTTACTGGCACTTAAAGAATGTTCAATTCATATGACTGATATTAGAAGAACTTTCGTTTAGAATTAATGCCCGGTTACTGTTTGCGTTTCTTGTGGCTATATTTATTTAGAAAGTTTTATAGCGGTACACGTATATGATAAAAGTTTGATACCGAAGCAATGTAATGCAATTTATAATTCTCTAAACATTGAAACTGATAGTACAAATTCTGATGGCCCAACAAAACAGTTAAGAAAATATGAAACGCATAAAAGTTTTAGTACGATTTTAATGAAGTTTTTTAGATTTATACCTATATATTCTAATACATTTATACATCTGCGCAGTCTACGAAGGAACGGTTGAAAAAAATCTTATAGGCGTGTTTATGCATGCTACCGCTAATAGTATTTTGTTTCGATGCACAAATTGTGATGGCGACATTAGTTAAATAGTTGTGTCTGTTGTTCCAAGAATCCAACACTGACCACGGAAGTGCAACCTGCACCGCCTTGAGCATTGATTTCATTTCCACTGATCACTAACAAACTCTTCTCACACTATTGGTAATGCTACTATTGGTTTTTTTCTTATCTAATAAATTCTTAAGCATGTACAAGTATATTCCTTTCAAACAATACTGTAGTTATACTGGTGGTAACGGTACATATTAAATATTGCCATAACACTATTATGAATTTTATGTTTAAACTCGTTTTATAATGTAGCGTAGTTTTACATATCATGTTTTTATTATATAAAAAATTTCGCCGTTTTACTTTAGCGCTACATTGAACATGTTTTACATGTGTAATGTATACATTTATGTAAATTAGGTTGAAACACTACGAGAAAAGATTATTTCGCTGGAATTAAGTAACGCGGAGGATGAAATAGAAAGTATTACTGGTACAGGAGCAAGCGACGCAGAAAGCGAAAGTGAAGAAATTACGGGACAGTCTTCTGTCGCGAGTACTATGCAAGAGAAAACTCAAACAATTATCTCTTCGAGTGTTACCGAAGGTACAGCTCCTAAAATCAGTGAGAACACAGCCGTTATCCCGAAGAAAAAGAAACGGAAACGTTCGAAGAAAAGTCGTCATTGACCTAAGGTAAAAAAATATTGGTGCAAACAAACAAAGAAGACACATAGGAAATTAATTAATATTTCCTTATAATGACGTTATGAAAGTGTGTTCTAATAATGCAAATTTTGTGTTACATCAATTTACATTGCATACTGCATACTTCAGACTTCTGCTGTATTGGTGCATGTAGTATTATAAATCACTCATTGCGCGTTGCTTTCTTCGAGCATACGCGTATACATATACATAAGATACAATTTTACATCCATAATTTAATATAATTTATTAGGTGCAGTCAAAACTACATTTATTTTTTCATATAAGCCGTGCTATATTTTTGGTATCAACGTATTGTTTTAAATAATATTTTTATTAGTATTAGTATGTCATATTTTCGCTCGATTGGTGCAGAATAACAATTGTTCAACAGTTTTCATATTTCATGTTTTGTAGAATTTGTACTTTGTATTAACATTTTTCATCAAATTTGACTTATAGTATTGATAGAAACATACTTCTATGTTAACAATATTTAAAATATTTAGAACAAAATCATTGACAGAGGTAATGTTTTGTAATGTCACAATAGTATTTTTACTATTGATAATATTGTCATAATTATTTTATGAAATATATTTATCAAAGACATGTCTTGAAAATAACCTATGTGATTTAACATTTACATTAATCTATGTGAAATGATAAACATTCCTTTTTACAACTAATATTGTATGATTTGAGCATAATCCATTGGCTGCACTCCATTTATTGACAAATTTTTCTTTTTCTTGCACTATTACTAATTTAAATATTCTTATATTTAAAAAAATACAAACAATTCCACTAAGAACAATTTAGATAAAATACAAAAAATAATATTTTGGTTATCGAATAAGAATAACATGCAAATGAAAAGGTTTTATTAAATTATGATTTATAATATAACATTTAATTGGCTTCAAATACATGTAAAATATATTAAGTTTAGTTAGCATAAAAATGAAAAATGATGTAAAACACATGTAGTTATTGTGGTTTGTAAAGTATTTTATTTATTTTCTTTTAGAAGTAAGTAAATTAATATATACGTTATACAAAGCTTCCACATTGGGATTCATTTTCAAACTACGAGTATTTAATCTCATCATTGACTATCAACATTTTATAATCATTCATCTTTAGAAACAAATGTATTCAAAGTTATTATTCAGTTTAAATGTCAAAGATGACACCAATTTAATAAACATAAATATTAAACTTTTAAATTGTTTTAAGTATACTAATATTAATGAATTTGTTTTTTTGAATGTATTTGTTTTAATTTATTTATACTAATGCTTGTTATATTTTGTCATAGACAAAATTTTATTTTTCATTGCATGAATGTGAGAATGAGGTTTATAATTAATTAGTGTTCTCAATTATGTACTCAATGCATATTTAAAAAGAAAATGGCCAATTTATAATAAAAAATATTCAATAATTTAAATGTAGAAAATTTATATTTTAATTTTGTGAAAATATGTAGGATGATTCTAGAAACTGGAGCAAGTTTGTCTTTAAGCAAAGGTACAGACAATTTATATGTGTAGTTTGTATTCAAATTTCTCACGAAGGAATACAACCAATTAAATGGACAATATCTGGGAACGCTTACCTAGTTTGAAATTGCAATATGTAAAGTAAAATGAAGAAAAATGGAAAATAATTTTATTGTTTGCACTTTAGATGTAATTTTTTTCATTCTCTACTTACGTATTTCCAGAATACAACAGATGATCTTAAACATAAAAGTGCCGTTTTACACTATAGATTATGTACATTTCTCTAATAAAGTGGACGATATTGTTAGTACTAAGATGCATTAAAATTATACGTGTAAAATTTACGTAACATGTTACAAAAGCAAATACAGGTATTCCCCGTATAACATGTGCCGTTGCATTTCTGAAATTCTCCTTTAAACTTCATGTTTCTTTCAGTGGAAGGATTTGCATTTAGAAAATAAAAGTTCCACTTACTAGCTTAGATTCCGTTTTCTACAGAATCGATTACATTTATGATCTAAACTGGCCATCAATTTTTCCAACAGGCATTTCAAGTTGATGTCTTTATATAGCTTGATATAATAACTTTTAAATATAGATATAATTCCTTGATTTGATGGCTAAAATAAAGAAGTCATATTTGGTGTTTTGAATCCAAAGCTTAAAAATTCCATGAGCGAATCTGAGATATGTTTGCATTTTTAAATTGAGACATTTCGTACGGAATTATTCCCAAATCTCGAATCGTGTTGTAAGAGGGATACCTGTACTGATTTAATCAAGTACACCAGGGATGACGAACTGGGCGGGGCACATTTAGCCTTTGTGTTCCTACTTGCCTGGCCCCCCCCAGGGCCATAGAAAAATGACATTCTCCGATAATCGTTCGATTCTTACAATGTTTCTCACTTCTGAATTTCCTAAGGAATATAAATACAGCATGTGGTGGCTAATATGCTGATAGTGGGAGGTCAGACTAACCGAAGATGGAATTCTTGCGGCGAATAAGAAGTTCGTCAGCCCTGAAGTACACTGTTAATTGTGGAGTAAAATGCGATTAAGGGAACGGGACCAATCTATTACACTAGTAATAAGATTACGTGAAAAAGAAAACAAGCTGCCTATTATTAGATATCTTATGTGTGAATATTATGTTTATTGTCAGTATTACAATGACAGATAAATTCAATAATGCTATTGTTTGTCAAAATTTTAAGAACATTGTAAAGTGCCAATATTAACTATATCTCTATAAAAGCAGTTTTAAAACAGAGGCAATTATCAACAAGCAAATTATAAAGAATCTATGTGCAATTAAAAAATACTATTGTGTACATAAAAAGTAACATCGGTAATTGATACAATTTTTGAACCACAATTTGAAGGAGAATAACAATTTAATAACAGTTGTAGTGTTAAATATTCTGAGGAATGCTCATTTTTAATATGTTATACCATTTATAGAATTCTTTTAGAAACTTCGGTAGTATTGCATAGTTTATTTCGTAATCGATGAACTGGAACCATTGATTTGTGTAAACAAATACTATCAGGTTGACAGCTAACCGATCGAATTAATAAAGTAACAAAAACACTGAACATACAATTAATAACAAATTTTTGTGGTACTATGTAGGTTGAAAAATAATAGATATAAATATATATTTATTTATCTATATTTTTTATTCGGTAATGTTTATACGTTTTACAGTGTTACACATACGAATTTGTAAGCAAAATAAAGTATATGAAAGAGCAATTATACTAGAACAAAATGTACAACTATAAAAACCATATTTAATTTTTATACTTTAATAACTCAATGAATACAGCTTTCTAACATTTCTATACTTGCCATATTACTCCAGTAAGGTAAATAAAACGTGGCAGAGTATTTATTAAGATTAATATATTTTCTCCAAATTAAAACTGTCATTTGCAATAGCTTTATCTTTTCGGTGCAATAATACCTTCCAATTGTGTCTGAAAATATTAATTTCATGAATGTACACATTTTGCTAAATTCCTACAGACGTGACAAAATAATCTCCTTAAGAATTTGTCGAGAATTAATACAAAATTGTAACATTTATATCGTCGAGGTATTTACCTTTAACTGTTGATTTGTTTTTTTAAGAAATTGTATTTCTTCCATATGTTTCTTTTCCTCGGCTTCTCTCAATTCAGCCGCGCGTTTTTGAATCTGTTCAAATTTTTGCTTCAATTCGGCAACAGTTTTCTCTAAGTCGGTTTTTTGCGATTGCAATTCGTCCGCAGTAGCAATTAAATCCTCTTTTCCTTGTTCGGCCTATAAAAAATCACTGTAAAGACTTGAACGTCTCTTAACGCTTGCTTCTCAATGCATCGAAGAGTACATACGTACTTGCAGAGCTTTACGCATACCGAAAGCAATACTACTTTGGTACAAAATCTGATACGCGGATAATGTCATTTTGAGTTCGTCCCGAACTCTGAGCAAAAGTAAACCACGCTCGGAGCAATTCACAGTAACCTGACGTATTATTTCATCTATAAAATTATATTATTAAACAATTTCAATTTAGAGGTATTAATAAACTGTTAGTAATGGGATTTAAAGTGCTTCAAATCTATAAAATGAAGGAAAAATCGAATTATTATCATTCGATCAATTATATTCGAATCTGAGTTGCAATACATAATAAAATTCAAAGCAATGCGAAGTCTCGCTACTACAAACTACTAAATAGTAGTAAAACAATAATAAGAGAAACTTTTACCAAAGCATTGTGTGTAAAGTTCTCTACGAACTGGACAAATGCCAGTTTCCCTTGCTTGTCTTTGTTGCAATCTCATATCAAGTTGCTCTTGCAAATTAATAACGTCCAATCTTGTTGCTGGTGTACTCGATACCTGTGCATACCATGTATACCAAAATAGCTTATATGACTTGTAGATAGTTGACAAGTCTAACAAAAAATTCAATGAATCGTCGATATTTCGTAAAACGTTACAGTAAACCCCATTGCAGCCACTAAACTGGGAAAAATCTTAATGGGGGATTCTAGAGGCCAAAATAAGACGGAAATGATGAATAGCAATTTGTCGATGGAGGCTTCGTTAAAAAGTTATTAACGTTTAAAGTTCCACTCATACTGAATTTTTTTCTCAAAAATGCGCAAGATTTCGGGGGGTAGGTAATTTATTTAATATAGGTAATTTTTTTAGTACGATTTGAAATTTTTTGATTTCGTCTAAAAATTTCAATACCTACTCGAATTTTTTTCTCGAAAGTGGGTAGGAATTCAGGGGTAGGTCTATTCACAAAAAATGCTTGTAATTGACCCTTGTAACTAAATATAATTTTTTTAGTACGATTTGAAATTTTTTGATTTCGTCTAAAAATTTCAATACCTACTCGAATTTTTTTCTCAAAAATGCGCAGGATTTCGGTGGTATGTCTATTCACAAAAAATACTTGTAATTTACCCCTGTAACTAAATATAATTTTTTTAGTACGATTTGAAATTTTTTGATTTCGTCTAAAAATTTCAATACCTACTCGAATTTTTTTCTCAAAAATGCGCAGGAATTCGTGGGTATGTCTGTTCACCAAAAATTATTGTAATTGACCCCCGCAACCGAAAATAATTTTTCCAGAACGATTTGAAATTTTTGAATTTAATTGTTAATAACTTTTTAACGAAGCCTCCATCGACAAATTGGTATTCTTGATTTTCGTCTTATTTTGGCCTCTAAAATGTAAGGAACGATGGTCTAAACATCATAAGAAAGTTAAATTCTTTTAAAGGTAATTTGGTTTGAAGAAAAAAAGGATATCTTACTTGTTGAATCCATGTTTGACCATCTTCTTCCCATTGTTTAGGTGGCAAAATCCTGTTGAGAATGTCGACAGTTTCACGTCGCGTATCAACCGTAATAGGAGTCGATTGAACTTTACAAGTTGTTGCTCCGATTTTTGGCGGTACCTCCTTGCGTACCTGTCTTGATAACAAACTACAGAATTAAAATTATGATCGTTCGTCTGTTTATTTTAACACTATATTTGTTTAGTTCTACGATTTTGTTACGGTTTAAAAATAAGCAACACATGTTTGTTTGTAAAAACTGAACCTTTTCCGGCCGGATTGTATCTAGAACTGGGTTGTCGTATTTGACCAAAGTATTCATAGAGGGAATAATACGATCCTGTATTGCTGTTGCCATTATTATCGCGCTATACGTAAGACAAAATATATTTAAATTATTTTATTTTACTGTGCAGTAATTAATTTATTTAAGTAAACTGTCACTTGCGTATTTGTAGCCGTTTCGTTTGCTTTTCCACTATGAAGTAGATCTCAGAACTGTTAGCAATTTCCATAACGATATTGATGTATCGAACGTTACTAAGTAACAATACATCGGTCAGAAGAGGGAATATAAATACAAATCAAGAAATAAAACTTTATAATAACGACACAATACAATTATACAAATTTAAAAGCCATCATACATATGTATACGTTATATAAATTTTTCATAAACATTTCATATAAAATAATAAGTAAGATTTAATCTTAAATTGATTTTTACATTGTTATTAAAAATATTTTTTTTAAACATATTTTCTCATTGTGATTAATTAAAAAGTAACAATTTGTATAAACTTAGCAAACTAGTTTTGAAATGCGTTTAAAGTTCAGAGTGAGTTTGTATTATTTTTGATTCAAGATCCCTGTGAAGCTTTTCTATTGTTCTAGCGTGATGTTTTATGTGTTGTTGCGAGGTAATGCTGTCTAAATCAGAACTCCCCTGACGCGCTGCTTCTAAAGCCGCTTCTTTGTGCAGATGACGTAACTTGAGTAATCTTCTTTCATAATGCAGAAGTTCCTCCTAAACAGTACCGTAAAATATCACTTAACAATTGAACAAAAATATCATTCTTATATACATATAAGCTAGACAAAATACTTCTACGTATTATTACCTTCAATGAAGCACGTTCATCCGGAGAGAACGAACCCTCTAATACAATACGCCACAATCCTTGTACTTTCGGTTCTACAAATTCTTTATGTTTTGGACCAGTAGCAGTTAATTCGTCCAATCGATCATACCCGTTTCTGATCTCCGAATGCTTTTCCCTAAAATGATGTACGTATTATTTATTAAACTTTCAGAGTTCAGAGAATTATTCAGAAAGTACTGACATTGAGATTAAAAACACGGGTTTATCTAGACGGTATACACATACCGAAGTAAAGTTGCTTTTTCCAAGTAATCTAACTTCTGTACTGGAACATTGTCTGACTCTTCCTTTTTATCTATTTCATTCCAGCTTTCTGGCTTATGGTATAAACTATCTGCAATACATGTGAAATATGGATTTATTCTATAATCTTCTGTTGTATTCAATAATTTTTTATTTATATTACTAACTTTCATGTATTTCTGTATCTCCAGCTTCCACATCTTTTAAAAGATTCATGTATTCGTCTACTTTGTCCTGATGATGTTGAAACTCTTCCTTCAAAGTTTGTAGTTCTTCGTCTATCGAATATAATGAGCAAGTTATTATTAATTTTCACGCAGGCACATATTACAACTATACATAAAGTACACTCACGCGTAAAGCCTCCATGTTCAGCTTTAGCCCATAACTTGTTCAATCTTTTGTCTCTAAATACATCTTTGGCAACATAGTTACTACCATCATTTAATGGCTTGTGTTTCTTTAGTAACTTTGGATCCTCTGTATCATCAAAATGTTCTAACAATCCATACGTGCTCATAATCCCTTTCATTAAACAAAAAATACTTTAATTTAGAAGCAATATACGTCATTATGGTGTTTGATATGGTTACTATCAAGGCAAAAATCATGGGTGAATTTCCCTATAATCTATGTGACTGAATTTCCACAGTCTATCCCAATTTTCCTCCTACCGCACAGTACCTTAAGCTCAGCAGAACCTTATGTAGCAGAGAAGGAAAGATAGTCGGGTAAAAAATATACTACCACGTATATAAGAATTTTGTTACAGAGTCTCGAGTTTGATGAAATTCAGCCATGCATTAATGCATTTATTTAGCCATTATATCAAATTACCAATAAGCTTTTTTCGCAAACGTGCCTCCTCTTCTCCATTCGGATCTTCCCCATTCGATTTAAAATGCTTAAACGCAATTTCTTCTTTGTCATGGATTTGCAAATCACTGAATATTGACTGCAGTTTCATATCGGTCAAACGCTGCGAGAGAATTTCGTTTTAAACATTCCCTTCGGGAAATGTAAATACAAGTACTTTTATAATACATTAATACTCACGTTTTTCGCTTTAATCCAGAGTACATTTAATTTTGCCATGCGAAACGGTTTGTCCAACTCACGAAGAGTGGTTGGAAATTGCGGAGAAGCTTCATATTTCTCTGTATTTGCTTCGGCGGAATATTTATTAACAGCTATTGTCGAATGAGATAATAAAATACATAAACTTACTGACAAATAAATGCTAACTGGAACTGTCATTGTTTCTTCGGAAATTTCTAAAAGAAAATACAGTCACTGTCACTGAGCAGTGTACCACACCGAGCACTGGATATACGGTGCATCAGAGTACCAGGGTACAACTGGTACCAGTGTGGTCAGATTTAGCATAATTGAGTGCATCGACGTCGACATTAGTAACGACGAACTTCCTTAGCGTCTGATATGATGAATGAAAAATTTCCACGTAAATACACGTTTTAAAACCCCCCCCCGATCATGTTTGAAATAAAACAATACTTTGGAAATAAATCGTTTGAATGTAGTTTATCTAATCTCTATTGAATCTTAAATAAACATTCTTTGTTATATAATTAAAGAATTATTATTTAAAATAATGGAATACTTATAGATATATATAAAGAATTTCTACACATTCTCCATCAAAATACGCGTTGTTTGCTATTTGAAACATTAAGATCCTCCAATCCGTTCAGAAGTTATAATATTTTAAAAGCGAACATTTCTGTACCTTTAAAATGTTATAACTTCGGAACGGATTGGAGGATTTCAATGTTTAAAAATGCAAACAACGCGTATTTTCGTGAAGAAATTCTAAGAATGTTCGGAAAAATTGGTGCGCGCGAGGGGTTTCAGTATTTAATTATGCAATTTTGTTATTTATGCAACGTTATTAAGCTACTGCCGCCCCAATCGGAGCCTAGCTGGCTGCTGATTGGCTGTACCCCTGTATAAAGGTGACCACAGCTGACCAATTTTTTTCAGTAGCCCTGGAACCGCCAGGATGCGGTGAAGAACTTAATTAGAGTACGTATAAGGGATTATAAAACTTTAGAATTGATAAAAATGAAGGAATTAATGGGTAAGGTAGAGAATATAAAAATCACGTAAAATATGTACTGATTTTGATTTTTTATTAATATAAACATAAGGAATGTTTTACACATTTCTAACTCTATTAAATAAAAATAATATGGTTTTATAGTAATCGTAAAATGAAGATAAGGTGTATACATATGTGTACAGGTGTATACGCTCGTACATAGTAATAGTAAAAAAAATTTCTTTTCCATCAATAGTTAAACCATGATCGGGGAGTCTTAATTCGTGTATTTCCGTAAACAAAATTTATTTATATTCACATATTTTATATACTTCAACTCCAATTTCTGCAACATTATCGCGTATAAGCTTTTCCAATTTCATAAAGTCATATAGCTACATTTGTTTAATCACAGTGCGTGTAAAATATACTTTATTCCTCAGAATGGATTGTGCCCTTGGGGAGGATGATTACCAGTATAGCGTGGCAGGGTTGCATAACCGCTGTAAGGAGTCTGAGGCATGCCTTGATACGGAATATAACCCCCTGAAAATGAATTAGATTTTTCAGATTTTTAATAAAAATTCATCGTTTTCTAAATTACCTTGCGGAGGGTAAGGCATTGTTGCGTATGGGTTATACGTGGCAGGCATGGGAGGAGGCATATATGCGGGATACGGTGTAGCGAGCCCGGCTCCGTATGGCATAGGCATTCCACCTTGAAAATATGTAGGATACGGTAATTGTGTCGATCCGCTTTGTTCTGTTAAAGGTTGACTTTGTCCAGATGCTCCTGAATATAATAAATTTTTTAAAATTTAACACAGAAAGAACAGATTTGTCGTAAAATAAAATTCATACCACTGTGATGCGCTGGTATGTTGGGAGTTGTAGCTGGACCACTATGGCTCAAATTTGTTGTTAAATCTTTCATTAGTTCCTCTTTTTCAGTTTTTCGAGCGAAACAGAAATCTGATATTTTGTTTTGGAAGACCACTAACAACTGTAAGAAGAAGATCGCTTACAATATCGATGCCAGTATGTATAATCAATGGATGTGTTATAATCAATATATTACCAATGTTAGATCATTGTAAAATTTAGCACCCTCTTTCAAATTGTTTGTTAATTCTTTAAATGCGTCATAAGCAGCTGCTAATTTGCATAACATCGTTTCTCTTGAACTGCCACTACCCGACTGTTCGTTCGTAAATTCTACATGACATCTCTGAAATTATTTTTTAAATAAGTATCATAGGCGATATTTAAATTGTATATTGAAAAGGAAATGTATATATACTTGAATTTCAGCAATTAGTTGCTCTTGTCGGGAAACGCTATCCCTTATTTGTTTTTGCAAAGGTCCGTACGTTTTTCCTATACTTTCTACGGATAAATTTGGCTCGTCGATGGCACCGTCTTTAGCAAGTGCCGACAAAAATGTAACTTTCATATCGGTAGTAGCAGATTTTATTTCACTTTCTATAACGTCACGTTCTGCTTTTAATGTCGCAACCTTGAAAGTAAAATTGGGGATCGTGAAACAATCGAAATATCGTATATGTAGAAATATACATGCGTGTAAGAGGCTTACATCGTCCATTAGCTTCCTAAGTTGTGCCACGGTATTACTTTCTTGAACAGCTAATCCAGTTGGTACAGCATTAATCAGATCGCTATCGTTCAAACTTAAGGTTTCCATACCATTTTTATGATTTTCGTATTTTTCGCGTATAATCTAAATAAATATCTTATTTTTAGTGTACTTATATAAAATTCATTTCTATTCATCCTTATAATTTACCTTATCGGCCGCAACAGCATTGTTAATAATTTCATGATATTTTCGTAAAACAACAGTGAATTGCTCTGTTAAACGTGCACTGGGTATTCTTGTCCAGCGTTCCTTAAACTGTTCCCTTAACTGATCATCGGATTCACGTTCCTCTTGAAGCATTCGGTCACACTACGAAAAGAGCAGTACTTCGATAGTTAGATTGCAAAACAAACATCTCTAATAATTTATTACCTCATCTAAAAGTTCCTTATTTCGTTGTAAAAGATCTGGCAATTCTTTCATAGCAATTTCCAAAGCATTGATTCCACCTGACTCTTTGACATACTGAGCTTTCTCCAACAAGGACTGAGGTAATTCAGTTCCACTTGTATCTTCAATAGCTGCCGGTAAATTTAAACTTGCCAAAACGCTAAAAATAATAATTGAATTATTAAATGTTAAATAAACATAAAGTATTTACACGAATAGTTCGATAGTTGCTGTACCTGTTTAGGACTTGCGTCATTTCGCGTAGTTTTGAAATTTCTGAGTTAACCAGCTCGTTGCGACGAACTTCGTAAGATGACAACGCTTGGTGTACGCTAACGGGCAATAAGTCGGAGAAAAGATCTGGAAATGTGAAATGTTTGTACAAAACAACTCTAACCAAAGAAAATATTCGACCGAGCATATTATCAAATACAATAAACCTTTAAAACTAGAGCTGAAGGTTTCAGGTAATGGTAACAATTTTGCAACATTAGCTTTTCCCACAGGTTCTAAAGATTTCACGTCTGGTATTCTTTCATGATAAATAAAATCGTTATCTTTTTTCACTTCTGTAAAATTCCTTTGTGCTCTGTTAGCGTATTCTTGAAACAAATTAGGTTTATACGAGCGTTGTTGTGCCGCTTTGAATAGTTCCACAGCACACTAAAATATATCTTAATCAATATTGTACACGTTACAAAATACTTAAAGTATGTAAAATTCATTATTTAACACAGCTTCGGCCATACAGATTTTACTTTACGATAAATCAAATTACCTCCAATCTAGCGATTTGTTCTCCAATTGATTTACCGTTTTTACATACCAACGACTGATAAAATTCAGTCATCGCGCGATATCCAGCTTGTTTCCCTGCTATCTGTATTAATGTAATAAAACTAATTAGCTACCTGTATTAGATATATATTGCACGTAAATAGAATTTCAGGCACACACCAATGGAACCCATTCTTTATCCCAAAATGCTCTAAAAATCTCTTTCTGAAACAACTTTAACGTATCCGCGTACAATTCCTCTGCCTGTGCAGCTAATTTAGCAACAATTCCATCTTTCATAGCATCATGAATTGCTTTATGTACAAATATTTCCTGAGCTTGAGCAAGCATCAACGAAGATAATGCGCCTAATGTTTCTGGACTAATATCGGGCGTTGGTTCTTGTTGAATAGCCATCATAACATTCCCTTTAAGATAATTAAAGATACCAGCAGATAGCTGAAACATACACAGCATTTTAATGTATATAATTTCAAAATTATATCATTATGTAACATTTCTCCTACTAGTATACAAACCTGAAACAATTTTGCTGCCAGCTTTAATCCTTCATCACTTTCCAGAGATTGTGTTGCTGCTACTGAACTTTGCAAAGCAGCAATATTGAATAATACGCATACCTTTTCATATGCCAATGTACTGATTGCTAAACATATCAAATAATATTATGTTAATATAATATTTTCATGTTACAACTTCATATTATTTTTTACAGTATGGCTTATCATTATATGTTTTTCTACATTCAATTGCCATGATACATATTGTTAGAGATAAATCACGAATATAGATGTAGTTGATAACACCTTATCTTTTATCTATTCATCAAATAGGATTAATCTATATTATGTATGTAAATATTATTTGAATTTCTTTTGTTATCGATCAACTATATTCAATCATTACCAGCTATATCAATACTTTTAATTTAACTTTATATATATTATAAATACATCAATGATCTTACTTAAACTAAGTTTCCCACCAAATATGGTACGGTCAAATGCGTCCTTCCATTTAAATGGGATTTGTAGTTCGTGAGCAGGAATCTTGCCCTCCAATGCACACAACTGATCATAATAACTAAATAAGAAAATTACACATTATACTAATATCATTTTAATCCAGTATAATTAACAAATGATTATATTCTACTCTATTTGTATCAAAACCATATCAGTAGTACAAATCAAAAAATGCTATTTGAATAACTGACACTTCATTCGATTTATTAACAATCCTTATCCATCCTAAGACTCCTTTCACAAAAGGATACTATGCTATACAAGTATGATTAGATACCGATCGTACGTGTAATTCAATGGGAGCGGCAATTCTCGAGCCTACACTGAAATCAAAGTTACCAATACGTAATACGCGGTATTGCATCCAAGTATCGTCGTCTGAAAAGGTTCTAATGGTATGCGCAAAGATAGTATTAAAGGAACGGTTCACATGGAAATGTATCATTTTTAATAAATTACTGTAATTAGAATCAAAATAATATTTAATTAAAGATGACTCATACCTGTATATAACCTCCAATGAACTTTCATATTTCTCGAAAGCCCTCCATAAAGCATTGTTCCTTAATTTACTGAACTCGGTAATCGCCTCTGTATAATCCTTCTGATTACTCGCGCCATTATACGTTGATTTGATAACATTCGTAAGTGGTTTAATGACATCTACATCAGACGGTTTCTTAAGCGGCACCGAAATTAGCTCAGCCATTTTAACGTCTGATACGGAATCGTATTTCCTGCCTGTCAGATCTCAGATGGGCCGAGTGATCGCGCATGCACGTTCAAAATAACAATTGTGTGGTGATAGCCTAAGGTTGGCAGCGCGAGTGGCGCCAGCTGGTGGCAATAGGATGGAAGCATGTGACAGGGACTAGCGCTCCACTCCTCGCTCCACTCGCCACTTCGTCACGGTATCCCGGCACGACAAGTCGTTTGCGAATGAAACCGTTGTATAGCTACACGTGAAGTTGACTCATTTACCTGGCATCCCACAGCAGCATTGAATCTGACGCAGGGCATAGTCTTCTAATTGATGATTCCTAATTGGTAGAGTATGACGGTTCTAGTATCGTTCTACCAATCAGAAATTTAGTGGCATATATGTGTTGTGATCTGACCGAATCGAAGAAAATATCTATGACACTAGCTTCTTTAGCCTGCGTCATATGATAAGGTAATGTAATACGCAACATATGAATGTACACGGCGTATTGTGGTGTTACTTTTTCGATATGTAGGGTAACCCTAAAAACATCATATTCTACCAATTCGAGATCATCGATATCGTTCCACCAATCGAAAGACTTACGTCTTGTGACGGATTCAATGCTCCCCCTCTGTATGTACTGTTACGTCGGGATTCCGTCGGCATCGGCTAAATTAACGCGGACGTTACAATACATTAAAATAAATGCGTCAAAATTTGTATTCTAGACGAAATTTGAAATGCAATTTGAAATACTATTTTAGATAGTACACGTTAAAGTAAATGAAAATAAAGTATTATTCTATTTCAACTATAACGAATCAGAATTAGAGAAAAAGTAAACTATTAACTATCCATCCGCTTCGTTGATAATATTTTGAAATGTTTAAGAGAGATAATAAATATGTATACATTTTTTAGGTATAATATATTGATAGTAATCTTGAACGGTGACCGAAACGTCACATCTGATTCCGATGAAATAAGTGCCGTTAATGTATATAATAATCCTTTACGCAATAATGTATGTTTATTTTGATTTTGTAAAAAGAATTATATATAAATTTAAAATAAGAAGACGCGAGGATATTAAGTCCAATATTTTTAACACATATTATGTTAATAGTAAAGTACTCGTATAGACAAATTTACAAAGTTATAGCACTCTTGAAAATATTTTGTCCAATGGGAATGCAAAGTGTATTTTCAATAAACAAACCGCGTTGCGAATACCTGTTCCCCTGTGAAATCATTAAAAGAAAACGTGACTGGTAGATATGCATGTTACGTATATGTGCAGTTTTCATTAATTATTAACTAAATAGTGCACGTATGTCGCTGTCCGTTTCAAACTATCAGTATCAGTGTCTTCTCTAGATATTTGTAAGTAGATGAGATTTTTATAAGTGCTTCGATGCATTTTAATTTTGTTCTGTTGCAATTCGTGTAAATTAACGCGAAAATAGTGACACGCAAATAAAAAAAAGTGAGAGAAATTGTGGTAATGTGAATCATACTTTAGAATATAACGAAGAATACATGGAACTGTTATCACCAGATTTTTTTGATACGTGTAAATAACAATCATTTGCTACACTGGGAAATACCAAAAAAGTAATGTAAATGTACTCCAATTACATAGGACCTTATACGTGTTATTTAGAAAGTTTATCCCTGAATTTTAACTCGAATAAAGAAAAGCAGCCAGAATTTCACCTTGAAGTTGTGCATACGAAATCAGAATTTTCTGTTTTTGTTTATAAACGATAAATTTTGAAAACGTCTCGAAAATAGCAGTAGTATCATTATTTCGTGGCATCTTCTTAATTAATAAAAAAATCAACTATATTTAGCATACGTATATATTATTCATTATTTGTAATTATAATATAATTGACATATAATGAATACGGACATATATAATAAATGTAAACACGACCTATGAATTATTTATTACTGTCAGACATACGTGAATATTTGTTCCCCTTACTTCTTGCTACTGTATTAATGTTGTTTTATTATTCATATACATTTACCTCATTTACACAGGTCGATCTCTAATTATAGAAATGACTCTGATCGAGGGTGTTGGAAATGAAGTTACAAATTTCTTTATTGTTGTGGTTGTCCTCTTGGTAGGCTGGCTTGCATGGTGTTCTACCAGCATCATAGATCAACCATTAATACGCACAGTACTTATATTACAACATCGAACACGCACACATAACGCCGAACTTAGATCTAATCATCAAAATACAAACATCAGTCAGGCTTCAAATATGGAGATATCGCAGGATGAATCTGTAGAGCCAATTACTGAGAATAATAGCAATAATTCGCAAAGTTGTCCACAACCATCTGTTGCAGGTAATATATCCTATTTCAAAATACTTCTATAAGAATAGTAAATAACATCAGAATCATTAATTATATATCATGATAGACACAAATGGAGAAATTTCCTTAGAATCGCATGGAATATTCGAAGCAACTGCTACGGAAGAAGTACTTATTGAAGCTATGGACTCGTTCAATAATGATAATACACCTTTGTTGCAAAAGCAAACTAAAATAGATACTACGGAGGAAACAAGTATACCGACATCAGCATGCATTGATAATGTAGAATGCAGACCTGAAAATCTTTCAACGAACGATGCTAATGAAATTAGCATAAAACTTAAGTTTATAAATGATGATGAAAAAGTAGTTATCGGAAGTCTTAATGAACTACTTGGGGACTTTAAAAGGTCCCTACAGTTTAATACATTTAATTTTTATTTCGAATTTATAAAAAGGATAAATATATAAGGGACATTTATATTTTTGCAGGAGACACTTCCAAACGGAACTTGATGAACAGAAATTGGTTCGTTTAATTTTTAAAGGTCATATATTACAAACTGATAATCAAACATTAGAGCAATGTGGTTTGTATAACAACTGTGTAGTCCACTGTTTGATACACCAGCCTAGACCAAGCCCTATACCACCTCAGACGTCAACATTAGACAATTCGTCAACAATGTATATCATTCCTGTGGCAATTTCAGATATACCTGCAGCACTAGAAGATGTACTTGATGCCAGAGAAATTAGTTCAGTACATAACGAATGGGATTTAAGTAGACTCTTAGTCTGTATTTTGACTCTTATTATAGGTGTTGCTTGGTATACTCTGTACCATCGAGCTCAACTTTTTACTGCAACTACTACACTTGCATTATACACGTTCACTACAATTTTTACCGTTTCATTATTCTGTCACTTCTTTTCTGATCAAGATAACATTAGAAATACTGAATAAATTTAAATTGGATTCGTCGATAAACACTTTAAGATATTATTTTGAAATATGATTTTGTAAAATCCATATTGTTTAAACACACTTGTTCTTGACATTAAATAGAATATAATGAGTAATATTGCGATTTTTATAAGTGGTTTAAACTAAATCATTTAAATAAAAAATGAAATCTGCCTGATTATGTATAATCGCGTTTCAGTAGAGGTGACTTTCTATGCATTAAATTCAAAACTGATTTATGTATTTGAAAGGATTTATTTTTGGGTTAACGTGACACCGATTAAAAAAGAAAGCATGTATATTATGACGTTATATTTATAACAAAGAATCAATTCTTTAGTACCTAGTCAACATTTGTTTATTTAGATATGTTTATAAAATTAATCTTTGATAAATATTATTAAAGTGTTGAATTAGTTATAATAAATACTATAAACTATGGTAACAATGGTGCTGTATTATATTACTTTCAAGAGTGTTTATTATATATGTTCATGTTTGTAATTTTTTTTATTGTATTTGAAAATATCATCATGCACATCTACAAGTGCGATTTTAATCCGATTAACGTAATCATTATTAGTAATTTATAAGTTGTGGTTTACATTAGGGTAACGTGTGTTTAATTTTTCTGTAAAAAAAATACTCTTGCAACCTGTAAAATTTACAATTCTCAAATGAAAATTGCATACGAAGGCATATAATTTTCTTTGCACCATTTATTCATTGTTACAGAAGAATGACTAAAATCGTCGAGGGTGTATAAATATATATAATTAGTAATGTGTTAAAACTATTACAATTGTAATTTGCTACGAGATACACTTCATTATACTTCCAAAAAAAAGGAACTTCATTGTTATCTATGGCTAAGGGCGTCATCAAGGGCAATGATTAATAATTACCTCTATAATTCATTGTACCATAGTAGTTTGTAGATAACTGTAATTACAAAATATCGTTACAGTTTTACTAAATGTGAATAAATGTCTATTTATTCGATGTTTTCTTGCATTTGTATATTTTTTAATTTGTGGATTAAGTAAATGTAAATAAACATTTTATTTTTCATTCGAATTTATATGAAAATTGAAAAACGAATTTGGTGGTGTGCATGTGTATTTAGACATTTTATAATTTATAAGTTTATTATTTTTTAATTATACAGGACAATTACAGTTGTATATTGTTCTTTTGCTTAAGATAAAACTAACAACATACAAAGTCTTTGATGTTAAATAAATAAGTAATTACTTTGTACACAAAGTTAACAAGCTGAAATTTATATTTAATCATTTAACCCTGACAAATATTCTGGGAGGATGTACTTACACGAATAGAAAGTAAATAAATAAACTGATTTTTTAAACGAAAGTTAACTTAGTTCCAAAGTTTTTCCATTTAATTGGCATAATATTGCAGGTAAAGGTTCAGAAATACTTGTGTGATCAAAGAAAAGATGTAATCGTTGCTTTAACATCGCGTGATCGAAATTAAAATTCCCTTTCGGGTTTTCTAATAAAATGGTACCTTTACCTGCAGCACTATTTATATTAACAAATTTACAAACAGGATTTGTTAATGTCGCAGATGGTGACAATATTTCTGATGAGCCAACTTTTCTTACTTTTATCGTTTCTTTATGTAATAATGATATATCACTTAATTCCAGCATCGGCTCATTGTTGATATACAAGTCATAAAAACAACCGTGAATACCAAATATTAGTTCAATTTCTCGCTTTAATTGTTCGTATGAAATTGGAGTAAGTGATTTTGGAGTTTGTAATAAAATAGTTCCTAAGCAACTGGTTGCACCGAATCTTGGTTTTATATTTAGAAGTTCAACATTTACATATTTTAACAAAGTTTCCGTTTCTGTTTTGTTATTTTGAACTTGGCGCATAGTTTTTACTAAAGTAAGTTTCATGTCCATTCCCTTAATACTTTCTGTTTTCTCTATGATTACGCTTGCGTTACTTGGCATTTTAAGTGAATCTTCTTGGGGTGTTTTAGTCGCATTTTCAATAAAACTTTTATGACTAACGATTACTTTTGCTAAGGTACTATCTCTATCTTGAATTTCATAATATGCAATTGCCTCGTCCGATGGAACCAACTGAGCTTTCTTCCGCAATTTTTGAATCCTATTGATTACTTCCCTAGCTATTCCTTCATTATGCATACTTTCGTCAGGAGTGACATCCAACAAAATTAAAACATTTCCTTCGCTATGAGCTTCATATTGCTTAGATAATTGTTCAGCAGCTGGGCCTGTGAAACTAAACATCAAACGTAAATCTTGCTTTTCTAATTTATGACCCTGTACAATAATCTCATTTGTTGTAACAAATGTTTGTAGTTGTTCATCGGAAAGTTCTTTAATAGCTTGAGTAACAGACTTGAATTCAGCCTTTAGGCGTGATCCAAGTATTTTGTGATCTGGTTCTGCTCTTAGTATAACACCATATTTTTGTTTGTCCGTAGTAACTGTTAACTCCTTTACATTAAGTTCTTCAAGAATGTATGACTTTAAAGAGATTATTTCTTCTAGTATTGTAGCATCTTGGTGAATTACTACGAGCTCTGGTAACGGATATTTGACAGGAATTGTTTTCCTATCTCTTACAACGCGTCCTAATTCAATTACAGTTTGCATGTATGATACTGCTTTTTCAATATTTTCATCGATTAATTGTAAACAGGACTCTGGTACCATTTGATAGTGAACACTCTCCATGTTAGTTTTAGATGGTGAAAGTATTTTCGTTAAACGTTGGAACATAAATTCTGTTAAAAACGGTGTAAAGGGTGCATTTATACACACCATGGTGTAAAGAACAGAGAATAAAGTATTTAACGCTTGCCGACAATCAGTTGCACCGCCGTCACCTTTTATACGTTTTCTGTTCATTCTCACATACCAATTAGTTAGATTATCTATGTATTTTACCAAGTGTGGTACTACAGTGTATAATTTGTAAGACTGCATTTCTTGTTTAACAAACTGCAGTAACGTTTGTGTAAAAGATATAATCCACCTATCCATTATATTATTAGAACGTTCGTTTTTCGTTTTATCGTATACAAAAGTAGTTTCCTCTTCTCTTTCAAATCGTTCAATATTCTGTAGTAAGAATCTAAATGCATTGTACCAAGGTAGAAATATATCTTTTATAACATCTCTTACTCCCTCCTCTTTGAATCGTAGATTTTCAGCCCTTACAACAGGGGAATTAATTAAGTACAAACGCAAAGCATCTGCTCCATACTTATCGACAATTTCTATAGGATCCGGATAATTCTTTTTACGTTTTGACATTTTTTGTCCATCGGATGCCAGAATCAAACCATTGGCGACAAGATTTTTAAATGGAGCTTTTTTGAAAAGTGCAGTTGATATAACTAAAAGAGTATAGAACCATCCACGAGTTTGATCGATACCTTCCCCGATAAAGTCAGCCGGGAAATGATCTTCAAATTCTTTCTTGCATTCAAAAGGATAGTGCATTTGTGCAAACGGCATAGAACCGGACTCGAACCAGCAATCAAAGACTTCGGGTACACGTCGTAAAGGTGGATATCCCGGTCGATTTGAGGGTATAGTTAAATCATCTATGCTTTCTCTATGAATGTCTGTCACTTTTGTGTTCGTTAATCTTTCTAATTCTGCAATACTTCCTATACATACAATCTCTTGTCCATCTTCTGAAATCCACAAAGGGATTGGATTACCCCAATAACGATTTCTGCTAATAGCCCAATCGCGTGCATCTCTTAACCAGTTACCAAATCGTTTTTCTTTCACAGAATCTGGTACCCAGTAAGTATTACTGTTTGCTGTTATTAGCTGATCTTTTATAGCTTCTACTCTAATGAACCACGACGGTACAGCTTTATAAATCAACGGAGTATCGGATCGCCAGCAATATGGATAACTGTGCTTAGTCGTACTGCTCTGTATTAATCTTTTATTTGCCTGTAGGTATTTGATTATTTCTTTGTCTGCATCTTTTACGTATTTTCCAGCAAAATCATGAACCGGTTCTATAAAACATCCACAACTATCGATAGGACATATAATTTCTTGATCTTTTGTTATAATACCAGCTGCTAAACAACATCGATAGTCATCTTCGCCAAAATAGGGAGCTTGATGAACAATACCTGTACCAGTTTCTGCAGTAACATACGTATCGTTTAATACTACAAAAGCACCTTTCTCCCTTAAATTTTGAAAATATGGAAAAGGTGGTTTGTATATCTTTCCCTTTAAATCAGATCCTTTCCTCTTACGTTGTACAGTATATGCATCTGAAGATTTATATATAAGTTCTAAACTAGATTCCAATATAATGTATACATTGTCGGAAGAATGATCTTTAACTTCTATGTATTCAAAATTAGGATTACAACAAAGTGCCATGTTGCTAGGTAGAGTCCAAGGAGTGGTGGTCCAAGCAAGAATAGAAATACCTGGCTCATCTACCAGAGGAAAAGATACAACTACAGAAGGGTCGACAACATCTTTGTAATTTTGTCCTGATTCAAAATTGGACAGCGGTGTGTTACAGCCTGTAGAAAAAGGCATTACTTTAACACCCTGATACACAAGACCCTTATTATATAGCTCCTTGAAAACCCACCAGACAGATTCCATATACCAGGGATATAATGTTTTGTAATCATTCTTAAAATCTATCCATCTTCCGATTCTAGTCACAATCATTTCCCATTCTGCTGCATACCGCATTACAATATTTCTACATTCTTTATTATAATTCGCTATTCCCATTTTAGCAACATCGTCAGGACCTTTTATGTCCAATGTCTTATCTATTTCAAACTCGACAGGTAAACCATGAGTGTCCCAACCAAATCTTCTTTCCACATAAAAACCAGATTGATGAGCGTATCGTGTTACAATATCTTTTATTGTGCCAGCAAGTATATGACCGTAATGTGGCAAACCAGTAGCAAAAGGTGGGCCATCATAAAACGTATATTTCGGTTTTCCTTTCGATTGTTTCAAGCAATTTTGAAAAGTATTTAGTTTTTTCCACAATTCCAATACGAGCTCCTCTTCCTTTGGAAAATTTATCGTCTCCGGAAGTTTTTCCTTCATTTTTGAAGATTTTTACCTCGCGATCTACTCAGTGCCGGTTAATTCTGATACAACCAGTTCAATATGTCATGCACCGTATCGTACTCGTAACGAAATTTTAGAGAGGTTAGCGCTAAACTCACAGCATGCTGCATGTGTTCCTAGAAATGTAAAAAGACTTAAAAGACTTAAAAGCTCATACACAGTATGGCCAGGTCGTGCATAATTGAGTGCATCGAAATCGACAATAGTGACGACGAACTTCCTTAGCGTTTAACGGAGTGGTGGGGATAGCATGCATATACTTCCGCACGAGCCACGCGTTCGTGAGCTCGGCACTTCGCACAATTTCGGGAAAACGATAAAGAACGCTAGTGTGAGTAAAAGTGCTGAGACAGCGAGGTCGCGTTTCAGCTGTTTCTCTTTCACAAGAGCAAGAAGGAAAGGCTCACACTAGCGTTCTTTATCGTTTTCCCGAAATTGTGCAGTGTCGAGCTCACGTACCGTGGCTCGTGCGATAGTATATGCCTGCTATCCCCACCACTCCGTTGGACGCTAAGGAAGTTCGTCGTAACTATTGTCGATTTCGATGCACTCAATTATGCCAAATCTGACCACACCGTGTCACCGTGTCCGTCAATAGCGACAATGCGTATGCAAGGAGGTGAGATGAAAAGACTTTTCACAGACGCAGAGTAGATGAGATTTTTATAAGTGTTTTTGATGGATTTTAATTTTGCCTTATTGCCAATTCATCTAAATTGAGGTGAGGATACTAACAAAAATTAACAATGAAGTGAGAAGAATTGTTTACAATGTGAAGTTTACTTTATAATATACCGAAAAATATATGCAAATGTAATAAACACACAGATTTTCTTGATTCGTATCAGTAACATTCACTTATGACATTGGGAAATAGAAAGAGTAATGCAAATGTATTTCAATTACATAGGACCAGCTTCGCCTTATTTTGAAAGTTTTAAAAGAACACTCCGAATTTCACCTTGAAGTTGTTAATATGAAATCAGGATTTTCTGTTTTTGTTTATAAATAATACATTTTGGAAACGTTTCGGAAAAAGCAGTAGTATCATTATTTCGTGGCACCTTTTTAATTAATAGAAAATCAACTATATTTAGCATAAGTATATATTATAATATAATTTACATATAATGAATATGGGCATGTATAATATCTTTAAATATATTCCATGAATTATTTATTGTCGATGAACAAACATGACCATATGTTCCTCTTACTTTTTGCGACTCTGTTAATGTTGTTTTATTATTCATATATATTTATTTCGTTTACACAGGTTAATTCCAAATTATGGAAATGACTCAGATCCAGGGTGTTGGAGATGAAGTTACAAATTTCTTTATTGTTGTGGTCGTCCTCTTGGTAGGCTGGCTTGCATGGTATTCTACTAGTATCATAGATCATCCATTAATATTGACATTGCCAATATTACAACATCGAACACACACACATAACGCCGAACTTACATCTAATTATCAAAATACAAACATCAGTCAGGCTTCAAATATGGAGATATCGCAGGAAGAATCTGTAGAGCCAATTACTGAGAATAATAGCAATAATTCACAAAGTTGTCCAGAACCATCTGTTGCAGGTAATATATCCTATTTCAAAATACTTCTATAAGAATAGTAAATAATATCAGAATCATTAATTATATATCATGATAGACACAAATGGAGAAATTTCCTTAGAATCACATAGAATATTCGAAGCAACTGCTACGGAAGAAGTACTTATTGAAGCTATGGACTCGTTCAATAATGTTAATACACCTTTGTTGCAAAAGCAAACTAAAATAGATACTACGGAGGAAACAAGTATACCGACATCAGCATGCATTGATAATGTAGAATGCAGACCTGAAAATCTTTCAACGAACGATGCTAATGAAATTAGCATAAAACTTAAGTTTATAAATGATGATGAAAAAGTAGTTATCGGAAGTCTTAATGAACTACTTGGGGACTTTAAAAGGTCCCTACAATTTAATACATTTAATTTTTATTTCGAATTTATAAAAAGAATAAATATGTAAGAGACATTTATATTTTTGCAGGAGACACTTCCAAACGGAACTTGATGAACAGAAATTGGTTCGTTTAATTTTTAAAGGGCGTATATTACAAACTGATAATCAAACGTTAGAACAATGTGGTTTGTATAACAACTGTGTAGTTCACTGTTTGATACACCAGCCTAAACCAAGTTCCATACCGCCTCGGACGTCAACATTAGACAATTCATCAGCAATGTATATCATTCCTGTATCAATTTCAGATATACCTGCAGCACTAGAAGACGTACTTGATGCCAGAGAAATTAGTTCAGTACATAACGAATGGGATTTAAGTAGACTCTTAGTCTGTATTTTGACTCTTATTATAGGTGTTGCTTGGTATACTTTGTACTATCGTGTTCAACTTTTTACTGCAATTAGTACTCTAGCATTATACACGCTCACTACAATTTTCACAGTTTCGTTATTTAGTCACTTCTCTCCTGATCATGATAACATTAGAAATGTTCCGTAAATGGGAATTAGATTTGTTGATGAACACAAACTAAAAAATGTATAAATATTTATATAAATATATATATATAATTAGTAATGTATTGAAACTATTATAATTGTAATTTGCTACAAGATATATTTAATATTACTTCCAGAAAAAGGATATTCATTGTTATCTTTAACAAAGGGCATCATCAAGGGTAGTAACTCGTAATTGTCTCTATAATTCATTGTACTATAGTAGTTCGTAGATACTGGTCCTTATCTAAAATGTTTGCACCATATTCATTTTTCGCGAACCTTCCATTCGACCGGCGCTCCCAACAATACAGTCCGCGATTTCAAACGATGTATATTTAACCATTGTATAGTTTATTATCATTTATTATTCCGTAATCGTGCATGCATATAAGGGACTGCAAATGATTTATAAATCAACTGGTTTGGAAGGATTAATTGAAAGAAGGTCATTGTATACATTTTTTAAATGAAGTTTCACACCATAGCTATCTTTAATCATAGTTTATTGTTTTTTGTTCAATTTGTAAATTAAATTTAATGTAAAGATATATAAAGTTCTTAATTAAGTACTTGAATAAAAGAAATTTGTTTTATAAACAGATGTGCTATATTTAGTGTATTTGTTTTTAAATCACATATATTACTGTATTTATATTTGAAATAATACTATATATTCCCGTTGAAAATGTTTTTTTAATATATAAAGATAAGAAATAGAAAATATGTAGTATAACAGATAAAAACATTTATGACTAGAAATGTCTCAAATATAAAGAATATAAATGGTATGGATAAATTAAATGTTTACGATTGTTGCGTAACCTGTTGCATCCTTTGCCGTTGCCCATTTATATAAATAACTTGTCTTTGTTCGTCTGGATGAATAAGCTCATCTGTATGCTTCCAGCGCCATTTCTTTTCACTTTCTTTAATACGTCTGTGGTCAATATAACTAATAATACAACTTGTCGGGATCCATACGATAGCAGTAATAATTATGACAGCCCCCACTATATTATCTTTCAAGAATCGCATCACTTTATTAATATTTATGTCCTCGATAATATCCCAAAATCGTTCTACTACATCCTGAATTGTTTTCTCGCAAATACCCTGGAAACATTTGTTAACTTTAATATTTTTACATATGATATTTAACAATATCTCTGAAACAATATTACCTTATTACAGAAACCTTGAATGCATGGTGTCCCATCAGGTAAAATATCCTGTGGATCTATAGGAAAACAGGTCTCATTTAAACTCATTCGACAGCACCTTTTACACGCATCTCCAACTGTGAGTAAAAATTTAATATGAGACCATATAAATATATTTCATACACCTTGTAAATTATAGCACACAGAATAATAAACATACTTGTATCGCACATACAACTCTGTAGACCTTGCGTCTCGCAATATGGTACGCACTTTCCGAGTCTACATTGACCTCTCTCGAAGCAACCTGTACCATCTTTCAGTGGTGGAGATCTAGGACATTCGCTAGACGCTCCAGTACAGCGCGATTCTTGCTCGCAAGTAGCATACTGTGCATCCCTACATTTTACACCTAACGGCATGAACGCACAACCTTGACAGCAGGGTGAGTTTTTATCGCTATAAAAAATATTTTACATAAAATAGAATTAAAAATCGTTAGCAGAAATTTTTTATACCGCAATAATATGTACGCAAATACTCGCCTACAAACTGCTGCTTGATTTCTACGAAGTTTACAATTTTTATCACAGCAAGCATCGTTGTCCTCTGTTCCCAATAATCCTGCGTCACATTCTTCGTCTCCCTCGACTCGTAGATTACCACAAAACGATTCTTCTGGTTCAGAAAAACAGCGACCAGACTTTGCTTGTAAAACTTTTCTAATGGACCTTAAACTACATGGCGAAAAACGCTGACCCATAAATAGTTAATGAGTATTTTTTCACTGTTATTGTATCTTGTATATTAATTAAATATACCTTATTATTTACATCGTATCCACTAACACTATACGTGTACATTAAGTATGACCCTCCTTGACTAGCACTTGGACTGCATTCCTGTTAAAAAATTTCATTTGTTTAACTCTTTTTGCTAGTAACGAAGACTTTAGTCGTCCGAAGCGTAAAAGCAAAAAACTTACTGTTATATCTGGATCATGTTCGGAACCCCAATTGTGTCCAAATTCATGTGCAGTGACTAAGTCAGCTTCTCTTGTAATCACTCTTTGTCCATAATGATTCCTGCTAGAACTCAGTCCTGAATTGAGATACAGCGTGTAGCCATTCTTGAAATATTCTAATATATAAAAGTATTAAATGAAATTTAATTTTCTATAGTGTTTGTACATTGAAGTAAAGAATTCTTTCACGTACCTGGTGTACAGATTCCACCTACTGAATTTCTACGAGGTGATCCGACGTATGCTAATCCCAATATACCACCCTCAAATTTGAGATCAGTAAACAAATGAGCCAAACAAAAATCCTTATGGCTATATTCCCGACTAAATACCTGAACGCCATTTATATAATTTCCATACAATTTTTAAAACATACCGTTACAATTAAAATAATAAAAGTATTTTGAATAAATGTAAAAAAAATGATAATTTCACCTCGAGTAACGTGCGTACATCCCATTTTTCTCTAACCATATTATAATGTGTTTCACCGCCTCTTACGCGAGTTGGTTCATTATGAACTACTATCTTTTTAATAACAAATCCCATTCCTTTAAATCCATCTTGTTCTTGTCGTTCTTGCCACAAAGTATCATTATAAATTTTATGTACCCTATCGATTAAACTGATCTGCAAAGTATAGAAATATTTTTAGCGATTAATACAATATTTATTTTTATACGAGAAAATATTTATTTACCAGATAATTAATAGTCGTTTTTGTATTACTAGCACCCATTTCTTGGTAAAAACGATAGTCGGCAACCAACAACAAAGGACATCTAGTTTTTGTGGGAGTATATTCGTAAGTTTCTGTTTGTCTTTTTGTTCTGGCAAGTTTATTGGATTCTTCTTCAGTCTTTTCCTCGTCGTTTATCAGAATGCCTGTAACATAGATCTTGTGTAATATTATTCAACGATATCATCTACAGGAGTCAATAACCAACCTAATTCTTCTTTTACATATCCACAGGTTTTAGGAACACCATGTGTATGGCCTTCATTGTTTTGAAAATGTTCCCAACTAAGTTGAACATCTGACGATTTATAAATAATCATTGTTTCATTTCCTAAGTGAGGTAGATGTCTCCAAGATGGCTGTAGTGTATAAAATGTTTTATTATTATTACAAATATATATCATATATTGCTATCTTAACTAAAATATATTACAATAAGTTATATTATGTTAAAATTTATTACTTAAAACGATGCAGAACATACTTCAATGTGAAATGTTTCATCAGAAATTGTAACACTGGCTGTTAGAATTCCATTATCGATATGTACTTGCGCATGAGAGTCAATTTCACCAAATACACGTCCATGATAAAAACTTTCATGATCTTAAAACAAAAAACATATTACAAATACATTAAATTAAAATATTAGTTATACAAGAAGATACATTTACACATATATATGTTACCTAAATGTATAGTTTTTTCTTTTCCTTCGCCATTTACTTCGTACGCTTTAAACTTGGAATGAATAACTTCCCTTCTTGGCGTTAAGATTAAACGAAAAGATCTATCAATCAAAAAACATGCTTTTTTTTCTTTCTTCTCAGAGAGAGGATTACGTTATTTCAATAATTTATAGATAATGAGTTTACCGTCCATGAGAATAAAATTCTAATTCGCTTATTTTGTTATAAGGATGATAACTATGTTGAACGCCCCGCTTTATAATTCTGTGTTCAAGATCGGATGCATGAAGGGTTTCATAATATTTTAAATTTCTATGAAGCCCATCTACAATAACACATTTATCAAAATAAATCAGCAAGTTGAAATCAGTTGTACGACACAGAGCAACAAAAATTTGATACGTCCAACTTACAAATGTTTTCTATAGTAAAAAGCATGTAGTATATTAGAAATGTATTTCGAATTTTCATGTCTGTAGGAATGTCTCATACTATCAACACGTTATTTATTATATTTAGAAGGATATGCTTCATCTTATGTATGGATACTTCATTCTTGCCTTTTACTTTCACATATGCTCTTTAGGCAAAATATAATTGGAGGCATTAATTCGTTTCGTTCAAATGAAATATGGTACGCCAAGCACATTCTTTTCTACGTTACACAAGTCTTTTAATTGGCAACCTTATTAAAGTACGAATGAAATCATTATCTAATCCTCTATTTAACTTTACTATTTACCGATTATTACGCGGATGTTTACGCCAATGTTGAGATTTCGAACGCTTTGAATATATAAAATGGCGGAAAAAACGAATGATGTATGCACTACCTATTTCGCAATTCGAATCTGAGTGATATGTAAACTTAAAAGAATTTAATTGCCAGTTGTTAGTCTCTTGGCAAGGCGGGTACTTCGGTTTTAATGGGCACGCTACGTGCAAACGTTTATAAACTCTAAACGAATAAATTCGACCACAGATATTTTATAACATGAAAGGTCCAACGTCATTTTAAAATTACCAGATCTGCCAAGATCTGTTGTTGAAAAAAACGATGTCATTCGAGATAAGAAACGAATATTTGCCCCTGATTCGATGAAAGGATTGACGTTCGACGCGAGAACCAAAAAGAGAACCTTGCATTGTATTGCATATTGCATTTACTATTTTTATCGATTCTCCGAAGTTGTCCGAAGTGCTGCATTCATCTCGGACGCCTTCGAAAAGTTGATAAAGGAGGCGAGTCTAACTTTTTCTCCCTCAGGTTCTCGAAACTACCGAACTCATATACCTACGCCGTGCACACAGTGCGTAGTGCGTAGTGCGTGAAAGTTTAGTGAGTGATTCTGGAAAAGTTCAGTCTGACTGAATCTGACATACCCGATTCGCAAGCAAGTACTTACACACTTAGTGCATCAATTTTTTAAAGTGATTTATTATGTTTTCATGTAACGCGTGTTGTTAAACTGAAATAGTTAGAATAAAATTAAAAATGTCGCAAGAGTCAACTTTATTGTATTGTTACAATCATGGGTGCGGGAAAAAGTTCGATCCAAACGATAATAAAGACGGTACGTCAATAAATTTCCCATGAGAGGAATTTAATAATATAAATATTTACAAACGATGAAACAGTACATTCAGTTGATCATTTTGTCGACAGTCAAAAGCTATGTAACATGCGAGTGCGACTATATTTCCAGGAGACTGTATTCATCATCCAGGTTATCCAGTATTTCATGATGCTTATAAAGGCTGGTCTTGTTGTAACAAAAAATGTACAGATTTCACAGAGTTTTTAAACATCAAAGGCTGTACAAAATCGTGCCATACAAATGTAAAGCCAAAGGAGCCAGAGAAACCTAATGTTGATAAGACTAAGGTTAACGAAGTAATTACAGTAACGGTTCAACCCCTTAACAATGAACGTGTCTTAGAAAGGCCTCCTTTCGACATTCCACAAACTACTATAACACCAAATGTTTCACCTATGTTGTTAGAACAAATTAAGGGATTAACTTTTTTACAATTAGAAAATGTGTCTGGAACAAAAATTGAAATTGGACAAAGTTGCAAAAATAATGCGTGTAAAGATGTATATAAAGGTCCTGCATCGGATAAAGAATTATGTAATTATCATCCCGGTGCTCCTATCTTCCATGAAGGAATGAAGTATTGGTCGTGCTGTCAAAAGAAAACTACAGACTTCTCTACATTTTTAGAACAACCAGGGTGTGCACAAGGAAAACATACATGGGTTTCTAAGGTATATTTGTATTTCTAATAATTTTCGTATATTGTTTATAATTGTAAATAAATTAAAATAATGAAATATTTTATCAAGTTTATTGATTAAAAAAATTCATTTGTTTGTTTTTAGAATATCAGTACAAAAAAAGAATGCAGATTGGATTGGCATCAAACAGGGACATTTGTTGTAGTTTCTGTCTTTGCAAAAAAATATCATCCAGACAAGTCTGTTATTAAATTAAATCCTATACGTTTATCAGTGGATTTGTCATTTGTAGAAGATAATTCAAGATATACTTGTGATTTAGAATTAAGGGGGGTATGTGTGTTGAGATTGTTACATAATTCTCAAATAATTATTTAATTCATTAACTTTGTTACATATTGTGTGCAAAATTCCATCTTTGTAGGTTGTCGATGTTATTCAAAGTAGTGTTAATATGCTTCCTACTAAAATAGAAATTAAATTGAAGAAAGCTGAACCTGGATCGTGGGCAAAACTGTATTTCTCTAGGCAAAGTAAAGCAGGAACTAGAGAAAATAGTACCCAGAATGAAGAGAACATTAGTGCACAAGTGGAAGCTGTTGATCTTAGTGATCTTTAAACATTTGTGTTTAAATATTTTGTTAAAAAAATAATTATATTTGATGTATCTTTGTTTTAAGGTTAATAATTTAATTTTAGAATACAAGAAATATTGTCGAAATTCCGTTCCCAAGAAAACTGCAATTCTTGTTTTGTAAAATCTAAACTTTGATATTTAATACATTTTGTTTTATTTATGGTTTTCCCGGATATATCGTTCACTTATGAATTTACAAGATTTTAGAATACAGGTGAAAATAAATTTAATAATTTGGAAATAATACGAATGCTTGATAGATTGTTTTTCTCATTGGTCTCAGGCGAATTCCATCTACGTGAAACATAAACACGAGTGAAATTAACCTATTGGTATTAGTGTGTGCATAAGGACCTACACTCAACCTACAGTATAAGCATTACAATAACTTACGCTTCCGACCCGTGCGTTTCTAACGAACTTATACTGCATTACGTTACATTAATCTAATTAGAAAATTGCTTAAATTATAATTTTTATATATTCACAACTAAATTAAAAATATTCTTCTATTTGAAATGAAATATAAGAAATTTCTATATAACATTGCTTTCATAACCTACATTTTATTCAGTAGCGACTAATATAATTTTTGTTATACGTATTAAATATTACAGTGTTTGTAATATAATTTTTAATACAGTTTATTTGAGATATACTATGACTGTTGTACCTCATAAATTACGTGTAAGTAATTGCCAATAATTATATTTAAACTCGAATAAAAATAATATTTTTAGGTATATATATATTTGTGTAGATACTTGCTATTCACGGATATGCTCAATCAGATGTTATTTTCAAGACGAAATTGGGATCACTGAGAAAAGGATTTAAAAAAGATGTAGAGTTTGTATTTTTAAATGCACCTCATCGAGTGTCGATGAAAAGTAATTTTGGCAGTGATAAGATAGAAGAAGGTATTGTCGTACAAAATTTATGGCTCATCGAATGAAGAATTAAAATCCAAGCTTTTATACTGTAATAATTATCCGTTTAGTCTACGAAAAGTTTAATATTTGAAAATAATATGTATCCGTAAATTATAGGTTATGCGTGGTGGTTCAATACGGAAGACCATATATTTAAAGCAACTACGCCAAGCAATTTATCTGTAGGTTTTGAAGATAGTTTGACTTTAATTGAGAAAACGTTTAAAGAGTCTGGCCCATTCGATGGTATTTTGGGCTTTTCGCAAGGAGCAAGTTTTGTTACTATATTATGTTCCATGCAGCAAAAGAAATGTGAGTACATTGTATAAATATTGTAGTAACCGTGAACAATTGTAAAAGAATTTAGATTTAAAAGCAAATAATTATTTTACAGTACTGCGAATCAAATTTGATTTTGCAATTATTATATCCGGATTCAAATCGTTGTGCGTACCTCACGCAACATATTACGATGAAAAAATAAGTATCCCCGCTTTAATTATTTATGGGGAGAGTGATAAAATTATTCCACCAGGTTAGATAGTCTTTAATAAGTTATTACAAGGGAAAAAACTATTACTATATTATTCTTCTTTGCAGAAATGGTACAGGAAGTTGGTAAATTGTTTATTAATGAAACAGTATTAAAGCATGAAGGTGGTCACTATATACCAAGTAAAAAAGAATTTTACAAAGATTTTATAATGGCAATGGTACTGAATAAAAACAAAGATAATTGTTAATATCTAATCATGCCGTATGACATTCAAAGAATAATATAATGTATAAATATAGCAAGAGCTTATATAGATTGTATTACAAAATATAATCTCTGTTGAGTAATATTGATAAATTTATTCAAATCAGCTATAAATAAACATCATACAGTATACATTAGAGGTAAAGATCATTAAATAAACTATATTGGGTCATCCATATGGCAACAAGTTAGAGTAAAACCACAAATGTGAAAATTTTCACCATTTCTAGTAGAAATGTATTTCAAAATCATTGGGTGATTTTTTTTTTTATTCCTAGTTTTATGCGTAATTTATAAATGCGAGTTATACACATTTATGGTTCTATCATAAGAGGGATGATATAAAATATATTTATAATACACAATCATTTAGTATTTTACTGAACTTTATGTCGTTAAATACAAAATGTGTCGCCAATTTTAAAGGTTTAAAGTTTAACAATTAAACTTATATAGGAACTAAAAATATGCTAAACGGTATATTATTTTGTCCAATACAGTGAAATATGCAAGTTATTTAAACTATTTATTTATTTCATGCATATCTTTAAATAAATTATAATGTTTTATTTTTACAACGAAATATATTTTATGTATAATAAGTGAAATGCTTAAGTAATATCAACTATCCTGGTCTATAATTTACCATTTCAGAAGCACGTACTTATGTTATTAGTATTGTGATCCCTAAATTTCTTTAGTAATACCTACAGTATAGAACTTCGTTTAATAAATTAAAAAAATATTACATTTAGATGTAAACAAATTATTACAACGACTAATTTATTGCAATATATTACATTTTTTATTCAAATTGTTATTAATTCAACTCAAATAAATTAGACGTGGGTTAACATTTAGATTTATAATCGTTTCTGAGGTGGCTATAACAAATTTTGAAAGATACAAGTTCATATATCGATCAAGTACTTCACATTGTTTGCATAAGTAATTTATAGGATATGTAAATAAAGTTCTTAAAAAAATATTGATAGAAATATTATATTTTATATTTAAAAAGATCATTTGCCGGATGCATTAAACTCGTAAAATATAATTAATATATTAAAGTTACATACACTATTTATAATTTATTATATTTTGAAATTTCTAATTTTTCCTAATCACAGAAACCGATATTTCAAAGGTTTTACTGTCGGTATATCTCAATTTTTCACATTGAGTAACATATAATATTGTTATTCATGTTCTGAAAAACCGAAAACATTATATTTAGATCTTAACTAAAACTTGATGGAGGCATATAATTAAATATGTAGAATGTATTCGACTAAAAAATAAATAGATTGAGAATATTACAAAATACTATGACATAAGTTACAATTGTAAATTACACGTGATTGAGGTATTTGGTCTGTAATGACATTAATAACAAAGCGTCGAAATATTTTTTTTTTAGCTATAAAAGATTGTAATAAATTTAAGCGTTGCACTCTATTAAAAACTTTATGTTTTATTATCATTTTCAGTCAATTGTTCAGGTATAACTAGTACTTGGCATTACACGCAAAAAAAAAAAAATGAACAGAAATGAAAAAGATTAATAATTATTTAGTACTTTTGCTAGGGAAATTAGAAAGTCTCAGAACACCTTTAATATTCATATAAAGTTGCATATATCTAATATTCACATTATGTTTGCTTAAGCTATCAGATTTTTTTTAAATATCTGACAATCGTAAAAATTATATTGAATTTAACACCTTATTGCTGCTCATTCACACATTAATATTGGTACAAGGCATCTGATCTAAGCCATTAGTTTCTTGAGATTTCATAACATCTGGTAGGTCAGGTGGCAATGAGAACGGTGTCATCTCCAAAGGTTCAAATTGACCATCATCTTGACGTACAGCTAAACCCACTAATGCAGGACACTGTGGCTTTGCGGTTGCAAATGTTATTCCATAATCGGACAACAATTTACTATTTGACATTAAAACATTATCCTTGTTGAACAGCTGTTGATTGACAGGTGGTATTTCTAGTATACCTGCATGATAATTACATTTATCATTAAATATCTTTATTAACATTTTACAAAAATTTAAATCATTTTACGAAACTTTACGAAATGGAAAATAAAATATTGGCATTTCTCGTTTGAACTGTCATATTTTGTTTCTTTAATTCATGTATATATAAGTTACGTATCCCTCACCTTCTATACGTTTTTTCAATTCAAGAACTGTTGTATTATCCTTTGTATCAGTAAATATTGTCATATTTTTTCGTCGGATCATTAGAAATGCATCCTATAAAGAAAACCTAGATTGTATTTGAGGTTATAATATCTTAAAATAAATTGGATTTGTATTACAAGGGATGATAGAATATTATGGGAAACTTACCATTATGTATTTAATAATACAACTAATACTGGCAAGGATAATTATTACACGGTTTTTTCCAGTGTTCCTTTGATTGTTGTTTACTTGCAGATCCTCAGGTTAAAGGTACAAAGTTAAAATAAGGTAGACATTTACGAACATCATGGTCACATAAAACACGTTATTCGATTGGTTCTTCTTTTTAAACGTAAAATATGTTTGGCACGTTATTTATCTCTTTAACCAATCGTAAGCCAATTTTATATTTTACGAATAACTACGAATCCTTAAAATAGAAATGACATTATTCGAGTATCAATTCATATATTGATATATCGAATTGATAAATTGAATGTACGTATAGTATGAACAGTAAGGCGACGAAGAAACAAAATCGTTTTGAATATTGATAATTATTGAATGCGAAATAGGCTAAAACATATTTAATACGATTTGAAAACGAATTACATCACTATGTGTACTTTTAAAAGTCAATGGAAGGAATAAGAACTTTCCACGTATAGAATATACAGGTTAAGGGTGTATTTGCATTTAAACTGACGATTCTGACGACGCGTGCAAAGAACAGCTCGCGAGAACTCTCCCATTGATCGGACGTGATCACGAAATATCACTGTATGTATTTGGAAACGAATGTGATTGAATCACTCGTGATTTAAAAGTAGCAGTTCCAGCCACCCTCTGTTGTATGGATGCATGCACCGTACGTAGTTTTTAGGGAAATATTTTTCGTAACTAGAATGTTGACTATAAGTGGCTAGTAATTTCTATGCGAAGGTCCTTGGCCTTAAGAATGCGGGGGCGTCGAACATTCGTGAATGAATCTCCCTTCCGCAATGACGTCACTGGTTGCCATCAGCCCACTGAGTCGTCCATGAGGAAAGCGCGATCTATGAAGGGGCGCTTGCGCCTTTCACAATGACCTCCTGTGCGGCGCTCTCGGGCTTTCCAGCGGAAATTCGACGAAAGCTCTGCTATCCTTTCGGTCACAGCTCGATTTCCACTGCAATCAGACGAGATGCAACCGTGGCACTCGTCCGCGGACTACTTCTTCAGGAAAGTTAAACGGCCACGGGATCGCGAGAACATTTAACGGGGAAGCCGTATCGAAACGTGAACAGATCTGTCGCGATATATTCTTGTGTGCAGTGGATGATACAGTAAACGAAATTTCGTACAACGCGCAACGGTTTCTAAGGGAGAAAAACTTCTCCCCTCCAAAAAGAGAGAAAGGAATCTTCTGCGTGTGGTTCGGCTCGTTGTTGCTCGTTCGTTTCCTTTGCGTGAACGAGCACGTTTTCGTTTCGATTGATCGATAACAGTGAATTAGGTCGTCCACAAGTCGCGCCCCAAACAGTGGAAACATACGCATAGGAACCACAAAAGGTGAAGAGATTCACGATCGGAGTTCGAACAGGCATCGGCCGACGTGTTCGACGATCTTGTATGCCTTGAGCAACGTCTACGTATATGATGAAATTACAGCTGCTCGTAATCGAAACGGATTACTGTTGGAGGAAAGCGTTGCTTAGGTAAGCAAGCGATCGCGCATTTTCACCAAGCAGCTTTTGCTTTTAGCACTTGTCTGTAACGTTAAGCTGGTTTAGAAATATTCCGTTTAAATGTCAATCCTCTTTGGAGACCGTTCTGTCAACGACTGGTTAATCGGTTACATTCTTATTTCACTATATTGTCATACGTTTCTGATATTATTTGATCGATTTCTGTAAAAGTTAATAGCATTATCGTATTTCAAATACAGAAATATATTCGAATTAATACAATGTTTTATCAACAAGTTCAATTAATTGCTTATCATTTCTCAATAATTTTGTTATTATTGTTCTTATCTTTATATAAGAATAATAATTGATGTATTATCTGTTCGTTTGATAAAAATGTGCAGTTTTGTGACCGAGTTAAATAAGTATCAAAAGCGTTTCAAACAAATTCCTTCAAAACATTTGAATTTGCCGCCGACAAAATGCCAAGTCGATAAAGTCAACGATTAACGACTGTCGGTAGTAAGGTTGAAATAATTGCCGCGATTGTCGCTACGCGCGTGTCGCTTTAAAGAATCGGGTGGCTCGTGCAATGGAAAAATGTGGCGATAATTCAGAACTCGGAACCGCTTCTAGTTTCTCGGCCGTCCCTCTCGTTCCCGTCCGTGTGCGGGTCTTTGGCTGACGCCATCTTTATTTTTTTTTTTTGTTGTCCAAGTGTCAATTTTCTGGAATCGTTCCGTACAGTGGATTTCCGAAAAGAACACGATGAGCGTGAACAGTGAGTGCTGTGAACTGACATTGTACGACCGGTTGTTTAAACTCGAGAACGATAGAGTGATCGCGATATGAGTTTGCGTCGTAGATCTAGTCTACAACCATCTCTGAACGATTAAGAGCCAGAAAGAAGTCATTAGCTGTTCGAGTGTCCATGTAAAAGTCATTCACTAGAACTCTTCCCCTTTGAAGTATTGTTGGTTAGTTTATGTGTTGTTTGTTATATGTGTTTTGCCTTCCTGTTGCACACCCGCGGGAAGCATTGTCCGAACGGACAATCCGGGTCTACATTTATTGGTTATGTTTCTGCTACAACCGTCTGCCGTAAATCGCACGCTTCTCTAGCACGTACCGATGTAGTGAGAGACTGAAAAGATACTGTAGTGCGTGTATGTAACAAATAAAATGCACAAGTTAAGATTACCTGTCAAGGTCGAATTGCCCAGTGCTTTAACAAGGTATGGTGATATTTGATCTAGCGGTATCGATACTATTCCTCTTAGTTTTTCGTTTTTTTTTTTTTTCACTGCATTATCTATATACGGGCGTTAAGTTACTCCGTTAGGATGCTTCATTCCAGATTGTAAACAAACGTAACACGTTGACGAGTAAATCAAAATTTAGTCGTCCCTTTTTTTATGTTACAATTGCATGACATGATTTTGTTCTGAATACGCAGTACATTCTATTTGTGTCTTCTACAGAACGTTAAAATAGCTAAGCTAATTGTATGTTTTAAATAGGAATACGGCATTACCATCGCAAGGGTTGTAATAATCTGGAATTTGACGCCATTTCTTTTTTCTTTTACACAAAATAGTAGTATCGATACATGTCGTGCAGACTTATTAATAATTTTTGGTTGTTTTGAAACGTTAACAAAAACGGTTACTGCGTTATATGCCGCGATACATTTCGATTCGCATAATGCATGTTTTGTACATTTGCATATGCTAAAAGTAAGCATGAAATCGACGCTCGTACGATACGATACATTCGAGTATCGGGAGTTCGCGGAATTGGGGATGTTAACATATTCTATCGGTATTATTTCCCATGTATGAAAATATATAAAAAGATAACATTGTAATTTTCAACGGTATAATTCGACCACGTATGTCTCTCTTACCGCAAATTGAGTTAAATTAATTTAATGGGGGGATTCTAGAGGGCAAAATAATGTGTTAATATCATCTTTACACGAAACATATTTTTATAGGTAAAGTTCAATGTCTTGTTCACATTATTTGTTGCCGCGATGAGAAATTAGAACGTCTAAATGTGACACAGTGGTAATAATAAAATATACGAGGCATACGATACGCGACTTGCAAGGAAAGTCTCAGAAGCGAGCTCAGTCGATTTTAATGAAATTTGGCAGAATGATGGATCTATGTTCAGAATAAACAGAACTAAAATTTCAGCCGCAGATGATCGGCCAATTTTGAGAAAAACAGGTATTTAAATTTGGAAAACACCTGTGAACACGTAAGTATAGTCAGCGTGCATTTTTACGAATTTTTTGTTTTAGAATCGTAACTAATCACGACAACTTTACAAACCCTTTTGTTTTTGCAGGATTAATAATTAGTAGTAATAAGACAGTCTCTTATCAGAATATAAATAAATAAATAAATCAAGGAATAAATATATAAATATGCAAAAATTTTTATATGCATATATTTGCACATACGTTAAGATGAAATCTGTCGTAGAAACAACAAAAACATAAATTTGTTTTCACGGGATTTTCTAAAATTTCTGTACTTAATTTTTCTCGAAATTTTAGTCAGATATACATATATCCATCAGTATGCCAAATTTCATTAGAATCGACGGAGGCTCTTCTGAGATTTCCCTTGCTATACTGTAGTAATTATTTAGTAGTTTTTTGTACTCCTGATTTCGAAACGTCTTACGTTCTTTATGCATAATCGCCGTTACGCGTTAGTTTCCAAGATATTTGCAAAAAACTGTTATTACTATTATAGTATATTCCGCCCATATGCACGCGTCCGTGACTGCGTATGCGTCAACATGAGATTGTCGCTTATGTATTGTTTCTATAAACCGAGCTGGGCAGATTTTATCCGCGATTAATAAACATTTTAGATTCGTTCAAAACTAACTTCCATTTATGTTTCATTCGCAAACGCGTCTGTAAATTAGAATTAATAAATGAATGTTTCAAACCGATATTAAGATGAACAAAGCTGCGGATTAAATGTACTTTTAGAATGAATCTAAAAATGTTGTTTATTGAAATGAGAACAGCTGATGATTCGATTACGTCATTGAGCGCCATAAAACTAATTTCAGCCAATCGTGACGTGTTCTATCTCGGTCGTAAGAAGTAACGACGGTTGGATGGAAATTTTTACCGGGAAGATTCGTGTGCAATTGCAATATAGGAATTTATGTAGCGCAAGGAATAAACTCGAGATAAAGGCATACCGATGGCGCGAGAAAAATTTTAATAGGAGATTCTAGGGGCCAAAATAAGACGAAAATCAAGAATATCAATTTTTTAAATGAGGCTACGTTAAAAAGTTATTAAAAAAAAAAAAATTAAAAAATTTCAAATCAAACTAAACAAAATTATATTTAGTTACAGGGGCCAATTACAAGCATTTTTTGTGAATAGACCTACCCCTGAATTCCTACCCACTTTCGAGAAAAAAATTGGAGTAGGTATTGAAACTTTTAGACGAAATTGAAAAATTTCAAATCATACTAAAAAAATTATATTTAGTTACAGGGGTAAATTACAAGCATTTTTTGTGAATAGACCTACCCCCGGAATCTTGCGCATTTTCGAGAAAAAAATTCAGTAATGGCGGAACTTTAAACGTTAATAACTTTTTAACAAAGGCTCCATCAACAAATTAGTATTGTTGATTTTCGCCTTATTTTGGCCTCTAGAATCTCTCACTAAAATTTTTCCCAGGGTTGGCTGAACACTCTGTGTTAATTTAAAAAGTTAAAAGGAAAACTGGTATAGAGAACTGATTATTTGGATATTTCAATGAAAGTTAAGGAAAGAAAATAAAAAATAAATTGTAAGAAATTAGGGAGATTATAGAGAACGAAAATACAAGTAATTTGGACTCGCTTGGGCGATCTAGTGTTAAGAATGCGGCGCGCGTATAAGGAGATGATTATTCCATCAACGTTGGTGACGTTCTCTAAGCGAATGCTTATTCTTCTCTATTAATTGAGTAGCAGCCGTTGAGACGTACACGTCGCTGTTCTTATGGAAAGTAAGCAGCCGACCTTGGCAGTCGTAAAACCTAATACAAGCTACAACACACCCTACCCATCTCTATCGAACTCTCCCACCATGCAGTTCTCCGTTTCCTGCAATACCGTAGGCCGAACGTCGAACGTCGAACGTCGAACCTTTCGAGCAGTTTCTCTGCGGGTTTCGTCGGCGAGACACCAGCGCGGCGCGGTGTCTCGCGTTCTAGCGGTGGTCCGCCTTAACCGCGATCTCTAATTACCGTTTCGTCTAAGTGGTATATTTAGAATTTCAACGTTTACGTGTTTCCACGCTGGCAAAACATACCAACAATTAATTACGTCACACGTGTACCAGTGTTTCTACAAGAAAGTACTTGCCATTCGTTTCGCGAGAAATGTGATACAATATCGATATTATAAGCGTTCGTTCAGGTACGTGAAATTGTACTTTCGCTAAGAAAAAAAAATGTAAAATGAAAAGTTGGTCGTACGACGTGGCAACTTTGCGTAAAAATTGTGCAGTAAATGTTCGTTAAATATTGTAGAGACGTGGGAGAGATGTAACGGAGGATGCCCGATTCGGTGTAATTGCGAGTTGTGAATTCTTCGTAATCAGTGATCGATCGTTTGTAGCCGTTTGTCGGTAGGGCGGGCAACAAGATACAACAGGCGATATCCCGCGAACGCCAGCTGGTCTGTGTTTCGAGTGAACGTCGCGTATTCACGGTTTTTCGAGTACACGTGCACCGGAGTGCCTCGAGCCGAGAACACCGCGGCGTCAGTTCTCGGCTCAACTGCTGCTGCTTACTTGCGTTACGGTTGCACAAGTGTATTTTTGGCGTCGCACGAGAGCCTCTCACGAGACCTTGCACAGTCGATTCCGGACTCCCGACTTCGATCGGCGTAAATAAAAATCGTACCGGGATTTATTCGTCGCGCGAAATCCTGATCGCCGTCCACGGTTCCGTTAACGAAAATATGAGTGTTCCTAATGGCGGAGATAGATCCAGCGGTGCGTTTGTTCCACAATCTTTCGAGTACACTAGTGCACGATTGAATTTCGCAAATATTACGTAAAACTAATAATAATATTTAGATAGATATAGAATGAAACTAGGGACAAAGGTGAACAAACAGGAAGAAAAAGAAACTGCGTATATAAATTGTTTATTGTTTCTGTTTACATTTTAATTGAAAGATAGAAATATTCAATTATACATTGTATCGATCTACGAACACCTTCCTGCGAACTATCGTGTAGTTGTTACGATGTTATCCAACAATGTTTACTTCAGCAATAATGCTTTGTCTGTCGGTCGTTGAATTTAAATTATTAAGAAACATAATCGGTGAAAAGGAAACTGAAGTTCGATAACCGTAACCGATGTTACATCGGAATCGTAATTTCAGTAATAGTTATAACTAGACTGCGTATGTGTATGCATTTATGGGGAATTTTAATTCTCAAGAAACTACAGAATGCACTTAATATGCAAAAATATAAGAAATACTTAAAGTAAGATACGAATTATTATATTTAAGGGTCGAGACAATCATCTACGAAGCTCCCATTTTATTAATTCTATTAATAAAAATATGAATTTGCATAAAGATCCGCAGTCCAGTTATAACAGTATTATAGTTAATCGTAACTGTTTTAGGAACCTAAATAAACAACACTTTTCAGTACCTAAATTCGATCGTTCATTACTGTATCGGGTATTCCGGGTATAGCAGACGCATTTACACGATTCGAGTAGATTTCTTACGTATAGCGTTTCGTAATGTCTCGTACAGTTAACTTGAACTCTTAAACTTAACATTGAAATGTTCATCGTCGGAATCGCGATTACATTGTGAATCGATTTCACCGTTGTGTCGGTGACGGTCCATCGATACATAGACTCGATCGTCGACGTACGGCTGTTAAAGTGTCAAGTACGACAAGTGCTGTCAACAAGACGAATCACGATCCTCGAACGTGATCGAATAATGGCGGTCGGAACAATAGGATTTCAAATGGTTCACAAATTTCTTTTCCACCGTTTCGTTTCTACAATACGCGTGCAATTGCGCATTCGCTGAACGCCAGCTCGCTGGGCACTCCCTCGATATTCGCGCGTCAATGGGGATTCTCGATCTCCGCTCCGGTGTTGCGTGTACAACGATCGGGCCAGGCTTTTCGCCTTACCGAGTAAAGTTAATCGCGTGCATATTAACGCGGATGTAGGACGACCATAGTACTGTTTCCAATTATACGGTCGCGACGGTGGTCTTTACCAATCGCATACCACGGTCCACTGTTTTTCTTCCGCCCTCTCTACCCGACTTCGTACCTGTTTCGGTCTCTCTTTTCGTCTTCCTCCTTTTCGCCCGCCTACTTACCGCGAGTATTCTGCACCGTAGTATTTACGTTGCGCGCGAACATGAAGCCGGTGCAAACTGTTATCTCGCTGGACGCGTAAGTAGATAATACCGGTGGACGCAAATCTTATTTTCTATTTATCGTTTCGCCTCGTTTCCCGTCGTGTGCACGTATTCGCTTGAACGGTCTTAGATTCTCGGAACAACGATCGACAACGATGATTTTCGGATTTCGATTCGGTGGTGCGCGTCGTTTCGTTTTTCTTTTTCTCCACACGTTTACGCGCGACAGCGAGCAGACATTTACTCGATGGCTTACGTAAGCGAGCAATTATTTTTTATTTTCGGCCGAGCGTACGCGGACTTTGAGGTTTTATGTGTTACGATAAAAATTTACCAGCGCGATAAACACACCGTACGTACCTGGTAATTTATTGGCGAGGTGCGACAAGCAGCGTAGTTGTAGTTGACATTCACGGTATTCGAGGGCTGACGTTCGTTTTCGCATCGACTGTGAACATTTTTCGTCCGTTTCTCGCATAAATTGATTTAAAATTTAGCTTGCGTGTTTTGTGCGGTAATATGTTATTTATAGTGTAAATTACATGTAAAACATGACCCTAGATTTATTTTTAAATAATATTCTTCGTTAACTGTCGATAAACGAATCAGAGTCGAGTGTAAGATAAACGATTTGGTTTATTTTGTTCCACCATAATCCCCGAGCCTCTTCAGGTATTCTCGGAGCGGCTTCGTAGAAACGTAACAGCTTAGTGTTTGCTCTGACAGTTAATACAACTTCGAGAACATTAGAAATTATTAGCGTTCGTTCGGTTGTCCCGTTTATAATTAGTCGTAGTCACTACGAGCTTTTCATTTATTGGAAAGTAAGTTTTCCAAACCACGTCCACGGAATATGAGATGAATCTGTATTCACAGTGTATGGGACACTGAGGAAAAGTTCGAGTTATTGTTAATAGTGCAGTTTTGTTTGTAACGCGAGGTTTAGACATATACAGGGTGTTCGACCAACCATGGGAAAAATTTTAATGGGAGATTCTAGTCGCCAAAATAAAACGAAATTCAAGAATATCAATTTCTTTACTGAGGCTTCGTTAAAAAGTTATTAACAATTACATTAAAAAAATTCAAATCGTTCTGGAAAAATTATATTCAGTTACAGGGGTAAATTACAAGCATTTTTTGTGAATAGACATACCCCTGAAATCCTACCCACATTCGAGAAAAAAATTCGAGTAGGTATTCAAATTTTTAGACGAAATTAAAAAATTTCAAATCATACTAAAAAAATTATATTTAGTTACAGGGGTAAATTACAAGCATTTTTTGTGAATAGACATACCTCTGAAATCCTACCCAGTTTCGAGAAAAAAATTCGAGTAGGTATTGAAATTTTCAGACGAAATTAAAAAATTTCAAATCATACTAAAAAAATTATATTTAGCTACAGGGGTAAATTACAAGCATTTTTTGTGAATAGACATACCTCTAAAATCCTACCCAGTGTCGAGAAAAAAATTCGAGTAGGTATTGAAATTTTCAGACGAAATTAAATATTTCAAATCATACTAAAAAAATTATATTTAGCTACAGGGGTAAATTACAAGTATTTTTGGTGAATAGACATACCCCCGAAATCTTGCGCATTTTCGAGAAAAAAATTCGAGTAGGTATTGAAATTTTTAGACGATATGAAAAAATTTCAAATCATACTAAAAAAATTATACTTAGTTACAGGAGTAAATTACAAGTATTTTTTTGTGAATAGACATACCCCTGAAATCTTGCGCATTTTCGAGAAAAAAATTCGAGTAGGTATTGAAATTTTTAGACGAAATTAAAAAATTTCAAATCATACTAAAAAAATTATACTTAGTTACAGGGGTAAATTACAAGTATTTTTTGTAAATAGACATACCCCTGAAATCTTGCGCATTTTCGAGAAAAAAATTCGAGTAGGTATTGAAATTTTTAGACGATATGAAAAAATTTCAAATCATACTAAAAAAATTATACTTAGTTACAGGAGTAAATTACAAGTATTTTTTGTGAATAGACATACCCCTGAAATCTTGCGCATTTTCGAGAAAAAAATTCGAGTAGGTATTGAAATTTTTAGACGAAATTAAAAAATTTCAAATCATACTAAAAAAATTATACTTAGTTACAGGGGTAAATTACAAGTATTTTTTGTAAATAGACATACCCCTGAAATCTTGCGCATTTTCGAGAAAAAAATTCGAGTAGGTATTGAAATTTTTAGACGAAATTAAATATTTCAAATCATACTAAAAAAATTATATTTAGCTACAGGGGTAAATTACAAGTATTTTTTGTGAATAGACATACCCCCTGAATCTTGCGCATTTTCGAGAAAAAAATTCGAGTAGGTATTGAAATTTTTTGACGAAATTAAATATTTCAAATCATACTAAAAAAATTATATTTAGCTACAGGGGTAAATTACAAGTATTTTTTGTGAATAGACATACCCCCTGAAATCTTGCGCATTTTCGAGAAAAAAATTTGAGTAGGTATTGAAATTTTTAGACGAAATTAAAAAATTTCAAATCATACTAAAAAAATTATATTTAGCTACAGGGGTAAATTACAAGTATTTTTTGTGAATAGACATACCCCCTGAATCTTGCGCATTTTCGAGAAAAAAATTCGAGTAGGTATTGAAATTTTTAGACGAAATTAAATATTTCAAATCATACTAAAAAAATTATATTTAGTTACAGGGGTAAATTACAAGTATTTTTTGTGAATAGACATACCCCCTGAATCTTGCGCATTTTCGAGAAAAAAATTCGAGTAGGTATTGAAATTTTTAGACGAAATTAAATATTTCAAATCATACTAAAAAAATTATATTTAGCTACAGGGGTAAATTACAAGTATTTTTGGTGAATAGACATACCCTCGAAATCTTGCGCATTTTCGAGAAAAAAATTCAGTAAGGGCGGAATTTTAAACGTTAATAACTTTTTAACAAAGGCTCCATCAACGAATTGGTATTCTTGATTTTCGTCTTATTTTGGCCTCTACAATCCCCCATTAGAATTTCTCCCAGGGGTGGCTGAACACCCTGTATATTTTGTGTAAGATCGTCGGCCATTGAAATTACAGGGGCGCGTGGAACGCTGGCAAACAAGTGTCACGGTAATTTAACAAGTCTCGAGGATGCGGTGGGTGGGATCAGTGTTTCTTGTCACGCGGGGACGGTTATCGAGTTATAATAATTTAGAAACCGTTGAACCGTGATAAACGTCGAGATAGAGTCGGTACGATCGACGGTAGTTTGATCAGCGATAGCAGAGTTTGCGGACGTATGTACGTGTAATCGCGGTTACAGGATTCGATAACGAAGCAGTCGCGGCACGCAATGCTTTTATACATATTTCGAAACAGCTATTCATTTATTACAGTCATTATACAATTGCCCAGGAGTTGTCAATACATCCCCTCTGCGATTCCCCCATTTCCACCCTATCGAGATGATTTGGTGAAATACTTTTACCAGTAGACGCTATTGGGTTGTACGAAAAGTAATTTCGTTTTTCTTTTTCGCGAGAAGGAACAATTTTCTTATAACATTTAAATATTTTATTGAATTATGTACTGGTCGTTTTGATCCAACTCGTAGAATTTCTGATCTTTATTTATAAAAGGACTGATGCAAGTGATTTTTGGCATCGCCGCTTCAAGTAAATGTTTCACCGTTTAAGAAACTTTTTAAAGGCCGGAACAAGTAATAATTCGATGGTGCCAGAACTGGCGTGTATGATGGGTGTGGTAGCACGTCCCAATCCAAACTGTAATAGCTTCTGACGAGTTACTAAACTTGTGCGGGGTCTGGCATTATCATGGCGGAACCCAAATGTCGGGCTTCGAAGCCAAGTCGTTTCATGCGATCGCAGACGGGTTGTATTCGACAAATTTGACGATTCTTCGTGTTGTTATTCTTTGGTGTGCTTCAACCAGTACTTTTATTTCGCCTTCGTCAGTTTTAACTAGCCTTCGAAAACGCGAGCAACCTTCGATATCAAAATTGCCATTCTGTTAAAACATCCTTTCCGTACACATCGTGCAATTTTATTCTTGCCTGAACAGCATTCTTACCTTTTTTGGTAACAAACAAGCAAAATATGTCGAAAGTGCAGCATCTGCTTTTGCGCAAGAAATACAATTGCCCGGAAACAGACAAAATTGTTTGCAAACAAGCCTCGAAGTGTCAGCTGCGAAAATATATAATGAGAATACGGTTTAGAATAAAGTTGGCTGGTTAAAAATACAATTAATTTCCAAATTAATCGACGTTTATTTTAATTAAACACGCGTACTTGTGCCAATAATTTTGTGACTCATTGTACCTTGTCTATTATGGCGTTGCATAGAACTCTACCGGCGAACGAAGGATTCGTCCAACGGTCATTAGAGTCTGCCAATCGAAGATCCATCCAGTGTGTTCGTCAATTATAGTAGGTGGAGCTGTGAATCAGTTACGAGGAAAAAAGGAAATGAGTCACGGTGCCGGCGTCGTTTATTCGTGACGTAAATGCGACTCTTGTTACGAATGCTGGGGTTTCACTGTTCGTTGAAATCGCTGTAAACGGCGTCTTGTCTGTATGCACCGGAATGCAAGCGTTTACCACCTTTATTAACCTGATCGACTACTGGGTCGACTACCTTAAAATTGTGAACCTTTCGTCTGGGAAATCGGGCCGCTTTATTATTTTCACACGAAAATCTCACAAAGAGTTATTCGGTGTATTTGTTAACAGCATTTTAAAATGTATTTCGACCGATTACTTCGATAGAACGCTTCTCTATTTCCGTTCCATTGTACTCTTGAATCGCCAATAGTCGATTCACCTATGTTCGAATCAAGGGCAATTGACCTTAATAGTTCCATTCTTCGCAGAGCTTCGATTTTTCTTTCTAACGAGACAACTCTTTCCCGTTTACCGATCTATTTGCTTACAGTAAACGTTATACATGTAAACTGGAAGTGAAACGCGTGATTCTATCGCTATGATCACCGCTTAACGCATGCGCTATGGGGCTGATTAAAAATTGTGTCTTTTGTCTGTCCAATTGTTCACGAAAAACAAAATAAAGTATTGTATACGATATATTCCGTGAAAAACATTCTGTTAACGCATTATTATCGTTTACTTTTACATGTTCATGTGCTACTGTTATTATTATTCGGTGAAACCTAAAATAAAGAGTTCCTATCGAGAATGGATTCCGTGGTACGCTGTGAGGAGGGTCGAACGAACGAATTCCTCGGCGATCGGATAAATAAAATACCGGTCGGTTGTTTTTCGAACGAATCGATCGACGATGTAATGCAAAATCATTTGATCGGACAATTGAACGAGTCGCGAACAACACGATGACGCGAAAATATAATTGATGAGGGGATCAGCGTCGGTCGACAAAGAAGTTATTGTCTGCAGATAAAAGGCTTCCTCGCGGAGGGTCTCCGCACGATAACCACGCGTCTGGTATTAGGGTTAAGCTTCTCGTGGCAGTATAGTCGCGAATTCCTACAATTGCATTTAGCAAATTGCAAGCAAAATAGATCGAAGATGGAATCCCGTCGATCCGGCTGACCGGGTAAACACAATTTTATTAATCTGTTTACATTCGTCATCGTCGATTTTTAAATCTACGCACGACGGTGGTTCTCGTTTCAAAGCGAAACCAGACATTCGAGATCAGGTTCGGTTTTCTTCGCGATGTATTGCTCGCCGCGGATTTCTAAATAAATAGTCGATTCGTTGGTCCAAGTTTCTGTACGAATAAAAAGAAACAAGGAAGACCAGAGCACCGCCTAAATCTTCGAACGTTTCAAGCTTTTAAATAGGAATACAATAAAATGAATTTTAAAAAAGTTGTATAAAAATTACGTGCAACTGTAACGGTAGATATTTCTGGAGGTGATTATTTTAAAAGCGTCGTTTATCTGAAATGTTACAAACGCCAAGGTCGTAAGGTCTCGTTTGGTTCGCTTATCGGATCGCAGAGTGAAGACTCTGGTTCCTCGTTAAACGACTCGATGAAAGTCGTGGAGTTTCTTTTCCCTTGCAACTGCATATAGACACTATTACGAATTATCGTTCTAAGAATCGAAGAAAAAGAAAGGCACACGATGCTGTGGACTCGAACGAAAAATAAGACCCTTTTTGTCTTCGTCTGTGTTTCTGTTCTTTTGGTTCGTTTATTTCGCCCTTTTTTTTTTTACCGTTAGGTCTGTTTTTCTTTGACAAACGCCATTTTAAGCCAATGCGTTCTTTATGTGTTCTAGTTATTCATCAAGATGCCATTCTTCGCAGATATCGATAGCTCTATTAGTTAAGGTACTGATTATTGAGTCTTTTTGTGCAGGATTGTGGCATTAAGAAGCATGTAGGTATTTGGCTGTGCGTGTGTGTGGGTTTTCTGAGAGAGATGTTTCAACAGATATTGACAAAAGTTAAAGGAATTACCGTTGTATCGAAACACGTGTCTGATAGAGCAGCTTTGGAGCTTAATGTATTTTGAAAGTTAATATGAATTTCTAACCGTAATAAATCGGTCGACAAATTGCGGTAATTCTTCTATCAGTGAAAAATTTCTTAATCAGTACGATTTGAAATTTAGGCTTACGTTTGAAACACACATACATATATCGTAAGACTTGATGAACGTGTTAAAATTATTTTTCGAGGGCATAGTACTTACGTTCGCTTATTTTTAGCTACACGTTCTTCTATATTTTGGAATGCAACTAAAAAGCCAGCCATTCTATTTAAGTATAAGCGCATAAGTGATCGTCGTTGATCTGCATGTGGATTGGATCCCCTCAATAAATTTTCCGGCTGTACATTTCGAATAAACTGAGCTACACTGAAATTTCAATACATCCAAATCTATCAAGACTTTTACGAGTTCTAAGCTTCGAATCATATCTGAATTAATTCGAATGTTTCGCCATATACATACATATGTCTCGAGCCGACTCGAAGTGCTTGAAATCCTGTTGCCAAGGATGGTATTCGGTCCCGAAACTAAAATTCGTTTTGGTTATCCGACACGAAGGGCCGTGTTTTACCATTTACCTTTTATTTGATTCGACATCGAAGCGAATAAGTTCTCGAAGGCTGAAAAGAAATTTGGATACCGGGACCGCGTACCATCGCCACCCGTTCGTCTCGCGGAACGACGAATGATCATCGCGATTGTAGCTGTGTATTCTGTTCGCAGGATGGTATTGGACCCCAAGGTCACGAGTCTGCACAGCGATTACGGTAGCTTCGATCGACCATTGGGCACCGGAGAAGGTCACGAGAGGGACGTAGAGGCGGCGGTTGATGGAAGCAGTAACGGGATGGCACAGTCGAGCGACGTTTACCAACGGCAGCCATTATTACCTGGTGCGCCGACCAAAGGCAAGGACAAGTGGTCCGGGGTGGCGTCCGGCTCCGACTATTACGTGGACGATGAGGACGAGAAGATCGACGGTCTTAGCCGGCATCCCGGGATACCGAACGGCTCCGGGAACGGCGTCGTTAAGATCGACATACCTGCGCCACTTCGCGAAGAACCCCGTTTTCCCAAAGAGAAGTGGAAAACCTTTCTCGGTAAGGTTCGCGTGGAAACTTTAAAACCGAGGAATCGCTACGTCGTGAAACTGTTTCAATTGTGGACCAGGTATACGAGCAGATCTTGCACATTATGGACTTACGTGGCCCAATACAACTATTATATATCCATTAAACAACATTGCCGTAGAGCGTCAAACAAAATTCGAAATTACAAACGAAGTTTTAAAAAAAATTATAGGAGGTAAGGTCGACAAAAGAAAAAAAATTTCAAATCGTTCTGGAAAAATTATTTTTAGTTATAGGGGTCAATTACAATCATTTTTGGTTAATACACATACCCCCGAAATCCTAACCATTTCCGAGAAAAAAATTCGATTAGGTGCCTCAATTTTTCGGCGAAAAAACAAAATTTCAAATCGCTTTGGAAAAATTATTTCCAGTTATAGGGGTCAATTACAATCATTTTTGGTTAATACACATACCCCCGAAATCCTAACCATTTCCGAGAAAAAAATTCGTTTAGGTGCCTCAATTTTTCGGCGGAAACACAAAATTTCAAATCGCTTTGGAAAAATTATTTCCAGTTATAGGGGTCAATTACAATCATTTTTGGTTAATACACATACCCCCGAAATCCTAACCATTTCCGAGAAAAAAATTCGTTTAGGTGTCGCAATTTTTCGCCGAAAAAACAAAATTTCAAATCGCTTTGGAAAAATTATTTCCAGTTATAGGGGTCAATTACAATCATTTTTGGTTAATACACATACCCCCGAAATCCTAACCATTTCCGAGAAAAAAATTCGTTTAGGTGCCTCAATTTTTCGGCGAAAAAACAAAGTTTCAAATCGCTTTGGAAAAATTATTTCCAGTTATAGGGGTCAATTACAATTATTTTTGGTTAATACACATACCCCCGAAATCCTAACCATTTCCGAGAAAAAAATTCGATTAGGTGCCTCAATTTTTCGGCGAAAAAACAAAATTTCAAATCGCTTTGGAAAAATTATTTCCAGTTATAGGGGTCAATTACAATCATTTTTGGTTAATACACATACCCCCGAAATCCTAACCATTTCCGAGAAAAAAATTCGTTTAGGTGCCTCAATTTTTCGGCGGAAACACAAAATTTCAAATCGCTTTGGAAAAATTATTTCCAGTTATAGGGGTCAATTACAATCATTTTTGGTTAATACACATACCCCCGAAATCCTAACCATTTCCGAGAAAAAAATTCGTTTAGGTGTCGCAATTTTTCGCCGAAAAAACAAAATTTCAAATCGCTTTGGAAAAATTATTTCCAGTTATAGGGGTCAATTACAATCATTTTTGGTTAATACACATACCCCCGAAATCCTAACCATTTCCGAGAAAAAAATTCGTTTAGGTGCCTCAATTTTTCGGCGAAAAAACAAAGTTTCAAATCGCTTTGGAAAAATTATTTCCAGTTATAGGGGTCAATTACAATCATTTTTGGTTAATACATATACCCCCGAAATCCTAACCATTTCCGAGAAAAAAATTCGTTTAGGTGCCTCAATTTTTCGGCGAAAAAACAAAATTTCAAATCGCTTTGGAAAAATTATTTCCAGTTATAGGGGTCAATTACAATCATTTTTGGTTAATACACATACCTCCGAAATCCTAACCATTTCCGAGAAATAAATTCTTTACCGAAAATCTAATTAGGTGCCTTTTTAAGCTGAAAAAAAAGAATTTCAAATCCTTCTGGAAAAATTATTTTCGGTTGCGGGGGTTAATTACAATCACAATTTTTGGTAAATACATGTATCCTCGAAATCCAAACGCACTTTGTAATGGGGTTCTATAGGCCCAGAAAAATGGGCTGAAAACATACGTCGGATGTAAGGTCCATTCAGATGCCTCGTGTGTGTTAAAGAGGAGCATTTATCGACAGGAGACAATGTTCTTTGCGTTTTGCCGCTCGATCGGACGTGTAAAGAGATAGAAAACAAGAGTTCTCGATCTGTACGGAGGTTGATCTAACGATGTCCGATCGACGCGTTCTTGATTGATAAATCCAATGCAATGAAGTCGTTGATCACTCGATGCTACTGTTCCTCTATAGCAGGGTTTCCCAAACTGTTTTTCTTGTGGAACCCTTAAGAACCGTTCAGGCGTCTATGGATTTCTGGCAGCCTGATCTAGTGGGCTGATCTTCGAATAAACGACTTTGAAACGACAGATAACCAATAATTCCTTTGGCAAGAAAATTTGACTGAATTTGTTTAATAGTTTGTTAATATTGTAATGCGTTTCTAATGAAAATATTGCAGCTAATCTTATTTCAATGTTACATCACAACTTTGTCTCGCGGAACCCAAAAATTATTCCACAGGAACCCACTTTGGGAAACACTGTTATACTCTATAGGTATAAGCAGAACCGCGGATATAGCGTTAGTAAAAAAAAAGTTTATTTCCTCGAGCGAATTCGTAGAAGAGCCCCTTAAAGGGGAAACAAGAACGCGAAACTAGATTTTGGCTCGGAGCCATTTCTCGCGAATGTGCTAGCAGATTTCGCGTAGTCGTAGCTTTTGATTAACGTACACGGTGCATCCTTTACGTATGCGCGTACGTGTGTGTTTACCTTTGAAACGTATTGTGCGGCACATCGACGCGAGAAGGAATATTTGAAAAGTATATAGAAAAGGGAAGCGGTCGGTGAAAATTTTCGGGACAAAAGGAAGTATAGCCGAGCGGAGTCGAATGGCTCCGTTTCAATACGGGCGGCCGTAGAAAAAGTAAAGTGGACCGAGGATCTCTGTTGTTACGTTCTCTATACGCGCGATATTCGACTTCACCACGGTGACCCGCATCCTTGCATCGCATCGATTTATTTTCTACCTGTCGACGCGTGCACAAAATGCGAACGCTTTGTTTCCAGTTAAATGCGGTCTATTCTGCGGTTTCCCGGGACTTTATTCCGCGTCTCGTTCCATTAAACCGGTTCGATCCGATCATCGATTAATTTGCTTCCGGATAATAAAGAAACGGGAAATATAGGAGGCGATGGTTGCGGTGCAGCTATGGAATTTTAATCAATTCGAAGCTTGGAACTTTTGAAAGTCTCGAGTTTCGATGATCGTCGATAGATCGCCGTTCCCAAAAATAAATAACGCGATGCATCTCGAAATACTCTAATTTGTTTGATTAAAACGCATCTAAGAGCGCGGGTCTCTGTTACAGCGTTTCTATTCATGGTAGTGAATTTCATACTAACCACGGCGTCTCTCGCAATGGTGCACGAACGGGTACCAGATCGAAAAACATACGGACCACTCCCAGATGTGGTGTTGGACAATGTCGCCGCTCAGGATTGGGCCCTTAACGTGTCGGAAGTTTTGATTATGATAATGTCCAACTCGGCGATGGTTTTTATTATTTTTCATAAGCATAGGTACGTATTACGTGGGAGCATGAACGAAGTGTTCCTTGAAAAATCGAATATTTGTGTTTAATTTTTCATTTAAAAATTTTAAACGCTACAATCACGCGTAAATAATAATTTTAAAGTCATTCGAAACAGTCTTTATTCTTCTCAGAAGTAATACAATTTATATTACAATATTTATATTAATTATAATCGAGTAATGTGTGGAATTTTTTAAAACATTCATTGGGATGCACATTACTTCCTTTTGGTGAACGAACAAGACATTTATTTTTTATTTGTAAACAATTACCGATAACGACCCAAAAATACTATCGGAGCGTTAAGGGTTAAAGAAGAAAATATCTACATAAATAGAAGGAATTTCGTGGTGTTTAAGACTATCTCTATCGAGGTTTTATGCATACCTGTTTCGACCAATGTCTAACAAAACCTTATTTTTTTTTTTTCAGATTTATTGTTGTTAGGCGAGTATTTCTTTTGATGGGATTGTTGTATATGATGCGAAGTATCACGATGTACGTGACGGTACTACCTGTAGCCAGTAAAACATACTACTGCAGCCCGAAAGCGAACAACACGAGTCCGTTTCTTATCACGAAGAGGGTACTGCAGCTAATCTCTGGCTTCGGCTTGTCTATAAACGGCAAGCACACTTACTGTGGGGATTACATTTACAGTGGTCACACGGTCGTGCTTGTACTTAGTTACCTGATTATCAAGGAGTGTACGTATCACCGGTGGCAGAATTAGCTACCAAGTGCTGTACGAAAATACTAAAAAGGAACGTCTTAAAATTTAGATTCTCCAAGAAGATGCCAACCGATACATTGGCTGGCTGGTATTGCAGTTCTCGTTGGGGTAATTATGGTCTTAGTGGCTCACGGACACTATACCGTGGACGTCCTTATAGCATACTACGTAACCACACGCTTATGGTATATTTATCACACGTTAGCCAATAATTCGCATCTTAAGGTAAGTTTTCTTACAACGCCAATATATTTGTACAGGGTACCGAATAACTAAGTACCATAAATCTCGGTAGAAACATCATTTACTTTATTAAATTGTTTCCCGTTTAATTTAATGAAAATGAAAAATGAACTTGATGATATAAATAGAAATTTTCGTTAGATTTTTTTGCAGGTTAAAATCAGTAACACATTGTTTGTTTTATTATTTGCTACGGTATGCTGATTGGCGATACTCGTTCTTCTTTTACTGAAAATGGCCAAAATGGTCCATTCCCTGGTATATGTAGGTATCGAGGCTTGAAAAATATTTTGTCAATTCATTACTCAGATCTATAACATTTAGTTCTTCAGGCCCCTTTACAAGAATCCACGATGCAGCGAAATTGATTTTGAACGGATACTATAAAGATAGCATGCGTATCAGAGATAGATCGAATAGAATTAATATTTGTATTGATGAGAACGTTCAAATGCTTGCAGCAATACGAACCAAACAACTTTCTGGCTCGGCTCTGGTGGTTTCCTATTCTTAAGTATTTCGAAAAAAATGTGGGCGGAACAGTGCCTCGACAATACAACTGGCCTTTACCCTGGCCTCGACGATTCCTTGCCAAGCATCCCAATCGGGACAGTTAATGTCTGTCTTAATTTCACGATAGAGGCTGTCAAACAACGGAGTTACTTTTGTTGTATTTGTATATATATAAACATATATGTATACGTAATAGGCTTACAAATGTGGAGATAAAGCTTTACTAGAAAGTGGTGCGAGAGATGTGCGTGATCTTTCGTCGAGCTTTTGTCTCGAGGTACTTGACGAAGGTTTCTGCAGTGTTCACTTCCTTGAAACTATAACACGAACGATAAACGAAACAACAAAAAAAAAAAAAAGAAGGATGTACCGCCATGTTCGTTATCGTCCAATCGCGATACCTATTTTTCCTTGATTTTGATACGACTTATACATAATGTAAGGAATAGATAACGATAGACCGAAAATTAGTCCTCGCGAAGAATTCTCTTAGAGGAAAACGTGTACGAGAGTTACCGAGCAGCTTAGTGTATAAAGTAAATGTTAGATATCTCTATTTTCAGATACTCCGAATGCGAAATACTTAGGATGTAAATTTATCGCCGTGACCGCGACGCCGGTGGCAGTGTGCGAACCACTCGAAGACAAAAAACTGTCATTGTTAACGGTAGAATTAACGCAAGAGACGAATTTTTTTGTAGCTCTCGTTTCGAACAACGACACAAATGGAATCTTCAGAGCGTCGATACGATTTTAAAACCCGCAGCTTCGTTTGCCGCGATATACCTTCCTCTGGCTAATCTTTTGGAACGCGTTCTAATTTTAATCGACTCTCAGATACAAAGATGACGCGTTTAATACTTAAATACGACGGGTGGCATGCCTTATTCCGATGAAAGTTGATCGAATGAATTCCATCGTGATCTCCGTTTTACGAATTGGTCAATTATCGTTTCGTTTCTATTCTATCTAGCGTGGATTCCCCCTCGAAATTGGTGTTCTCATGCGCGCGGAAACGTTAGAGGAATTGGCTCGCGTAGTTCGGAAGCGATCGTGCAATTTCGTGGGACCAAAACAGAATAGTTGGAAACGTAGCAGCGATTGAAAGTAATTGTTTTCAACGAATAAGAGATATTAATTCATAGTGATAATAGGATAAAGTGAAAAAAAAATGTTTCGAACGTTGATGCTTTTGATCTAGTTTCTAGACGACGGTGTTTCAAAGTTCTTAACGATACTGTAATGTGTTCTCTTGAAGGTTTTACAGAAAATTTCTTACATACCGATGCATTTCATGTTTTTCGCATTCAACCGACCTGTGTGATAAGAGGCGCGATAATTATATGCGGCACACTGTGAAATATTCGTGATTCCTCGGAATAAGGTCGGCTTTGCGCTCTACACACATACACCAGATTGTTGTCACAGCGTACACGAAGACGGTGTTACGAAATCGTGCGAAGAACGTTACGACGTGTCATTAACACCATAAGTCCGGCACTGCACCAAGGCGCCCGTCTATAAATGCCTAAAAAAATATTTTTGGACGTTTATGGACGGGCTCCCTGTGTGTTTGTTCAACTAATATCCGTTAGCCTCGTCCACGTTGAATTCCGTATCGAACATTTTTAAATTTAATTGCTAACAAATCGTGTCGTAAATGGTTTTCCCGTAAAAAGCAACAAACTATGTTGTAAATGTTTTTTTTTAGTATTTATGTACAGTCGATATTTAAAATTTGTCTACTTTAGGGATACGTTCTAAATTTCATCACGATCCTTCCAGTCGTTTATAAAGTTTATTTATAATTGTTTGGTACTTATCCCCCAACCCCGTTGTAGCCTAGAATGTTTCTCGAAACGTGTGAAACAAAATAGTGGCGGTTTAATCGAAATCGGTTCTGTATATTTTTAGTTAATCCGGAACGTACAAGCAAACAGACGAAAATTGAAAAAAAAATACGTGAGTCGAAATCGCGTAAAAATGTTGCAATTACGGACAAAGTTACAGTTTTATATTCTATATAGGTTTTAGAAATACGTGTAAAAACATAAAGAGCCGTAGCTTAAGACTTCGTTTTCGAACAATATTTAATAAACTAGAATTTCTTTTGTAGTAGCGTTGCACCGGGGCTCACCCTGTATAACAGTTTGAAAGAGTTATTTTCGGGACCGTTTCGACTGCTGGGTTCAGAGAGATAACGCGACTGGTTTTCGCATAAATAAAGCAGCGAGCGTAATATCAATGCAAACGTTTCTCTGGCAATTTGAATACGCGATAACAGCACCATGATCGGGGTCGAAGGTCGGATAAACCTAAGGTAGACGAATAGAAAGAACAAGGTGCTAGCAAGGTGTTCTTTGATGATCGATTCTTCGCATGGTTTTCTCATCCGCCGATCTTCTGATCGTCTCGCTATCTCGCAACAATGATTCTTTGCGATTCTTGCCTCGCTCTACCGTAAGAGCATTTCTGATCAGTTTTCATCGTCATTTGTCTTTGAGCTACCAGCACAAACGCTTAGATACTTTGCGTTGAATCGTGCCAGGACGCGCGAAGATTGTTCAATGAATCTCAGTTTATCTTTACCGAAAGATAACGAAGCACAGGTCGCGAAATGTGATCGATGATGCGTGAACGATTTACTTGTAAACTCTGTGCATAGTTTAAGCGACGTTACCGGCGATTTGTTCTCGTCTGCACGCACGATTTATTATTGTTAACGCTCGTGCAGAAACTTCGTTATTCGTCGTGCGAATTATCCACGTCTTTGATAGAGCCGCCCTGTTCTCGGCATCTCTATCGATGTTACCGTAAATAAAAAAAAAAAAATAATACAAAGTTGAAATCATCGGAAGGAACGTGTCAGTGGTCTTGTTTCTACGCTTCAAAATTCCTTTTTCCGACGCGCGCTCGAACGACGAAGAAACAGAAAGGGGAATAGAGACCTTCGCGACGCGAGAAAATAGTAACACGGAGTCTGTATTACATTTGTAATTAAATCATTTTCCGTCTGTGATGATAACAAAAAAAAAAAAAACAAAACGACCGCGAAACGATTCGTATTGACGTGTCCAAATCCACGGCCACTGATATTTCCTCTTAACCCTCTATGGACCACTTTCTCCGTTTAAATTAGCGCGAACACAAAATGCAATCCTCGAGTCGTAACGAGACTTTCCAAATTCCCTGAAACTCCCGACGAAAGTGTTTTCGATAGATAATCCCGGTCGGATCAAAATCAACTAACGTGACCATTTTTAAACGGAATTTCATAATAGGCGCAAATGAAAAATTTAAACAATTTTATACTTATTATTGATATATTAAATAGAAAATATTTGAGAGATTTCATGAGAAAATTTCGGTTCTCGATATGCTAAGGAGACCGAGTGTTTTTGTTTCCTCGTAATGTCGTTTTACTATCCTCCGCCACTCTGCTTTTCGTGTCTGTCGAAATCTACGGACGCATGGTTTCTATTTAAGAAAAACGCAACGTAAAACTGAGGCATGATTCGCGTCGAACGTGATCATTTGCGACAAATTGAGCTTGATCCGATACTCGCCACCTCTCCGATTGTTCCAGCGCACGCGGTGGTTTGGAAAGCGGTGTTTCACACGACAGAATAATGCAAAAGGAGCGATATATTTGGATTAAAAAATGTTTAAGTACAGAAATTGAAAAATTCGAATTTTGGCAAAGAAAAGTCTCGCTTTCCGGGTCACCGTGTAATAGAAACCACGCAACGGGAAACACACACGCATTCATTGGACTGTAGGGGGTTAATACTCACTGATGCGCGTATCGAATATATTTTAATAAGATTAAATGTGGTTCGTAGCGATTTTAAGTAACGCAGCAAGTCGACTCGCGTAAGGCGGATCGCTCAAGTATATTTTTCAATGTGCGTGTTAATAGAGACCATGTAGCGCGTATTATTACTGTTCGGTGAAGAGTCGCGTGAGCGATCGAACGATCCATATGTGCGATCGCCTATGTGTATTTGCAAATCGTTATTGTTGATCCTATCGGGCGAGTATGTTTTATTCGACGCACAGGAAGAAGAGACGACGATGTTCGGTCGCGTGTTGTTGGGAACGATGGCGGCCCGATGTAGAGGAACAGTGACCGTCGTTATCTGCCAGAGATAGGAGACGTTGATAAAAGCGCGGCGAACTCGGCCAACAAAGAACCGTGTCTATGCGAGGATGCGTAAAACGTATCGCGGCGCATCGCTCCGCTGTGTGTTTTCACGTACGCACACCGCGCGGAATATTATTTACACGCACACGATGAACGATTAAATGAAAATACGATTCTTCCGCAAACGGAAGGGCCTCGATGTTTACTAAATTAAAAGACAGAAGGGTAGAGCGAGGTACAGTAATGCACGGTTAACTTTACATCCCTCTCCCCCTCAAAAAAAAAAATCCATGATCCATCGGAAAAGTGAAGAGAATCGGTAAAATTAATAATCAAATTTTTCACCTTACTTTTTGAAAACCATACCAGTGCATTTCTGGGATTCTCTCGATCGAAACGAGCCCAAACATCGCACAAATCAGACCACTTTTAACCAACTTAACGTATACAGGGTGTATCACGTTACGCGAAAAATTTCACATAATCTAGATGTTTTTAATTAAATTTTATATACTGTGCAAATTTTATGTACATCCATTTCGTTTTCTTCTGTCTCTGTCGAGTGACGTTCGGGTACAGTTTTACAAAACGTACGCCATCCGTTATTTTTACAAATAAAAAGAAGTGTAAAATGAGCGAGCAAGTGTGAGTTGCAAATCTTAGGAAAGTTAACCGTACATCACCGTATCATTTTAGTAAAAAAAAAAAAAAAAGCGAAGAGTTAAAACTCGTGACGTAAGCATGCGCGTGAACAAGCGACATGTTGCGTGTCTGTGTCCTGTGTGTGTATATGTATACGCGCGCGTGCGCCCGTGTGGATGTCTGTGTGTATTTACGGGTAGATATTTTTTGGTAACTTGTTACGATAATTGTATTAGATTTGTTAAGTACATACACACGCGCACGCATACAGCGTGTTAAAAAAGGGGGGTCGAAAGTTTAAAAGGCGTGTATAGTACTCGTTGAGAACAATGTCTGAACAATTCTTGACCAATATAGTATTATGAGCACTTTTATAATCGGAGACCCCTTTTTTTTTTTTACACCCTGCGCACGCACGCGTGCACACACATACGCGCGCACACACGTGTGTAAATACAAGAATGATCAAAGGGTGAGCATCTTTGCGTGTTGGTCGTGTGGATCTTCGACGAATCGTGTCGAAGATAAAGAAGACGTTTGTTCGATGATTTGTGAAATGTGTCTTTTTTTTTTTTTTTTTTTTCTGTGTACAATCATGTTGTATGGAATTTATATTCTGCATCGACGACTGGCCGACATGGTTAAACTTGGTTTCTCGTTATCCTTTCAGCAGACTGTGTACGCAACCGAGTCTTCGCGATTAATTAACGAAATTGTTGCTCGTCGCTGATCACGATCTATCAACGTCGGAATTAACGACGAAAGGAAGAGTTGTATTCGAACTTTACTTTACACTTGTGTATTTAGAATATTTATTTTCTCTTTTTCATACGTTGATCTAATAAAACATTAGGCGATACTTTCCAATAGCCGGTTTTGCATCTCAGACCCGATGGCAAAGTTGCGTCGAGCATTTACTACTCTCGTGTAAATTTCTGTACAATAACCCAATGAACGCATCGATTCCCCCTCACATGTCTCGAGATCTAGTAAAAAATTATGAGTACAGTTCAAGCTCTGTTGTCTGTTGTCTGTTGTCTATTCCCGTTTTTTATTCGAAGCGATTCTATAGCGGTACATTGAATTGGTGCCTTCCGAGCTCTTCAGCGACATTACCGCGTCAGTATATTTGGTAGGGTTTACTTTTCGAAGGGGTAAAACGTTCGTATATCGTTTATTATGCGCTTAAATATTTTTCTATGATGTGTGTCGTGTAACTAATTATAAAGTTTGAGGCGTTCGTCAGGTAAGTCGGATATATAATTTTATATTAAGTAACACGGATCCTATTGTTCTGTTATTTGAAACATAAACTATTCTCTATATGTCGGATTACTGACGCTTGTAATAAAATATAAGACAATAAATTTACACGTCTTCTTTTAATTCCCCGCCAAATGAACGTTTTAATACTGTTGATCGTCCATTATTCTTCCATTGGTAATGAACGCGAAATATTCGTTGCTTTTGAGAACATTCGGAATCGTGTATATAATATTTTAATAAACGTTATAAGATAATTAGTATCCGTAATTAATACTGTGGCTTGGTTATTTTTCTCAACAAACGAACCAGTAGTTTCGAATTTTTCTATTAACACTAGAAAGACTGAAACATAGTATATACCTACCTAACCCAGACCAAACCCAGACCTCTATATTGCCCAAAAAGCAGTCAAAATGACTACATTGTGAAAGAATAACTAATGTGTAAAGAAATTTGTTTAAAATTAATTTCTAATATTTTTTATATTCTTTACAGTTATATTACAAATTATTAGTAAATATTGACAATAAAAAAAATTTACTTCGCTTGGAAAAAAAAAATAATTTATGCATTATTATTTGTATATGTTGTAATAAAAAGTCAGAAAATTCTAAGAAATTGTGTCATTATATACATAATTCTTTTTCTAATTGAAATTAAAAAGCAGTCAAAATGACTTGCTTGGGCAATCTAGTGTTAAAGAACGAATCGTGAGTTTGTTCAATTTTGTTCGCTATCGATCAAACGAACTGTCACGTTTACCAATGAAATTTTGATTCCGCGTTGCTGACCTATGTATATCGATATTAATTTCGATTGTTATTCCAATTTCAATTGACATTTGCCGTGACAACGGTAACCCTATTTTTCAGACACAAGTAGTAAAATTTACAGTAAAAACAACTTTAAATATTCTAAATTCATTGTGAATTATCAAATTCAAGAACTTTATATTATGTCTGTTGTACGTAACATTTAATCAGGCAAGTATTTAAGTGTTATTATCAGATAGGATGTAATTCAACAGTAAACGTACCACGAGTGGTCAAATGACCGTTTTTTTAAATCTCGTTTAGGATTCCTATCATACAATGTCATTTTAGCAACATTTAAATTCACGATTTTTCTTATAGTATACGTACAATGAATTCCTCAATATTCATTTCTATTCTTATTATTTATTTTTTAAGAAAAATATAGTCTGTTTTGCCTGCCACGACCGGTCATCTGATCGGTTGAATGATTTATATTCTTTTCTAAAAAAAACTGGACAAAATTTTGTATCAAATTCTGTATAGCAAAGACTAAACGAAAGAATCTTCAGTTTCCACTGTCTTAGAACAGTCTAACAACGCGTAATAAAAGTAGTTGAACTTTAGACGCGTGCAGTTCCGAAATTATTAGCGTTTTATTAATAATTGAACCACCGTTAGAAGCGGCAAAGCTTCCTCTTTAAAATGGCTTTTGGTTTTTGACGATCCGACTCCCCGTTTCGGAGATATCGTAATTTAAGTGAAAGGTAATTTTTTTAATTCGACTATCTCTGTCTTCGTCTGACGGAGTCGGACCTCCTTGTCGCACGTGCATCGCGCTGACCTAGTCCGCGTACGTGACTGTCGTGACCTAGTTTCGCCGTAGTATTTCCAAGAATTTACTACGCACTCTGTTTACTACCTACGCGCGCGAGATCAATGAACTCTCGCGCGGGCGCGCAACAAAAACGTAAAAAAACTTCGGACCCTTATACAGGGTGTTCGGCCACCCCCTGAGAAAAATTTTAATGAGGGATTCTATGGGCCAAAATAAGGCGAAAATCAAGAATACCAATTTGTTATTGGAGGCTTCGTTAAAAAGTTATTAACAATTAAATTCAAAAATTTCAAATCGTTCTGGTAAAATTATTTTCGGTTGCGGGCGTCAACTACAATCATTTTTGGTGAATAGACATACCCCCGAAATCCTACCCATTTTCTAGAAAAAAATTCGAGAAGGTGTGAAATTTTTCGACGGAAAAAAAAACTTCAAATCGTTCTGGAAAAATTATTTTCGTTTGCGGGGGTCAGTTACAATCATTTTTGGTGAGTAGACATACCCCCGAAATCCTGAACATTTTCGAGAAAAAAATTCAGTACGGGCGGAACTTGAAACGTCAATAACTTTTTAACGAAGCCTCCATCAACAAATTGGTATTCTTGATTTTCGTCCTATTTTGGCCTCTAGAATCCCCCATGCTACGTGTCACAATGGTAATGGTATGTTTAAAGAAACATGTCGGGAACGACGGAGACGAAGAAGGTGGATGTTAAGGATGCCCCGATCGTCGATGCGCCAGGGACATCCGGCGAGGGTGATGCAGCCCCAAAGAAGACGAAAACCCCGCGGTTCAGTCTCGGTAGAAGATGGCACCGATTTCGTATTTTGACGCCGAACTCCTCCATTCTCAGCGGTTCCTACGCGATGACCAGTCCCCATTTCAAGTACAGAAGCCGCGGTCGACAAGCCGCCCCCGCATCCGTGGTGGCCATAGTCTACGGGCGTCTGTTCGAGCCGAAAGAGTGGACGAAGGAATACGTGAACCAAGTGTTGGAGTATGGCGACAAGGTGTTCCGCACCAGCGTGTTGAGGAATCACGTGAAGGAGGACGAGTACATGAAGACCACGCTGGTCCATCCGGAGTTCTACATCTCGAATTACAAGGTGCTGGTGTGCGTGGAGGAGACAGGGATATACGGGAACCTGTTCAGCGAGACCGTGGGCTGTCCAGACTTCGCCGACGGATTGCAAAAGTTCTTCCAAAACAGCGACGCCGGCGTGATCACCGCTCAGGCCACGTCGGTGGCCATGTGGCGTCATCCGGACATTGGTTTTCTGTACTTCGACCCGGCGCCCTGCGACGAGGAGGGTGTTCGTCATCCGGAGGGTTCCGCCTGCGTGATGAGGTTCAAGTGTATGAGCGATATACGCGACCACTTTCTCAAGAGTATGGACAAACGGTACGACTCCAGATACTGTGTCGAGAAGGTGACCGTTTTGCGCGTGAGCGAAGTCGGTCGCGGCTACGTCGGTCGTCTTCCAAGCAGCAGTCGTCTAACGGTCGACAAGAGCGTCCTTCGTGCCATAAATCCGGTCGACATCGACGAGAACCAGATGGACTGCACGAAACCGGTGCCGAAGAAGGAGAAAGCGAAAGCCTCCACTACCGCGAAGATCCACAGGGAGCCGTTGTCGATCACCATTTCGAATTACAGCATCGACAAACGTTTCGCCACCGATCCCCTGGTAGATCAGGACAAGTTCGACACCGGCTACACGTACGAGGACATGCACGTGAACGTGCCGTCTACGTTCAGAGAGTTGCCCGGTAACATGGCGATACTCCACGGATTGACTCACGAGGGTAGCGACGCGTACAAGGGCAAAGGGGCGCAGAACGTGGCGAACTGCGTGATGGCCATCGCCATGAAAAAGGTGTAGTACCGCGTAACAATTATCTATGCGTTAATAACTATCCGTTACGTTCATAAATTACCTCTGGTATGATAAACACTACAAAGGTTCATCCGGTGAAAACGTGGCTGAGACCGAAGCTGGACGAGATACTGACGCTGGGGGACAATCTGTACGCGGACGTGAAGGCGGAGAAGCCGACGATGAGAACCATGACCGCGCCGGATCTCTACGACGCGAAGATTCAGGTGGAGAACGCGAAGCTGGTGATAGACGTTGACCTGATCACGGTCACCGGAACGGTTTCTTCCAAGATCCCCACGGTGCTGAATCTGAAACAAGCCTTGGAGGAGTTCTTTCTGGTGAACACGGAAGGCGTGATCGAGTCCTCGTCGATGTCCGTGGCGATTTGGAACCAAGACGATTGTTACTACATGTTCGATCCTCGACAATGCGATAACATCGGCGTTAGAATTCGAGAGGAGAAGGGTGGAAAGGGATCGAAGGGCAACGGAATAGAGAAGAAGGGTAACTGTTGCGTAATGAGGTTCTCGAACACCGACGCGCTGGCCGCTCTGTTTTGGAAGAACCTCGAACACTCGAAGAAGAACGACCGTTTCACCATCAGGCACATCACCATTTTGGACGATATTCCTGGCACCAGACTGTGGCACGACTTTCAGCCGGGCACGCCCGGTGAGACCTGGATTCTCCAGGGCACCACGTCCAACGAGGACGAAGAATTCGAGGACGAGACTCGGGGTATTCAAGGACTCGCGATGCCAGTGGTGGGTCTGATAGCAGCGAGAGAGACACCGCCGACCAAGTGGACCAACGAGACGATCGACGCGGTGATACGGGAGGGGGACGCGTATTATCAGTGGTGCAACCCCGTCGTGGACACGGAGGAGGAAGGTCAGAACTACTTCTTCGTGCCCAACCTAAAGAAGAATCTCTACTTTAAAAACAGGAAGGTGAAGATCGACGTGGAGGAAGGGACGATCGTTGGAAATTTAACAGCGCCTCTCGAGAGCGACGTTCCGCGCATGGAGCAGGCTCTGAAACAGTTCTTCGAGAATCATCAGTACGGTATCGTGGAGGTGAAGAACATGACCGTGGCCGTGTGGAGGGTCGACGAGGATGTGAAAGAAAAGGACGAGGTGGTGCAGCGAACCGTTTACTACTGTTTCGATCCGAATCCGCGAAATAGCCTGGGCCTGTGGTCGATGGACGAGGAAGAACCTGGTGTGGCCTGCGTGATTCGAACCCTGAGTCTGTCCGTGTTGGCGAAGATGATCGAGACGAACGCGGGACAAGATCAGGAGGTTAGCGACGAGTTCTCGATTCACGATATGAAGAGCGTGCACATCGGATCGGAGATGACCGACGAGGAGATAGAAGAGGACAAACTGATCCCGGTGAAGCCGGATCTGCACAATTACCTTAACATGGGGGACACCGGGGCCATTCTGTTGGGCAGCTTCAACCAGGCGAACGAGACGATGTTCAAACGCCACAGTAGAGATAAGCAACAAGCTGCCTGCGCCTTGGCGACCCTGGCGATGACGAAGCTGTACAATCCGCACTTGTGGTACAGGGAAGTGGTCGACGATGTGCTGAAGCTGGCCGACAAGATCACCACGGAGAATCTCGATAATCTACCGGAAGAGGAGATGGAGGAAGAAACGCCAAGAGACTATCTTCTTCCGAGCGAGATAGGCGAAGACTTTGCCGTGGGGGTGAATCGAATGTACGTGGCGTTGGAGGAGGAGGCTGTCGCGGGCAGGATGACCGAGTTGGAGGCGCAGCTGGAAACCTTTTTCGAGACGAACACGATGGGCATATTCAGGCAGGGCAGCGTGATGATGGCTGTATGGAGGGAAGCGGACGCGTACTTTGTTATGGACCCGAAGGGTAGAGACACTCGGGGCGAACCGCGCGAGAAAGACGGGGCGGCTTGCGTGATGTGGTTCACCGATGTTCCGTCGTTGGTGACGGCGATTCAAGCGGTCGCTACCGGGGACGAGTTCGTCCTGGACACCGTCACCGTGGACAACGCCTACGAGACGCGAGTGGCGGAAGAGGAGCGACCGCCGCGACCGTCTTCGGGGGAGGATCCCTGGTTTCAGTTTCCCAAGTTAACGGAGGGCGTGTGGAGCATCGACGGCACGGTAAAGATGGACGACGAAAGGTTCAAAGAGGCTAACAGGAACCAGCAGACCGCGGCTATCGCGGTGATGGGCATCGTCTTCGCCAAGGTCTACGAGCCGCGTTATTGGACGCAGGCGGTGCTCGACGAGGTGATCGTCACCGGCGACAAGCTGCACTCAAAGTGCGTGGAGAGGCTCGGCGAGGGTTCCGTACCAAGAATAAACGAGATCATGACCGAGTTTTTCCTCTCGACACGTCGCATCAATCTGACGATCAAGGACTGCGTCGAGGCGGGCAGTCTGACCGCGAAGCCGCCCAAAGTTCAGAGTCTGCAGACTGGTATCGACAAGTTCTTCTCCCGGTACAGTTCGGGCGCACTGACCGTGGGCGATAACAGGAATATAGCCGTTTGGAAGTTCGACAACGTCTACTACACCCTGATACCCGACTGGCCGACCAGCAAAGGGGAGACGACCACGGTGGCGCCGAAAGTTCTACGCTTGGCCAACACCGAGATCCTGGTTGGCTATCTGTTGGAGCTACTCGGGTCCGAGGGCGACTACGAGATGATCGCGATCGACGTGGTGAACTGGAACAAGCTTGCCCCGTGGAAATTCGACCCGAGCGCGGCCGTTCGGCCCTCGAATTTGCCGGCCCTGAACGCTTACAGGAGGGTGAGGGGCGAGGCTCGAGCGATCCTCCGTGGCAGCTACCACCAAGGGGACGAAATATTCCCGGAGTCGTTCCGGAACAAGCAGACAGCGGCGAATTGCGTGGTGGCCCTCGGTATGTCCGTGGTGAAGAGCCCTATCACCTGGACCAAGAAAACCATGGACGAGATCCTGGCGATCGGGACGAACGTCCACCGGCTGACGCAGAAGGCCAAACCGACGATAGTGCGTATCAAACCGAAGGACATCATCAGAGTGTTCTACGTGGGCGTGAACATTCTGACCGCGGACATAGAGCCCAACACGGTGTCCGGTATAGTCGCCATTCCCCCGCCTCAGCCCGAGGACAAGAAGAAGAAGAAAGGACGAGGCGCCAAGAGAAGAGCGAGGGCTGGCAGGAGGGGAAAGAAGGTCAGGGGTCCTCAGAGGATTCGACCACCGCCGCCTCCGCCGATTCTGTTGGAAAAGGGCGTTCAACAGTTCTTCGAGAACAATCGGGCAGGCGTTCTGGTGACCGATCGCGGAGCCGTGGCCATCTGGAAGGACATGGGCGTCTACTTTATGTACGATCCACGGGCTCTGAGCGATCAGGGTCTGCCCGATTTTTACGGCACCTCGTGCGTGATGTGGTTCGCCTGCATAGAGCCGCTCTACGAGGTTCTGTTCGCCAATATCGACGAGCAAGAGAAGTACGGTCGCTATCAGATCTGCAGGGTGATCATCAAGACGGCCATGATCGAACCCCTGCCGTGTCCCGCGGGATTCAAGCCCTACTTCGACTGCACGAGCCCCCCGATCCCGGTCACCAGCACGAAGAGGAACACCACCTTGGACGTTGTCACGGTTACGGAGTACAACTTCGTGGACGAGGAGTTGAGCGTTCTGCGCGGCAGTTTGCACATGAACCATCGTATCTGGAGCTCGACCAGCAGAGGTTTCCAGAGCACCGCGATCGCGGCCGTCGCCATTGTCGTGGGTCTGCTTCACGTCCCGTCCACCTGGACACCCGAATTGATAGACGCGATATTGAAATACGGCGATTTACTACACTCGGACAGCGTGCGTGCAGCGCGTCCCGGCTCCAGGAATCTGTCGCCCAGCGAGCTACTCACGGTTTTTATCGTCGGCGATTTCCGTGCCACCGTGCACATCCACAATCACACCACGGCCGGTCTTCTTCACGCGTTCGATCTCGCCGAATCGTTGGTGATGTTCTTTCGCTCGAATTGCGCTGGTATCCTTCACACCACCAACATGGCGGTCGCGGTGATGCAACATTACGGGAAATTCTACTTGTTCGATCCGTGCGCGAGGAACGAGCTGGGCAGGCCGAGTTTCGACGGCGCTGCCTGCGTGATGAAGTGCGAGAGCATCATGAAGATGGCCAAGGTGTTCGTGACGAACTCGAATCTCAAGACGCCTAACGTTTACACTCTGAACGCGGTGAACATCTTGAACCTATTCTTCTTCTCCGATGCCAAGACCGGTTGTCCGCCAAAGTGCGAGCAATAACCGCCCGAACGGTGATTACAACCCTTTTTTCTGCCTATCGACAATTTTTATTTAAACGTTTACTCGAACATTTACTTCGTCAAAATTTGTGAAATAGCGTTAGGGTAATTGTTGAAACAAGTGAGAGGTGGTTAAAGGTTTTTACAGAGACCCCACCTCTCACCCTTTAACGAGGATCCGAAATCAAACAAAAATGAGAGAAATTAAATTGAAATTGTGTTTAAAGTTTTGACGAGAAATTCTCTCGATACCTCTTACCGCTGACTGCAGCGATATAGTCCGGGCCATGATGTAGCAAGGATGTAAACTCGTGTAGGTGTCAAAGTTTACACGTTCACAGGTCCGAATAAGCTCACAATAAGTGAATTGACAGTAATGGTACAACTGGGATAGTAAAAGGTCAGTCGGGGTGAATGAATGGACACGGTCGACAACATTCTCAAATTGCTAATTTTATTTATAGGTTTCTTTATGACACAAATCACTTTTAGCGTCTACATGAGTAGGAGATACAGGCTATACGAGAATGAATTTGATACAGATCACTTATTAGTGTAAATACAATGTATCTTCAATTACACGCTATTAACTAGATACTTAGAAAACACTGTACAACGCAGCTGAAAACTGTCGTGGATACTTTACAATATGTTACAAGCACTCCTTTTCATGCGAGACGAGCTCGGCCGCGGCTAGTGCCGAAAAATCGTTCGTCGGGACAGAATTTTCGCGATCAGCCGCGGGCAGGCTTTCTCGAGCGATACGATGACGTCTCGCGCGGTCTGGTAGGCCGTGTTTTTTTAACAGGCTCGGAAGCTGTTCCACGGTCGTCGGTCGCGACCACGCTGTATCCCGCTGTACACCCTTTCCAAACACCCCGAAAGAAACGCGAGAACAGCTTCCTTCGTCCCTGACCATCCATGGGGGACCACAACGGACCACACTTCGTGACGTCGTCTAGTTCCTCGGAAAGTGAACTAACGCCCAAGTTCCGCGAGCAGAGTTCCTAACCGAAGAACGTCTCGGTTCTCGATCAACGAAGCTCAATCCCCGTGGATCGTTCCGCGAACCGAAATCGAATCAGATTACTCGCGCGATCACGAATGAATTTCTTGTTTGCCGAGCAACGGGGTTTGGAATCTGTGGGGAAACGCGCGTACAAGTCGGCCGAATTGTTCGGACGTTTCGAACATCGCGATCGAGAAAACGCGTTTCAACCGAGCGTCTCCTGGGATCTCTGCTCCCGCAACCCGACTCTTCCTACACCAGTCATCGTCGTACCATTCACACGCAGATACACGCACGCACGCACACGCACGCAATAATACATCGCACGGCTTTATAAGTCTTTTCTTTGTGGCCAACGTCTGTCGGGTACTATCAACGACAGTTCCCCTTTTCGCGTACGCTCGTCCCTGTGAACCGTCCGCTGTCCTCGTGCTCGCACGTTTCGTCCTCTCGATCGATCGATCGGTCGATCCTTCTTCGTTGCTTCGTTCCTCCACACGCAACGATTTCTTCGGCTCGTTCCATCTTGACGCGATTCGCGATCGGAGACTCCTGAAGATCTTTGGCAGTATTGTTACGATAGTATTAACCACTTGTCGTACAACGAGTCTGATTCGTCGTGAAATCTAGTACAATTAAAGTCAATACATTTTCATACAAAATTAAACAGTATACGTTCGAAAAATTTATTACAATTATAATCGTACGTCAAGGGGTTAAGGACTAAAGGTAAGGAGAAAATATCGGTATCGAGGATACCGAACTATTTAAGATTTCTATACGGTAGTTGAATTTTTCTATCTCAAAAGTTTGAGACCGTTAAATTGCACGCTTGTGAATCTTCGAGACAAATAGATCGCTTGCCAAAAATCTTCGGAGCAGGAAGCAACGAAGAGAAGTTAAAAAATGAACAGCAGAGATTCGCGAGAGTGTCCGTGAATGGCGAACCCTGACCATTGACAGAACGAATTCGAAACGGATCGTTAATCGTAAAAAATATGTATTATCGATAATATTGGCATGATGTCGTTATGGCACGTTCAGTTAACCGTTTAGTGACGCGTTTACAGACTTATATTACGTTTCTCGCTAAACAGACATCGCGCGATTATCTCGGTCGAGAAGCGATTACGAATAAACGTGAAAAAAAAAAGAAGAAAAAAAAAAGAAAATTGGGGGAAATAAAAGGAAATAACAGGAAGGAAAAACGCTTCGCTAAACTGTTTCTTCTTGTCTTTGCTCTCTATCGCACGCACACATACACACACACGCGCACGCGCACGTATACGCACACGCACTCTCTCTCTCCCGTCCTTTTATTATCCGCCTCGACAACGCACGCACGTGATCATCCACATCGCGGCACAACACTCTCTCTTTCCATCGTCGTCGTCAAAGTCCTCCATTGCACTTTCCCATTCGACGCAACAAATGCACCTTAGAACGTATTTTATGTACAAAAGCTGCTCCCTAATGCGAACACGCGCGAAAACAATTTTCGACCGGTTTTCTCTTCTATTGCCGTGCTTGGAATTGCTTCATTTTCGATCGGTTTCGTTCTTTTCTCTATTTTTCTTTGCTCTTTCGGTCGTTATCATCTTGGCAAGGGGATGGGGGAGAGAGACGAAAAGAGGGGGAAGTCAGATTGCACCGAGGGTATACGCAAATGGTACGAAAACATTAACTATCAGGAATTTGCGTTAAACGATTAACATTGCGCGCGGTTCCATCTCTGTTCTTGGATCGAAGAGAAGTTTCACGCTTTGACCAGATAACGAATCCGGAAACATAACAGAAAATTGTAACGAAACAGTCGGGAAACGGCTGAGAATTAAAAAAAAAAGAAGACATTGCAAAGTTACGCGACGATCAGCCTGTTTCCGCGCGATTAAAGAAATTAAACTCTAATACTATCGCTACGATTCTTTCTCGCCGATTGGGCAGACAAAACTGATAAAATTAAACGAAGAATATTATCGTCGCGATCTTCGATTTGTTCGCACGTTCATTCCACGATAACAGAGTTCGATCAGAAAATAAAAACACGATAAAAGAACAACGCACGATCGACAAATCTTTTCTTCCTTTCGTCGCTACGGAAACCTCGTAGATCGACGATCGAAAACTGTAAAAACAAAATTAAAGTCGGACCAAAGTTCCGATTCCGGGGCTCTCTTCCGAGTCCGCTTGGAATTTTTACAAATTTCCTAAAAATTGCTACAAACGTCGCGCTACGCGTTGCACGCTTCGACAAAAATATTCCCTACCGATAACGGAATTTTCACGGAGCTATTTCACGAAAGGAAGCAACGAAACCAAAGGGGGGAGAGGGGTGGGGGCGTCAAATATTTTAGACGTTCGAAACCGATGGGGAATTTCATCGGGGGGAAAGTTGTAGAAACGGTATCGAGTAGCTGAAATATTTGGCGTCGACTTTCGATTCTTCGGTTTCTCGGGGAAATAGCGACAACGGGAAGTATAGAAGAGGGAGAGGAGGGGAGGGGGGCAAGGGAAACGATAGGAACGGAATCGACGGGATTTGAAGTAGCAAGAAACGAACGGCGCGAAAAACCGATATCGTAGCTCGATAAATAATGCAACGCGTCTCTCTCGTTGAACGATCGGTAAGAAGCGGCGACTCGATCGGACGCGTTTTCTAGTGGAAGCTCTCGATCGCGCCTTTGATGCTACAAAACAGTCTCTCTCATTCGCCGCGGTTATTGTCTTCGATGGCACGAAAGCGCGAGCGGTGCGTTTGATTTCGATCGCCTCGTCCCGCGTCTTCCCGATCGTTTTCGATGCTCCCGACCGTCGCGAAAGAAATATTTCCGTGGGGCGCGTAGAGGAAAGTTGGCAGTGTTGAAGAGGATCGAAGGTGGGGGAGGATACGGTGTAATCGTTCACGAAGGAGATGGTTTCGATCTTGAGTTTGGACAGATTATTCCTGAGATTTCACCTAAATAGCTCGTTAATATATTGTATTATGCAATGGAGATCCACGGATGGGACACCCTCGAATCGTTCGTGTCCCGCAAAAGAAACTATCCCACCCGTCGCGTTACACTGTAGGTGCAGTGATCAACAATTTTGGTCGCTCAAGATCGCCGAATTATTAATCCCAATCGTGATAGTCGATATATCCGATTTGTATCGACTCGCGACGTCCTCGAGCGACCAATCGACTTTGTTCCGAGTACAGTCTCCGAGATAGGAGGAATAACGCATACAAAAGCGTACGAGGGAGAAGGGATGATGTGTAACGACGAGGGTCAGATACCGGGGGGGGACAGAGGTGTCGGGAATTGTTCACGGGGCGACCTAAAAGTTACGAGCTTTGCACTAAAAAACGAGATCTTACACGCTAATTAATCGCATTGTGTATAGACTTTTAAAAAAATAACAAATTACATACAGAAGATAGGTATTTTGACACCGTGAGGTCGAATAAATGAATGACAATAAAAAGTCTTGTTCTCGTTCTACGACTCATCATCATCATCATCATCATCATCTGTTACTCTTCATCTTTCTCTCTCTCTCTCTCTCTTTCGCTCTCTCGTGTCTCATTCTTCCTATCCGTTCTACATACACACACACTCTTTCGCTTTCTCTCGTTTTTGCTCGTTTTACCTTTTAGTTATACACGTCTGCGGTATAATTACTATAGAATATAGTACCTGGCACAGGAACATGACCTCTCAGTCATTGGCATCACAACGTAACAAGGACTACAAGCTGTGTCACGCGCACCTTTATAAATCGCCTTTCTTCGCCCTTTTCCCACGCACGCACGCACGCACCATCCACGCAAACCGCGACTCTCATTCTTGACCCCTTTCGTGCTCGTCTATCATACGAACTGGCAATCTTCGTATTCTCGAGTGGGTGACTACAGCCAGACACTTGGTCCTGAGTATTTCTGCATCATATTTTCATAATCGTTTTTGTTCTTATTTTTGTTCGTCAACGTCCACGCCCAGCTTCCGTCGGTCGGTCAACTTCTGGACACTGGGTCTTATACTCTGGCGAACGAATGGCAACGTGGGGTGAACACGATTACCCGAGGATCCGTCGTTTATCCTTAGCCCCGAGGTTTAGGAAACGTCCGATCGACTCGATCGTCCTACCCGCGCCGAAGACATTCGACGATCCCCCGGATCAGCGGTCAACGAACGTTCCACGGCCGAAGAATCTTGTGGAACCGCGGGCCCCGAGACCCCCGATCGCTCGAAACAGTCTCGTCGATTGCTCGAGGCGTTCGATCGTTACTTCGACATCGAGGATGATCTCGCAACGAAGACTCCCCTCGATCGTTCCTACGGTCACGATCAGCGGCGATCCTCTCGCGCCGGTACTCGTCCCACAACGATCCCAAACGAAGAAGAGCCAGCTCTCCGGCGCTTTCTCCGTCCTCCTGGTCGTCCAGGTCGCGGCAGCGATCGCTCCTATCGTCCAGTCTCCCGTCTGTACACGTACACGGACCCTGCGGATGACACGGTGTGTTGCAACAGTCTTGTCACGTGGGTCCGGCCGGGGCTACGTAACACTGATCGCCGGATTGGACGTGCCCGACGGCGCCGGCACCACTTCACTCTTTATACACTGTCCGGTCAGTTGGTTCACGCTAAGGGGATTGTTGATGTCGTGGGGATTGGTGCCGACCGGGTTGCGATGCGGCGGCGGCGGCGGTTGAACCGGATGACCGTGCGGCTGACTGGCCGGGTTGTTGGACAGGGGCGGAGGCGGCACCGGGGGCGTCAGAGGACAAGGACACGGGCTGGCCAGACTCGAGGGCGACGGTAACACCAGCGACGGGCTGGCCAGACTAGACAACGCGGACAAACCCCCGGGACTGCTCAGGGACTCGTCTTCCTCGGGAGTGCCTGCCTCCCCCACGCTGCCCAGGTTGTCCTCCGAATGATCGTCCTCGCCTTCGCCGTCGGCTTCGCCATCGCCGTCTCCTCCCTCCCCCATGTATCTGATACATTTCTTCTTACGTCTGCGAACAAGCGTCGAAGAATTAGCCAGGGATGGTCCCAGGGGGACCGTTTCGACGATCATTAATAAACGGGGGATCGAACGTTGCTCCCGCGAACAGTTACGAGCCTAGGGCTGGGGCTCGTCGCTATCGTACGATTTTCTTGCAAGAACCGAGACGGAGCAACGCTGAGTCCTCCGTCGAGTAAGGTTACATCCAGAATTATTACCAACTAAAAGAGCATGCGGACACTCGTAGTCGTTGCAAGGCTGGCCGCGCGGAAGAAACCGCTCCTTCGACCAAACGATCGATCGCTTGGTCCCTCGAACCATCCGATACGTTTGTTTAACCGCGCACGGTTAAACAAATATCCGACGGTTCAAATTACCCAAAAACTATTGTAAGTTTCTTTCAATCGCGTTCTTCAAGATACTATAGTGGACGCAAATTGAACTGTTTCGACCCCACCCACTTACCAATCACTCGCTTCTTACGTCTTCGCGCGTGCCATAGAAATAGAACGAAATGTATTGTTGCGATGCGTTTTCGTCCCGGCTCGGATCGTCGTCAGTCGAATTCACGTTCACTATAGATTTTCGTTAAACGGAACGGAGGTTGAGACCTTCGCGCGACCAGCGTCGGTGTATTCTTCGACACGGTTCACTCGCTGCCAAATGCCATGCTCAAAACGTTCAGACGTAACAAGCAAATAACTGTGTAATAAACGTATACGTGGAAAACGAAAGTCACAACAGAAAAGAATCGAAATGCAGGGGCACAAGGTGGGCTGGGTGGGTGGGGGGGATAGGAAGGGGTGACGCTTGTTTTTTTTTCATCCGCCAGGTGAGAAACTACGTACAGTGGGTAAACGAAGTGCTGGCTACGCGCACTTTCCTTTAAACATCGTCAGGATGTATCATCGGTGGACGTTGGAAACGTACAATTTCTGTCGACGGACGCGTAAATTGACACGCGAGGATATTTAGAGAAAGGCGTGTGTGCCAACACTTTTTTTCTTTACCCATTGTAAATCCCGCTCGATATCGTGTCGCGCGAAAGAAGATCGATTTCCGAATCGCTAGAGTGTTTTAAGGAGCAATCGTTTCCGGGACGCGTGAAAGATTCCGTGCGAATCGGACCGATGGATGTTACGTGGAACTTGGAACGTTCGTGACCGGAAGTGTGGCAACGGTCCTGATCGGCTCGCGGGCAGCGGATTCGTTTGAATAAATGAAAACGTTTCGCGAGCAGGGAAAGAAACAGAAACGTTATAGAAGATGCGAGACACGGCGAACGCGAAGGCGCGTAAAAAGTTTGGTTCCGCGTAAAACCGGAAACGCGAGAAGGAAATAGGCGAATACTCGCTACTGCAAAGTTCCCGTAAAGTGAGCCCGACCGACCTCGTGTGGTAACTGCATCGCAGTCGAGACATTTACTCGCTCTGCCATTGGCTCTCATTATTCATCTCTTAGCCAGTTGAGTTAATCAGTTTGCTTCGTGTGTCAATGTGAACATTACGGTTCATGGACGGGACGTCAACTTTTTAATAGTTCGCAGGCACGTCTGGATTTAAGCGTTAGATGTAGTATCTCTGCATATTTGGGCAAATGATTGATTCGTGCTGTTCTCCGCTCGTTCCCCTCCATTTATTCTTAAATAAACTGTTAAATTCTTCGTTAGGAAGTTGTAAGGAAAGTACTATTTCTACCAAAGACAACTTATCAAATTTTTGTTCAAATTATTTTCCAACCTCGATTTAAATTTTTTTTCGAATGCAAGACACCTTTTGGTCGAAATAGGTACGAGTAAAACCGCGGTAAAAGATAGCGTTTAATGGACGTTCGAATCGCCATAATCGGTGATCGACGTTCCGAGGGCTACTGGAACAGCGCGAACCAAACCGCCGAACCACGTTCGGACAATTGCAAAAGCTTCTACGAAACGTAACGGAGTCACGGCGTGTCAGAGTTGCCGAGCTCACGCTCGAGGGTCGAAAGTCCGAAATTCGAGGGTCGTTGCTTAGAACTTCCATCGAGACTTGGCCTGGCCATAGTCTGGCCTCGCGGCTTCCGACGAGAAACATAAACGCCTCGCAGTGCCTCGAGTTTACTTTTCGGACTACGCGCGACTACGCAACAGTTACGACATTACAACAATTAAAAAATAATATAAGAGAGAAACCAAATATGTATATGTAATATATATGTATATGTATATAAAGAGATAACAAGAAACAAAGGAACGTAAAAACCATGGTTTACGTACTAAATAGAAGGTCAACACATCGGTTACAACACATAATTCGCCGTAAACCGTACGAACTGCCATGCCATAAATCAGTAATCACAATGTATAGTAACATTTATACTTCTCTCTATGCCAAACGTTCCGAACCGAGGAAAGAAAATGAAAAGAAAAAATAAAAAAGTTAAAAAATCTGGTTACACGTAGCGGTGGTAGATGTACGCAACATGTATAGATTTGTATACACGTACAAACGTGTGTCTGTGTGTGTGTGTGTGAGCGTGTGCGTATACATGTACGTGTGTATGTGTATCAACATACATAGTATATATATTTAATATATACATATATATCAGATTTATTACAGACCAGCCATGCTAAGGGCAACACTGAGTAAAGTCCAACTAAACGAGGGTAAATCAAATAACAATAATAAGCTGCAAAGAGCCACAACAATGAGAAACAATGCGAGCATTAGGACGTCGCTGTGCCGCTCACTATGCCACCCCGCTCGTGTCGACATCCGATATTGACCGATATCCGTCGCGATTCAAACAATCAGATCCCCATGAATTTGTCAAACTACCGTCGACACGCGACGTACAATAACGCTTGGACGAGCATGTATATGGCGTAGACAGACGCAACACAGATCCAACCACCCCTCCCCCCGTGACATTTGTCCGAGCGTTTAGACGGCCAACGAGTCGAGTTGGTTGAGTATAGCGAGGGCCAGCGAGCCTGTAGGTTTAAGTCGGGACTGACCACTGTTTAAGAAGAAGTGTTGCAGTAGAAGGGAGGCGATAGGCTTGACTAGAGATTAACATAAGTGGGTTCTTGCTGAGGCGAGGAGGCATTGGAGGCAGTGTTGGTGTTTGGCGGGGCAGTTGCTGCCCCCACCGTCCCTCCACCGCCTCCAGCCCCGACCCCTGCCCCCGCGCTACTTCCCACACCGTGATGGATTATGCTCGCGTGGATGCCCATCCCCGCTCCATGCTCCACTGGGCTGCCAAAACCAACCACCAGCCATTAAAGGGGCGCTCGTCGCATCGACGTTATCACTTTAATCCCATTCTTAAATCCCACACCGTATCCTCGTCACCCACACGCATCGGTCCGAGTCCCTCGACCGTCCTCGTCGCCGGACTCGTCTTTTCTAACAGCCCTTTCCACACCCCGCCGTCGGATACAAATCGAAAACTGTTATCTAGACTACGTGAACGTTCCTATTCAGTTTACATGTACGATCAGTATCCAATCGTGCGCGGTAACGTCGTGTGGAAGGACGCGTTTCTTTCGATCGGTTCGAGTTCATTTCATTTTAACGCTAGAGTCGAACCGACCGAACGTGTCAGAAAATATGTCTCCCAAATTGTCCACATTCGCGAGATTTTTGATTCGAAGGTTCTCAAAACAGTTGCGGGGAACCGTTATGTCGACTAACTGTTACGAAGAAAATTTTAATAGAAATATAATGTCTCCTGATAAACTGTTTCAATATATACAAGTAGCGCATATCGATTTAATATTGATATAATACACATCTCTAAATACTACATTAGGTACATACGCATTACGATGAAACGAGTATCTATTACAAAATTTGTCGACGATTTAACCCTTGTAGAACCGGTTTCAGAGTTCATATGGAATCGATATAAAAGTCGTTTTATAACCAGAATCGATAACAGTTGTAACACCAGTTCTTCGCGACTGTTTCGCTCAAAATCTTTCTATGATATTTATTTTTGGAATTATCTGCGTATAGATCCCGTCCACGCGAACGGGGAGGAAGAGGAGCGGAGTCGACGATGGTTAGATTTACCAATCGTCGACTCTTTCACCGTGTTTACAAAAAAAAAACGAACGATTTCACCGGCGTCGCGAGCAAGCGTTTGGTCTCGTCCACCGATGGACGAGGAGCACCGATCGATTGGGATTCATCTTCGCCCCTTTAATGAGGTCCGTGTGATTCACAAACCCAGCCGAGAGTCGGGGCGTTCGGGCTCGCTGTGCGACACGCGTGGTAACAAACGGGACGCGTTTGAAACGGGTGGTTCGTGACGATGCCGCGGCAAACTACAGTGCGGTTTTCTAGTAGAGAGATATACATGTATGTACAAGCAAAGTATAGCAGACGTCGCCAGCTGTTGGATCGATCCAGCTATTCTTCGGGTTTCGTTGCGATACATCGTTTCATTTTTCGAACTTTGACGTTTCGCTTTTGGAAGACACATTTTCTGACGTTAACGCGCGACTTGCCCCCTCCCCTCTGTCTTGTTCCCCTCACCGATTCGTCGCGAGACCCCCGAGTACGCGTATTTTAATTTCTCAACGCGACCAGACAGACGTCACGAGTCTTCGTAGACCCTGTACAGAATGCATCGTAGAGAAAATAAACAAGTAACTTTGTATTGTTATTGTCTATTTTCTTCAGAATGATCTTTCTTCGAGGCGTACCGAGATTTCGAACGTTGGCTACTCTTTTTTTCAAGTTCCACGATAACATGTGGATGACGGAACGGAGCAGAAGACGATAACAATAAGAAGTGGTGACAATCGATAAGTAACTATATTCGTGGTCGGGTTGCAAGTTTTTTTTAGCTTCGGACGCATCGGCCCGATTTACCACCGGTGTTCTATTGTATTTTACATCTTTGTCCGGTTGCTTCGGGCTGCGTGTTCGAGTTTCGTTAAAAATGTTACGAGATCCACGCCGGGAGCGAGATCTTAGAGCCAACGCTTGTGTAACAGCGGACGTTCGAAAGACTCCCGATCGCCGCAGCCCGTTCGTAATCGGTTCACCATCATTCAACCACATATAATATAAAGTAACTTCCTCTAGTGATACTACATGACTGACGTGAAAACTTCTATAGCCTTTCTCAACACTTCTCAAGATCGAATACGTATATACACGCGACCGAAATAGCGTGCTCAGCTTATCGACAAGACGGTATATGTTCTTCTCTCAAGAAGCAACGAGTCACAAACCCGTCAAAACGTTGCGCACGTACCTGCATGGTTTACACCACTGGCTTTGTTGGTCTAATCCGTACCTGGCGCGGCACTTCTTCATGTTGTTACCTAAAAAATGCGAAACATGGTACGATTAGAAGGCTGTATTAGCTTTCCCTCTGATATAGAACAGGGTAGAGGGATCGTACGCATCTATGTATCGTCGGATTTCTCACGTTTTGACAAAACTTACGATCTAAAACATTCGTATTCGATCGAGTAATTTGGGAATAGAGACAACGCACGCTTGTCGGTGACAAATTTATTATACTTGTCGCAACAGCGTTGGAAACGTGGATCGAAACCGTTCGAGCTAGAATCGTTCTTGAATCTTGCTTGACCAAACGGATGAAAACTTGTTTCCCGGAAAAATCGTGTTTCGCGATTAATTTTCTCTCTCCGTTTCGCTTGGACGTGAAGCCTCGAACCGTCGAGAAATCGAACGATACATCGGTGATACAGGGTCCTTCCGGAAGACGTCGACATTCCACGATAGGCTGCACGGTGTTCGATAAGAAACACGAGGAACCGATAACCGTTTACGGTTTTTTTTTTTATTTTGTTTCGACCGTTCTTTCGAATGATCGTTGTCTTCTGGGAAGGACTCCGCGGATCGACAAAAAAAGAGAGATACTCTGTCAAGCTGAGTGATAAACGGCATGCAGCGTAAAAACGTTAAACGGCGTAAAAAACACGATCAAAGATCATATCTACTCATGTCGTGATCTGTATTAAACGCAAGCCTCTAGATATAAAAATATTAAAGATGAATGTAAAAAAGAAAAACAAATGATTACAGAAAACGTGGTGAACGAAATATACTCGTATATGTAGGGGCTCGAGAATAATTGAGTGGTTTACTGGGGGAGGGGGATGGTGGTGATCGTAGAAAACGAAAAAAAAAAAAAAGAAAACAGATGACGAGTGGGATAAATAAAATACGATAATCGAGAAAAATAAAATGTAGAATTGAGTAAAATTAGTGGAAAAAAATATCAACGGGGTCTCAGGCAACGTTGAAACGATCAAAGGTGGGGGAGCGAAAAATGGGTTGTGAACTGAAACCAACCAGCGTATCGTACAAAGTAAGTACAGAGAGGCAGAAAGAGAGAAAATTGAGGACAGAGAGAAAGAGAAAAATAGGAGAAGTGAGAGAGAGAGAGATGAAGGGCGATTAAGAGCAAAAGTAAGTGAAATAGCAGAGTCGGGGGAAATAGAATAATAGGAGGGGCAGACGGGGGGGGAAAAGAAAGTGTCAGAGAAAATCAGAACAGAGGCAGGAGGAAATACAGTAAAGAGACTGAGTGAAAATTAAAAACGCTCAGGATTGTCTGATTGCGGAGTAGGTCCCTGTAAAAATGCAAGATGGCCAGCGTCCCCAAAGTTGTATACGTAATTAATAATTAATAATGCTGTGTCATGTGCGTGTACGTGTACTGAATGCGCTCGTGTTTCCGTTCCGTTTCCGTTATATACACATATATTTATTTATATATAACGGAAATATACGTAGAAATATATATATATGTATATATATATATATATATGAGACACGCACGTGCGCATGCGTACGTGCACGCCCGCTCACACAAATTGTGTTGGATCGCTCGTTAACTCTTTTCTATTCGTTCGTTTCTTTTTTTTGCAATTATATTCTTGCTCTCAAAGAAATGAAAAAAAAAAAAAATGAAATAAAATACAAAGAAAAATAAAAATAAAAAAGTAAACAAAAGTACGAATAGATAGTTGACAGTTACAAAATACATATGTATATATATGATAATCTTACATATACATATGCGTGTGCATGTATAATAATAATAACAATTTATATATATAGAGTATATATATATATAAATATAAAATATCGACCCAAAACCCCAAGACGGGGGGGAAAAAACATGCAACATAATGTAGTGTAGCAATAAGAATGTATAATAATTATAATATATAGTATATGTAATAATGATGGGTGGGGGCTGCTGAAGGGGGTTTTTGATAATTTTGTTGTTGCTGTTGTATCATGGGGGGGGCAGGGGGGGGGGTGGGCGGGGGAGCTTGTAAGAATGTGTGGAGTGAGGCATGTGGGTACCTCCAGGATCACTGTTTGTGTCTTGTTTGCGCTTCCTCTTCTTAGTTCGGTTGGTATTTGCGCGGGAAGACCAGTCAGGGTACAGCTGCATGTGCAACTGTCTCTCCCGTCGCGCCAACTCATAATACTTGGCCTGTTCCTCTCGCCCTAGCGCGTGCCACTACCGAGAGAGAACCAAACACTATTTGTAATTGTGCATGAACCGTGGACTAAACAATATTTTTAATCAAGAAGAAAAAAAAAAAATGAGATTCACTAATGCTACTGCCGCCACCCTAATTGTATCTTTCTGTTAAAGTTGATTCTTTACTTTTCGCTCAGGTTGGCTTTTACTCGGAGTTAGTAGAGATTGCTTTCTTATATATATTTTATTTTATTTTATTATATTTCTGCGTGTTCTTTGTTTGCTTTTTTTTTTATATTTTAATAAAAAAAATCGTCATTCTCATTCTTTATGCTCTATTGCGTTCGACGCATCGCTGCCCTGTTCAGCGTTTCGTTAAAACACTGGGGTCCCTACTTTCCGTTTAAAGTGCTAGAAGAACAGCCTAGATTCTCCTCTCCCCCTCGGTTGCACCGCTATTCGTCGTATCGTCGGTTATCAAAAGAACTCAGATCTCGTACAGGGTGTCTGATAGAGGATCGTCGCGCGCAAGCGTCAAACATTCTTGGTCGGCTTATACACAGAGAATATACATAGGACCGTGTTTGTTCGAACGATAGAACAAGCCGACGTGAGCAAATTATTTCTAAAAGTCATTTATCACCCCGTGCAATCCAAGGCTTCCTTTCCAAGATACAAGAATTGCTTATTAAATAAAATCTCTTTGAACGCGACTATAAAGCTAGCAAGAAACGACCCCACGGATTGTTTTTAATATCGTTTCCTTCGAGTAACAGCCTTCGAGCGAAACCTTATTCTTTGAACTGTCCGACAGTATATCTCGAGACGACGCGCCTTTATTGCCCGAACTAGAACAATTAAAAAATATTTACCATTACTATTTTGTTTAATACGTGAAAAGAGCTAGCCGCAACTACATCCTTTTTAACGATTCACGAGATACTTTCTTTCAACGGGACTTGTTTTAATAACCCGGAGCTTATATATTATGAGTTATTTTTATTTGCAAAAAATAATTATATAAAATATAAAATAGTCTGCTAGGACAAAACACCCCCATAAATTGATCGTACCTCGAAAAAGAAGCCTCGGATTGCTCGTTTAAAATTTACTCATTTTGACTTGCCCCGTCGTTTCGAAAATTTCTATATACCGTGCGTTACATTGTTTGCAAACGCAAGGCAATAAAATAGACACGCCAACGAAACGTTCCCATTCTTAAGATCGACAAAATTTCGACTGTTTCGAAGAGTAGACTTTTTGTTCCAGCGTATTAATGTTCTGCGATCGTCGTCGTTTCTGATGGATCAGAGAGAGGATCTTGCAACGTCGAATCGTCGATGATCTATCACGAATATGGTAAATTTTGATAGTCGCAATTGGAGCAGTGCTGTCCGGTATAAGGTTCAGAGTTTAGTGAATCAGCCACTCTGTTTCATTGATAAAAATAGCGCGTAGAGAGGAAAACATTAACGTACGGAGATTTTCCGTGGACAGCACTGTTCCAGAGGATGCAAAAAAAAACGAATAAATCAACGTCGACGATAGGATTGCATCCGAGCACAGTAGGCCAGCAGAGTTCTCATTGGATCTGGTCAAGACCTGTGCTATCCTTTTCTCAACATTATCCAAAACGACGCACAGTGTTCAAAAACATCGATTTAGACGCAAAAATTTCATTCATTTGTCTAAGAAACAAGGATAAAATTCCCATCATTATCGATGGTAATAATTCCATGACGAGCCTGTAGTTTAGATTCGGTATCGTAACCCTGAAACATTTATCACAATTGTATTTCTTCCCTTGTCTTAATTAAATAAATTAAATATTCACAGAACACAAGGTAATGGAAAAATTATTAAGTAAAAGAGATAATCGGTTTGCGAGTATTTGTCCACTTTATACGGTGGGAATGTTGTTTTTCGCGTCTGAACGACAGTTTTCGTACGCCGTGCGACGTCGAGTATTAGAAACATAGGAGCGTGGAGTCCCGTTCGAAACGATCGAGGAATTCGTGAGGAGGGTAGATCCTCTAGCAGACATCCCGCGCCCGATCTCATCGTGCCCTCGCTCTCGCATCGAGTCGTCATCGTCGTATCTACGTACGATGTACACTTTTGCAACATACTTTTCATTTTTCGTTTTCCTTTTTTTATTTTATTTATTTATTTATTTTGAACGTGAACGGATACCGCTTTAGGGAGTTTGGCCAGATACAAAAAAAAGATTCTGCGTTAATCGTCGCATGCCGCGAGAGTCCGTTTTTTCCTCTGCTGCGCCGCAATAAATAATCCGCAAAGATTTCCCCCAACAGACAATCCAATAATCCAATACAAATCGAAGTCGAAAAAAAAACGGAAACAGTGTACGCGTACGCGTACGCGTACACGCGGACCGCTCGACACGAGCTGTCGTGTTAAATTCATCGATCGAAAACAAGTCCGCACGTCGAAGAGTGAATGCCAGAATTGAAATCAATAATAAAAATCAATCAATCAAATATAAATGACAAAACGAAACGAAAAAAAAAGTTAAAAAAAATTTGTAAAAAAAAAAAAAAAATAAGAGTAAATGAAACGCACAGAGAAACTTTGATCGTTTCAATATCAACCAGTAGGTAATCTATATGAATTATTATAATGAATTATTAAGGGCCTGCTGTTCTAGCACTGGAAAGTGGTACCTCCGGTGGGATCTGCGGAGCGCTCTTTCTTCCTCTTCTTCTTCTTGCTGCCGTATCCGTAGTTATCCCTGGCACTCCAGCCGGGGTATCGTTGCTGATGGAGATGGCGTTCCTGCCTGGCCGCCTCATAATACCGCGCCTGCTCCTCCCGGCTTAGCGAGTGCCACTGCGTGTCATACCCCCAAAATTCAGATTCACAGTTTCACAGTATTCAGCCGTGTACCGTGTCCCTTTTCACGCTTTTCGCGTACTTCTTTTTTTTTTTTTTAATTGGAAATTTATTATTAGATTTTTTTCCCTTTGCATTTCCGGTTTCTACCCTCTTACACGGCGAACAGAAAGAGACGTGGTTGCCCCTCGTCGCCATATGCCCAACCCTCTCGCTCGATCGACGGCCCAACCCACCCGTTACGGCTGAGATTTTTTCCTTAGATCCCACCTATACGATGCTCTCTCTTTTACACTTACGTTAGTGCCTCGACTTTGATCCGCGGATCAATGAAAATATACTTTTAAAACGCATGCAACTTTACTGATCGTCCTTGGAGACGCCCTGCAATGGCGCCGGGGTCTCTGGGGATGATGATGTTTCTTGGTCGCCAAGTCAACATTTTGCTTCCGAGCCGACAGAGACTGGAACTCGTGTTTTCCTCGTTTTAAAACGCAATCGTGGATCGTGGAAACGGAAAGCGTCTCGATCGTTCGATCGGTTCCTGATCGACGGCGTCGACGCAAATTTTTTTCCTTGATTTTATTATCGGTTTGTCGTACACAGTATCGAGCGACGGCAACGCGGGTTTTTTTTTTTTTAAAAAACAAGAAAAGAATAGAACAGAAGAAAATCTTGACTTTGGCATGTGTCTGGTTGCTTTTACATCAGGGCGACGCCTACGACGATCTTTTATCTCGAGCACCGATACGAAGAAAAGGCGGCCAGGGAAAAATTGCACGGTTCCATGAGGTTAGATACAACGGTAAGAAACAATCGTTCTAATTGCACTTAGAACGCGTTCGAGGTCATCGAAACGACCTTGAAAGAAATCGATCCTGCCGTTGTACCGGTCATGTGGAACCGTGCGACGTTTCCCTTGGAAATGTTCTTCGTAAGATCCTAAATAACAGAGAACATTATGCGTGCTCGAGACAAAGCAAGCATCCTGAGCGCAACATTTAAACGTGGAAGAAACAGACGATTTCGCGTGGCCGTGATGTAACAGCGTTCCAGTCATAAAAGCTTGTGTATCGATAAGAAAAATGCGCCGATTACTCACTCGTCTTCCCAATATTTGGTTGATCGCAGCACTCTCTTTTAAGGTACACTCTGCCACGACCTTCGCCCTCATCTCCTTCATGTACAGCATAAATGCGTTCAAAGGCTTTTTTATATGGGGTTTCTTTTTATCTGTGCAAACATCATCGACGTATGGTATGAGAGGTGGATTCTACAGCGAGAATAAAGGGGATAAACTTACCTTGATTGTTCTGTTGCGACGAGTCCACGCCTTTTCCGCTGTCGGGCGCGACCAACGACGAGGAGTTCTTCTGGTCGACCGTAGACCTGCGAATAGAAAGAGAATATTAAAGAAAGAGAAGCGTCGGGAAGGATCGGGCGACGGAACGTCTAGAAGTTTGCCGGGGGTAGCCGCGTGCGGTTGTAATTTGTTGCCGATCGGCGTTACCGTTTGTAGTAAGGCTGTTTGGCGTCGTGGTTGGAGGGTTGGTCGGGTTTCGTGCAGGTCAGGGGATATGCCGTCGCGGAATTTTGGGAGTTGCAGAGTTGCTCGGTGAGATTTGAGGTCGGTCCGTCGAAGTAGGGTTGCGGCAGCGTGATCGGGTTCCTGTGGAAGTTCTGAGGCATGGGCCAGTTCATCTGCTGCCACATGCGGTGTCGCGCCTCGACCATCGCCAACAGCTGGACGAAATTGTGCTGGGCGGTGTACGGGGGCGGCGTGACGCTCCTCGGGACGGTCATGTGCGACATTTGCATCAGGCTGCTCATGTAGAGCGCGGTGAGGATCTTGTGATCGGCGGCTGGTAAGCCGCCAGCCTCGCTCGCTTTCACCGCCTCCTGCAGCAACGTCATGTTGTCCTCGATCCTCGACTCGGTCTTCTCCTCGTCGATCCTGTTGATCGACGCCTCGCTGCCGGTGTTCTCCTCGGCCGCGTTTGGCTCGCACTCCTCGATCTCGTTTTTCTTAATCACCAGGTTCAATGGTTCCAGACACTCGGGCTCCATCGCCGGTGCACGCCGGACACCGCCGAAAACTTGGTGGGTCCGTTTATGCCCACCGATACGATTCGTGTCGATCCATCGGAACAGTCCCGCGTACTCTCTCCCTCTCTCTCTATTCGAGTTCTCTGCTCGAATTTAGTTTCAAAGACAAAGGATGGTTCGCGCGTCGATCGGCGCGGTTCGAGCAACGGTGCACCGTCGATTTATCGGTCGTTCCCATGGTCGTTCGATGGACGGCGTATTCTACCGTTCACGGTCGGAATCGTCGTGTCGCTTTATCTTTATCTACGTATCGCGTTCGGGCTTGGCGCGTTCCATCGTAGCTGCACGCCGTTGTAAACAGTACACGTACGCGCGTACATCTACACGCCCGTGTGCGTGCACCGGAGGACATAATCGGCGGTCGCGTACTCGGAAACCCAATCGAAACGGCACTGTTCACGTCGCGCATCATCCTCGATCTTAATGGCTTCGTATCGCGGTGGCCTTTGGAAGCGAAACGAATCGCGGAGTAAAATGTCCTCGGGGCCGGGCATTTCGCGTGCGTGCTGCTCTCCGTGAGATATTCTCTCTCCCTCTCTCTCTCCGTCTGTTTCTCTGGTTCCGCTTCAGCGAGAAAAATGCTCTTGGGTTTCTTTTGTTTGGCTCGCAAGCTGGCTCGGCGAGTTCTCGTCCATCGTTTTCTCGCCGCACGACACGCGTCACCGTCAACCCCCCGATTCCCACCGTGTGTTGTATCTCGTTATCCAGCGAAAACGCGTCGTTCCTGGCGTCGGTGGAATCACCGAGCGGTGTTACGACGATTGATTATCCGCGAGTGCGGAAGGGGCGGAGGGGTGGAGGGCTGCACCGTGGGGCCATCATCGCGATTCATGGCTCCGCAGCAACGACACCCTACCTACCATCCGGCGATGTATAATTCGCGCGTGGGAGGTGAAGATTGCATTCTCTCTGCTTTCCCTGCGTGATGGCTCCTTTTTTTTGGCGGGCTGCGTGTGGCGCTACCATCGGCGTCAGTTATCGCGCTGCACTCGCGAACCGACCGACCCGACTCGCGATGCTGACCGTTCTCGTTCTTCTATCACCTTGCGATCGATCTTCCCGCGTGTCCGGGAAGATCCGACCGGCCGCGTACAACACGCTCCTCGGACACGTGAGCCCGATCGACCCGAGAAAAACACTCCCCCGCGGTCGATTTCACCTTCGATTCCAACTCCTCTCTGGGAGCTTCTCCTTTCCGACGATCCGGTATCTATTCAACGTTCTCACCTTACCGAAGCACGTGGCCCGATCTCGAAGGTCAAAATGGACGACCGGAGTGTGTGCCTCGGCGTCGACGGCTCGCCGCGTCCCGTCTACGTCGCTCGTAAAAGCCTGCCGGCGGCGTCCCGACGCGTCCTCGTCGTCGCGCGCGATGCTCCCCGCCTCGAGAACGTTCCTCGAGCCAGCTGATCGTCCATAGTACGCGTGCCTCGAATAAGGAGAAACCTCGACCGCGACCATGCGGTTTTGTATACGCTGTTCGGACCAGGCGATCGGCCGGGTACTAATGCAAATTAGAAATCTGTTTAAGAGGGTAATGATCAATACATAACCGGCGGCGGCTGCGACGGTGGCGGCGGTGGCGGCGGCGGCGGCGGCGGCGGCGGACGGCAGGCGCAGACGCTGTGCGAAGAGAGTCATTCAATAAGTGTTATATACGCGGCTCGCCGGCGAAGGGGGAACGACTGCACGAGGGGTTGAATACCCCGGGACGTGCTACCCCCTATGGTCGACCCTGAAACTACCCCGTCAAACTCTGATCGCTCCACGCTTCTTTATCAACGGACGGGACCGTCCAGGATTCATCCCAGCCGCGGTTACACGTTTCCCTTTATCGATGCAAGGTTCCTCCCCTGTTTGGTAAAACGTTACACGCTCAACCACCCGCCGTGCACTCTATACACTCGACCTCTTGGTTACTTTCCATCCAAACTCTTCGTTTCTTTCTCATTATTATCGTTCGGCAATGTTTTCTATCGAACTGATTGGACAATGCACCCCTGAGATGCGTGCCAATTTTTGTTGCGTTCAGGGTGGTCTACCCCCTTAATACTGTAGTTTGATTCCGAAATTTGTCGCGTGGTTTCCGCTTCACCGAGACGATCTTCCGTTTCCGATCCACGGTCGAGTAGAAACTTCCTGTTGTATCATCGGGCGCAGTCTTTCGCACCCCTTCGTTTCCGCCCGATATATATCGAATGTCCTCGTGCATCCAGCGAATTATCGACTGGCGCTCTCCACTCGTTCTTGATACTATTTTGTCGCCTTTGATGTTTACCAGGCCCTGCGAGGTGCACAGAGCGGGCGAAATGCTTCCCGCGCTATCGCCTAGAAGTCGTCGTCGTATCGGCGCGTTTCACGAGTATTTTAAAGAAACAAAGTCCCGATAAACTTCGACTCCGTTACAATTATAACGGAAGGTGGAAAGGTCAGGAAGCGAGATAGGAAACGTGGGATTCGCCAAACTAGAGTGTTCGATATCTAGCGAACGGTTCAGGCGCGATAGTGTCACGCTAGAAAAAAAAACAAACCTGTGATTATGATCCAAGTTGGAATGGTCCGTTTTAGGCGTCGAGGGTACTAGCGTGTGGGACGTTAGTGCGTGCGCGTGCGGACTCAGTCCCGGATGCGGTGGCATCAGACCCGTCGGCGAAAACCGGTAGAGATCGCTGGAAAATTACGAGAATTGGTAATTTGCGAGCTTTTGAACCAGGCGTCGGGAGCTTGATCGAAACGTTCGACGATAGCAATTAATTCGCGCGCAGCTCCGATCGAACGCCGAATAGAGTAGAAACGTAACTAGGAACCGGAGTTCACGGTGCAAGTTAAACTCGACAAATCCGACTTCGATCACCTACTAACCTTGGTAAACTAGAAGTCGTGATGGGCAAACTCGTGGGGTACGGACTTCGGAAACCAGCGCTTGCCGGGGAGATAGGGTACATGCTTGGTGTATGCCTGAAAACGAAATCATGACGCGTCAAATGAGATCTTTGGCCCGAACATATCTGTCAAATTTCCATCGATCAATCGACTTAGAACAATGCGTCGTTGGTGCTCGTCTCGCTGTCGTGAGAGTTAAAGAACAACATTTATTACACCCTGCAACATCCCTATAAGACTTTCAAGAGTTTTTCAATCGTGTACCAATCTCTATTGTAACGCACAATAAGATTCGATCAAGCCCTCCTCCTCTCGATCAACGCGGTTCCGGACCTATCGCAATCTTTTCTCCGTTTCGTCGCTCTGGTCGCGAAGCGCCCCGAAACGCGGACATCTTGGAGGGCAGCGTGGGTCCCGCCGGCGTTTCCTCGTCGCGACGCCGAGAAAGGCTCGAGCCAAAGAACGCGCGGGGGCCGCCCCTCCTAATTGAGAAGAACGTGCCTAATCGTCCGTGGAAAATCTCAATTTAGGGCGGTTCGGGCAGAAAGCAAATAACAAGGAGGGAGGCTGAGGAGGGTCTGTGACCCGATGCTGGCCGTGCGTGAGCCCGGTGTGTGTTATGGCGGCCGGTGGACGACGATAACGGCCGACGGTGATGGTGGTCGTGCTCGATCTAATAGACCGGAACTGAGAGGATGACCAAATAGGAGACGCGGACCGGGACGGCGTGATTTTCTCGAGAAATACGAGCGCCGAATCGGGTATTCGCGTCCTCAGCCGGACCGTGGCCGTTATTCCGCGTCGGTTGATCGTCGTCTGAATGGCGCGCTGCAAGTCGGTTGAAAGGGAGGCAAAAGACGGGCTCGAAAAAGGAATTCGAATCGTTGGTACGCGTAGGGGGTAAGATCAACGACCGATCGAGCGCGTTTCGCGTGTAAATCGAAACGCTTGGCGAAACCTAAAAATCGAGTCGCGAGGGAAAGTGCACGTAACGAGATCAACGGACCCTGGATCAAACCGGGAATAAACGTTGGGGAAAAATCGTAATTCGAGTCTTTTGTACGCGCACGCGCCCCGATTCCAGACCTCGTTCGCCGAGTTAATCGGTTCTTTTATCCGTGAGACGTCGAGTAACCGCCGCGGTGGATCGATCCGCTTGAAAAACCCTCGGAAGTCAAAGATGCGATTCATTATCCGGCTATTTTGCCAGTGACGTTTTTCAATCGGCGAAAGCGACCGACGACTTACCAGGAAGCGGCGACTTGCGTCATTTCCGGGCTAAGCATGGGGTACGGATATTGACCCGTGGAGAAGGGATACATCGGCGCCCTCGTCAAACCTAGAACAGAAACGAGGATGTTGTTTGAATTTTCTGAACGCGTAGAGATCTGCTCAGTCTTACAAATTCTCACAAATAAAACTGTTATTATCGAATCGTTTCGAGCAATTACTTTTAGACGTACGTACAACGTAACCGTCGCACCGCACGATTCGATCGTTCTGATTATATCTGTAATAAGGCGATTAATTATTGAGCTTGGAGTTTGCTTCCGGTCGTGATCGTTGATTATACACACAGGGAGGATGGTTGCCGCAGGAAACAACCGCAATTTGCCTACGACGCTTTTTGACGGATCAGCTTCGTTTGTCGCGATACGATGTTCCGCCGTCAGCATCGTACTCGTTGGTCCCGTATTGACGGATACAGAATAAACATTATTACGGGGGAGATCAAAGAAGTACGCTTTCGATCGGAGGAAAGCGGGATTATGTGTTTAATATCAGGATGGTTTGCATTACAAACACGAACCGGATGACCCGGCGAGTGGGCATCGATCGTCGACTATTTTCCATGATCACACGGTACGCAATGTTCGCAAATCCGAGCGTTATAAACAATCAGTGCTAACAGTAAGCTAGCAGAACTGTTTATCAACGGCCTTGCAACTCCTCGGAAGAATCGATTATCCAAGTAAAAATTCCGGTGACTAACAGGTCGCGTAATATGTCTTTGGTACTTTATTACTCAACTATTGATCGAGAGCAACGATTTATAGATCGCTACGTTATACATGCACCGGACTTGAGTGTGAATATGATCTTGGTCGTTCTATCAACGAGTCACGAAAAAGGGGTATTAATGGAAGATTCTAGAGGCCAAAATGAGACGAAAATCAAGAATACTAATTTGTTGATCGAGGCTTCGTTAAGAAATTATTAATATTTAAAGTTCCGCCCGTACTGAATTTTTTTTCTCGAAAGTGAGTAGGATTTCGGGGGTATGTGTATTCACCAAAAATGATTGTAATTGACCCCCGTAACCAAAAATAATTTTTCCAGAACGATTTGAAATTTTTTTGATTCTGCGAAAAATTCCTCACCTTCTCGAATTTTTTTCTAGAAAGTGGGAAGTATTTCGGGGATATGTGTATTCACCAAAAATGATTGTAATTGACCCCCGTAAACGAAAATAATTTTTCCAGAACGATTTGAAATTTTTTGATTCCGCGAAAAATTCCTCACATTCTCGAATTTTTTTCTAGAAAGTGGGTAGGATTTCTGGGTTATGTCTATTCACCAAAAATGATAGTATTTGACCCCCGAAGGCAAAAATAATTTTTTTATAACGATTTGAAATTTTTTAATTTCGCTGAAAAGTTTCACCTGCTCGAATTTTTTTCTCGAAAGTGCGTAGGAATTCGGGGGGTATGTCTATTCACCAAAAATGATTGTAATTGACCCCCGTAACCGAAAATAATTTTTCCAGAACGATTTCAAATATTTATTTTTTCGCCGAAAAATTTCACACTTCGAATTTTTTTCTCGAAACTGGGAAGGATTTCGGGGGTATCTGTATCCACCAAAAATGATTGTAATTGACCCCCGAAGGCAAAAATAATTTTTTTATAACGATTTGAAATTTTTTAATTTCGCTGAAAAGTTTCACCTGCTCGAATTTTTTTCTCGAAAGTGCGTAGGAATTCGGGGGGTATGTCTATTGACGAAAAATGATTGTATATAACGCCCACAGCCAAAAATAATTTAATAACATTTTAACGAAGCCTCGATCAACAAATTGATATTCTCGATCTCGGTCTTATTTAGGCCCACAGAATGTCCCATTAAAATTGTACCCAGGGGTGGTCGAACACCCTGTATACGCATCAGCTTTTATAGCAGTGATATCTAATATAACCGGTACGTGCTATGGAGTCGATCGCGTCCCGAAGAGCTCCCAGAAACCGTCGGATGCCGGTGTAAGTGGGGTGCTGCGCCTTTGGCGAGGCGAAGTGTAATTGGCTTCATAAGGGTCGACGAGAAGCTACCGGAATATCGGCAAGCCTGAAACCGCTTGACGAGGCCAATACTTCTCCCTCCCGTGTCGCTTCTCTTTCCATATCGTTCTCGTTGTGGCGCACGGACGGACTGGATGGACTCTCTTTTCACTTTCGTCCCCTGCCCCCCCCCCCTCCTCTGCCCCTTGTTGCTGCTTCTCTGCTCGTCTGGTGCTCCTTTTTGCGTTTCGCGGTTGAATATGTCCCGGAGGCGTGTTCCTCTGCCACCCTTCTCTCTGTTCGTCGCTTGAAATCGGTCAACGCGTGGTTTTCCACGATAGGGCCACTTCGGGCCACCCATGGATAACGACCGTCTATCGCTGAACCGTAAAGAGATCGGTCTCGGGGCCGAGAGCCCTGTTTCTAGCTCGATTCTCGGAATGAGAAGCGAGGAAAGACCGGGGGGGCAGGATTCCTGGACAGATTTTACCTACCCTTTCGTCGACACATCGAACACTGCCCAATTAAATACTTATTTTCCTATCGATAACAGTTTTTTTTTCTCTCGTGCCTCACGGAACACCCGCGTTCCTTTTCGATCGTTTTCGAAATTCAACTTTCACGACGACCAAACGTCAAAGTCGATTTATTTCTGTTCTGTATGGGGGGGTAGGGACGGCTCCAAAGTACCTGGGACCGGAAGAATCAAAGCCCGGAAGGGAAGAGAAGACGACGGAGTCGATATCGGTACAACAGGGTTGGAGAGCGACGGTCGAAAGGGGTTGGGAGTCTCGCAAACGCAGGAAAGGGTCGTTATCTGTCCGATACCGTGTACGAATAAGGCAAGGGACGAGAATTAGAAAGTACGATCCGTGGTAGAGAGCAGAAGAAAGCGGATGATATATATGTATTATACAATATAAGGGAACCGTGACGTAAGGAGGTCGGAGGGGGGGGGGGGGAGGGGGCTGAAGGATGGCAGAGGTGAGTCGAAAGGGGTGGCTCGTAATATCCTGGCGAGTCCGCGAGCTCCGTCATGTGTGCTTAATCACTTTCCAGTCGACTCGGCAGTCTGCAACCCCATTATCGGGGTCTCACCACCCGGAAAATTACTCTTTTATTCTCGAACAACTCGAGCTCCCGGTGTTCCGTACACCGCGATATTCTCTGTCTTTCCACTAACCCCCCCTGCCCTTTCCGTCCCGCCGCCTCTGTTCCTTTCCTTCCCTCCGGTCGACGACTTGGATAGTTTTCGACTTTTTTCCCCGCAGCGGGTCCCACGGCACGATATCACCGCGTCTATTTCGCTCTATTAGAGGCTATCGTCGTCAGCATGTACTCGGCTGTGGTTTTCAGCCTGGAAGAAGAGCCACGCGTGTCTCGACGAGGAAGGGAGCACGGCTCTCTCTGGGGGAGAAATTAGACAAAGGGACGATCCACGAAACGGAGCACGATTCGGTGATCGTCAGCTACCTTCGCCCCTTCAACCCTCGACCGGTGAAAATTATTTGTTTCGAAATCGTCAAATTTCAAGGAACTTTAAGTACGGAATCTAAACCACGTTTCGTTTGTGGGTTAGGTCTTGACATGTCTCCTCGAGTTCCACCCCCGTTAGATCAGAGGCTCCGGTGAAAGGAGAGGATCGAGTGGTATTTTAACACTCGAACAGAAGGGAAAGAGTATTTACGCCGACGCTACGATACGAGAAAACCTCCACAGAGATGGCCAAGCGATCGTTCTTAACGACCACGAGGATCAAAGAATCTGCTCTTGTCGAGGATTACGCGTCGGAAGGATCGCAGCTGGTCGCATTCATGCGACGAGGGATGCAAACAAAGTACAGTTATCGCTATGACAGCCCTACGTTACGAAAGCTTACGACCTATTTATTTTGAGAAATTAAACGCAATTTAATTGATGTATATACACACATTGAAAAATAATTCGAATTAAATTCGAAACATTGAAATCGTCAATAATTCTCCTGGTTATATTTCACCAAAATGTTCCGGCACTCAACGTGTTAATTAAACATGTAAATGTAAATTTCATCGAATCACAACTCGTCGGCTGTAAACATATACGAGAAAATGTCTCCCCATACTCGTTCGTTATTCTACGAAATTTTCATTACAAATTTTTGTGAATTGTACTTAAGTAATGGTGAAAATTTGTAATCGTTGGAGATTCGGGGCTAACAAACGGGGGGGAAAAACGAATCTAGGAGGCACCGGTCTCGCGATCGCCGAGAAAAAGGAGGACAGTCTCGCAGGGGTTGGCGAAAGAAAAGGAAAATTAAGCGGATCAATGGCGGAGTTCCGGCGAAACGTCGAGATCCTCGTTTCTCTCCGTTCAACCCCTCCGTACTCTAACCTTCGTCGCCCCCCCCCCACCCCACCCCCGGGTTCTGTCTCCTCTTCCATGGAACCCTGAAACAAACACGCGGCGGAGATCGAAAAGTGGAGCTAATTAGAAATATATTCGTGGAAGCGAGAGAGTGGCGCGCGAGTGGGCCGACATCGCGTAGACGCGAGGGGTTGAAGCCCGTGGAAGCTCCGAGGAGGATAGGGAAACGAAGGAAACGGAAGAGAAGGCGAGAGAACCCGGGGGGTGAAAGACGGGCCGGTAACCGAGACGGTGGAGAACGAGAAAGAAGGGGGAGAGATTTGAAGGAGAAATAGGAAGGGATGGCAGGGGTGGCGGTGGTCTTGGTCGGGTGCTACGTAGCAGGAGAGAACGGGCAAGTGGGTGGCTGGCGAACAGGAACAAGGGACGACGGAGGGACAGAGAACGGTATCGTTCGGTGAGCGACGGAGGGGCGAAGGGGGTGAAGCTCGAGCCCAGGGTGGAGGAAGGAAGCCGAAGGGTCCGCGCGGGCGAACGGGGTGGGTAAAATGCTCGCTCGTTTGCAAGACAAAGAACCCGAGCCGCCGCACGAACTCGTAGTCGTGCATAAACGCTATCAACCCCATCTACATATTCCAGGGACCGAGGGAACTCTACGGAGGCGGAGGCGGGGGCGAAAGCGAGGGCTAGGGCGAGGGCGAGGGTGAGGGTGAGGGCAAGGACCAGGGGGAGGGGGGCGTGAGGGGATCAGCTGCAGGGAGGCCCGAGGCAAGAGAGGAGACAAAGATAGCGCGCGCGCAAACACGTCCAAAGTCTCCCGGCCGTGACTCCGCGTCGGTGAAACGATACCCGGAGCCTTTCGAGAGCTAGCCCCGACGACGATAACCGACGATGGCTCTCGCCAACCGAATTAGAATCCTTCCCTTCTCAAGATTTTATTGCCAGGATTCGCGGACTAATGGAGCGTAATTAGAGTTATCGACGCCCGAAAAACCTGGGCTTCTTCGATCGCCGTTCGGTCCAACTAGGCCATGGACCAAAAAGTAATAGAATCATTAACGAAGAGTTTTTGCGAAATACTTCTGCACGTTTCGCTGTTCATCCGTGGCTGATGATCAAAGGTTCCTCGTTGTAGATATATCGATAGCAGCATCTCTACGCAAATCGTATAAAGGAAAGCATCGTTTCCATACCTTGGAGTTGATCTCGATATTAAAAGAGAACAATAGAATTATTTGATATTAACGAGGATTAAAGACTGATGGATAGACTCCCTACTTTCTTTGGCATCGATATTTCAATCGATAATAATCAATTGCACGGAGACGGGACAGTTTGCACATTTAGGCTACCAAATGCAGGTTAACGTTTGTTTCCCTCCCCCATTCCACGCACAATGGGTTGTTGTTGGGGATCTTAGTTATCAACGGACCCTCGTGGAAACGTCCCGCTGGTCGAACCGTCGCGAAATCTTTTAATACATCGGAAGCTACATCGGTCATCGATTGTTAATCCACACTGGCTGCAGAGTTGATAGCAAGGGGTTCCGTTTGTCAGGGGAGGCGGTCTCGGGGGCGGGTGTAACGAGGGTAGGAAGGAGAGAAGCTGTAGAAATAGAGAGGCGGGTTGAAACCCCCTTGACCCGGCGCCAGAGGGAGGCTGCATGCCTGGCTGATTAGCCTAATGGTGAGTCCTCCTCTTATTCTCCTACTTGACGCCAGTTCGCGAGCCTCTCTTCTCTCTCTTATCCCACCACCGCTTCCGTTCTCACCCTCTCTCCTTTTCCCTTAACTCTTCGGTCTGTCTCTGTCTCTGTCCTCCCTTCGGGGACGCCTCGTGCTCTCCACATCTCCGTTCGAGCAGCACAAGCATCGGGGCTCAGACTCTTGACTCGATAAGAAATATTCCTTCAATTAGAACCCCGTAGGAATATCAATGTTTGCACGGCTACCAACAACGAACGACCATCGCTCTTTAATTTCTAAAGCGACCACCGCGCTACACATTATTATCATTATTTTCACAATGTTTCAAGAACCCAAACCTACGCTACAATAGGTTAGTTTCTTATCGATCGAGAAGCTGATTCGAAACCGTAAGAGAGAGGCTGACACCTGAGTGGAATCGAAACGCCACCCTGGAATTGAAATTGAAAATTCTTGGAGAGTCCCGCGTTCCATTCTCATCGGACCATTGTCCAGAGATTCTACGCATGCATTAGATCCCCGAATCGACGCAACAGTTCGCGACGGTTTGTTATTCGGCCGAGCTTAGCCGCAGACAAAATGTGTTTAGAGTGCTGGCGTATGACGGGGGATGATGTCGATGTTCGCGCGGATCGATACAGCGAAATGATACGCGGCGAGAGTCGTAGCGAGCAGACCTTGTTGCTCTATTAGAAAGAAGAAACGCAGGTACCTTGTGTCAATTATAATTCAATATTACCCTTCGCGTCAACGACTCAACTTGGTTGGAAAATTATTGATTCGATCGATGAGGATGTGAGAGGCATGTGTCTTGCACATTCAACAGTTGTATATCATTGTAAATTCTTGTTCGTTCTAAGTGAACCAGTTATCGCGCGGATGATTTATCGAACGACCAATCTTCTGTTGTTTCTAAGGCACTCATGGAGTTGTTAGGTACTCAACGATGGATTCTGAAATGCACCAACCTAGTACATAGAATCGGGCTTGGCTTCTCACTTCGGAGTACAACAGCTTTTTCAACCCTTTGTGCACCAATTAGAAAGGCGAGGCATTGCACGCGGATATTTATTAACAACAGTTTTTCAAACTGTTTACACGTCGGGCAAATCAGCATAAAGCAAATTAAATTCGATAGCCGGATCGATCGAGCGTGAAAGCACAAGCAAATTAAATTTCTCTGTTTTTGAATTCTGGATTGTCGGCTCTGGGTGGGGCATACCAGTTAACACTCTGGAACGAAAACGATGCGTTTCGCTTAAATATAAAATTATGAAAAAGTGTATTTAGATCGGAAGAGGCAAACCGAGCAATTTGTTTTTCATCGTTCTCGGCAGGGGCATAATGTTTCAAAGGTAATCGATATTCAAAGGAACCAAGGAAAAATCTATGGTCAAATGCAGCGAAATCCGTATTCATAAATCAGATATAAATAATATGAACGGTAATTCGATGTATATTAATTTGCGATATCGATTAAATGTAACAATATAACGCAGGAAACGTGAGAGCAACCTCCACCTTAGCTACTGCCACCAATTTGTTGAGCCAACAATTTTTTCGCAATTTTTACAGTTGGTGGAACAAATATAGCGATCTATTGAAACACTGCTTAAAACGATCTGTTAAATGGGGTTAATTTCTACCCCTGTGGCCGAGTGTATCGAGAGCTCTATTTTACAATCTCTGAAAAACATGCCTTCTTCGAGTCGTTACTGTGGAGACCCGTGCCTGGTGGGTGATGAACGGATACACGTGAAATCGGTATCGCTGGCGAATAATGGAACGTACCGTAAAATTGTTGATTATTGCTTGTTGCGGGTCACCACAGTTACCAAAGATCGTTTAACCCTTTGACAGTTAACCCCCGAGCGCCACTCGAACGAAATCCTTCAGTTCACTTCGCCATCTACAGGCCTTTTCGCTTTTTTATCTGTAGTATTGTATTTTCCGAAGAAAAAGACAATTTGGTCTCGTTTGATTTTGCACGACGTCGATTGCTTGTTTGTTTGTAGCCGGTTTATTAGACCGTTAAAGGGTTAAGCTAACCTTCGTTTCCAAAGCAGCCGGTCGAGGCATATTTTTCGAAAGTTAGAGATGAAATTTCTTGAACTCGTGTGGCTCAACGAAGAATGGACTTTGATCCAAGGAATAGGATACACATACGAGGATCGAGGAGCAATCGAGGAATCATGGGGGAGGAGCTAACCTGTGGAGGCTGCCGCGGCGAGAAGACGTTTCCAGTGATCAGGGTGGGTGGGTGGTGGTTGTCCAGGGGTGCCTGATGACCAGTACTCACCGGCCGCTGCGGCCGCTTTGCCCGCATCCAACGTCCCGTACGGTGGTATTCCCATATGGGCAGGCGGTGGTTGAGTCAGATGGTCCCCGTTAGGGCAGAAGAACGGCAACCCGCTCGGATGCGTCCCCGCTAAGCCCATCTTGGTCGCCTGGAAACAGAATCAAACTTACGGTCAGCGATCGGCTCTCGAAGCTAAGGTTACCGGTCGCATTCGCGACGACGAAACCGTAACGAGCGCACGATCCGTTGTTATTTCGAAACTAAATATAGCCTCGCGTGTCATCGTTGCATTATCGTTATCGAGAACATAATTAATTAATACCGCGTCGATTAATGTCCCCGTTAATGCAGCCAGGTAATCAACAGTCCGTCGGGATATCAATTAATTAACCGATGCCCCGGAAGCTTCCGAACGAAGCGTCGACCGGTGTCGCGCCGACGGCGTAAATTAATATTTTTGTCTCACCCGTTCGATCGATCATGTCATTATAGAGAATTGCTAATTAACGCGTCGAGCGTCGCACGGATCACCGCCGCTCCATGATTTTTCGAAAAACAATTTTATATTTTGACGATCGATATTTTAATAAAATACGGGAAGGAGAGAGACGATCTGGGAATATCCAAAGATTCCCTTCGTTAAAAACGGCGATGAAACTTTTCGACCTGTTGTCAATGTTGGAGTGTATCTTACAGACGAAACCAGGGATTAAAAAGGACGATTCGTTCGTGCATTCCAATAGATTCGACTGTCCGGTAGAAGTATCGGTTCGCGATTCTTCGACCGCGTCGAGTAGCATTTTTACCCTCCCTGCGTAACTTGGACAGTTGGCCTTGTTTCCATTCGTACGGGGCAAGGGGCAAGGAAGCCAGATCGACGGACTAAAAAGCCCGTGGAAGGAAATATAATATACAATTCGATAAACCCTCAAAGGGGAGCGCTTATCGAGAACGGAGCTCGAGCATTAATTTGCAAAGACGGCGGGCGCTCCTCGAACGTTCGAGGGTACGTTCGGCTTTTCCGTCCGTCGACTCGACGACGCAGTATCGCCGAATTCAAGTGGCCCTTGAACGTTCTCGCGCGACTCATCGCGTCCCGTCCCTTTCGACCCTTCCAGTAGGAGAAGAACCCTGCCCCGTCGAGCGACAGTCGACGGAATTAGTTCAATCTGTCCGCGAGAGCTCGCAAGGTCGGGACCCTCCTCCTCTCCACCCCTCCCCGTTCCTCCTGCGAGGGGCACTCGGGTCGCGCGACGACGATCGATAGGTCGAGTGGTTGTTCCTTATCAGTCGGCGGTGCTTACCATGAGCGCGGCGGTATCGCGCATCGATCTGACGGCAAGCAATAGTCCTGGATCGAGAGGCTCTCTTTCCATCCAAGTCAACACCCTCGACAGCAGACCGACACTCTCTTCCGCGGTCGGCTCCTCTTCTTCCTCTTCCTCCTCCTCTTCCTCCTCGCCGAGCTCGTAATCGGCCCACTTCTCCTCCGACTCGATCTTGACGCGGCAATGACCCTCCTCGAACTCCTTCTTCCTTACGCAGAGCGCCAGCTCGCTCTCCTCGTCGAGGATCCACTTGGTCAGCTCCTCGTCGCTGACCTCCAAACCCACTTCCCTGGCCAATGTCTGAAGCTCGAGCAGCAACATTCGGTCGTCCTCCTGATCGGTGGACGCGTGAACCCGTGACGACAAGCTCGGTGCATGATTCTGCTGGAATCCTGCCGAGGAGGCGGCGTCGTCGCGATCGCTGGGCGGCAGGATCCAGCTCCTGGCGAACGTTTCGGACCTGACGCTCAGCCAAGCACGATGGAAGTCGGCGAACGCCTCTTTGAGCGTAAACTTCTTCAGGTACGTGTTCAGGGGATCGATTTCGTCGACGGGGTTCGAGAGCCTGCGATAAACGTCGTACGAAGTCCTGGACAGAGTCCCGATCGCGAGTCGTACTCTCAACTCCCTCACGACGATCCGCGTCTCGAGGCAGTCCTTCGGTACGACGAACAGTCTGACCATACCGTCCGCGGTGACGCAATCGGCTTCCGGTGGCAGATAATCGGCGCATTCCGCGACAAGCACAGCGCCGTCGGGGTGCATGGCCATCGCCGTGACGGCGAACTCACGATGAAACCACCAGAGAAATAGGTCGACGGTCAGAGAACCTCTGCCTCCGCCCGCGTAGATAACCGGCTGACTCAACATGTTGACCCGTCTCAAGCAACGCGGTCGCCAGTGACGACCGGTTACCAGCAACCGCGTTCTGTGATGACCCTCGTGATCCGCGGCCCCCACCACCCACACACGGTCCGCGTCGGGAGCCGCGGCGCTGGCGACGCGGCGTCGTCCCGGCAGGTCCCGCCAATCCAGAAACGACACATGTGCGAGGTAGATTCTGCTGCGATCGTAACTCTCGAGGGCGGTTCGCAGACTCTCTATGGCGGAGGCGTGCGCGACGGACGGACAGTTTCTGGCGCTCGACTGAGCCGAATGATCGTTCACCTTGTCGGAGGTCGTGGAAACGGAGGAGGAGGAGAACGGCGAACAAGAGGAGATTGCGGAGGAGGTTGGCGCGCAACTGGTCAACGTCGGCGTCGGTGTCGGTGTCGGTGTCGGTGTCGGTGTGGGAGTCGGCGTCGGCGTCGCGATCGAGGCTTTATCCGCTGTCGCGTCCCTGGCGCCGCGCGACCTCCCTGAGCACTGTCTCTCCTGCTTCCGCTTTCTGATTCTGTCCTGGTCGCTGGTGTACCGGCTCGCGTCGACGGCTCTTCTTTCGGCGAACGGTCGCGGTTTCTCCCGAGAGATCGCGGACGCGGACGCCGAGGAGGTTGAGCGCGCGGGCGACGATACGGTCGATGGAGGGGAGGTCGAACGACGGGAGGACGCGTCGGTGGACGAGGCCGTGGACAGGGCCGGCGAGGACAGAGACGTCGAGGAGGAGACGGCGACGTCTCCGTGTTGGCTGACATCGACCGGACGATCCCTCTTGAACACAGCGGCGGCGGCGGCGGCGGCGGCGGCGACGATCCGATCGCGTCGACGTTGTCTCGCCGGCCATCGTTGCACCAGGACACCGTTTTCACGGGGCTCGAGGCCGCTCTCCAGGGATTGGCGCATGCGCGGCGTCCACGACGATCGACCCTCGCACGCTGCCACCGCAGACTTACTCGTTCCGATCGTGCCCGTTGTCGTTGTCGACGTGGTCGTCGTGGTCGTCGTGGTCGTCGTCTTTGTCCCCTTTGCTCTGGCGTTCGACTCGTCTAGCTCGACGACGGTCGTCGGTCGTTGTACGTCGCCCGTGGCTTCGTCGGAGGTTGCGCGACGATGGTTGCGATGGCCGCGCACGGGCCGCTCCTTCGCAGTCACTTTGTTGACGCGCGTGCACTTGCTGCCACGAGGAGACATCGTTCCCTCGGATGTCCGGTAAAGAGGCCGGAAGGAGATCCCGCGACGGTTGGAATCTCTCGGGCCGCGAATCTTACGGATTCGGGTAGATTTGATGCGCGCGCGGCCGCTCATCCACGGCGTGCCGGCTTCGCCTACCGAGCGATGACTGAGCGAGCGGCCGCGACGCAGCCGTCAAAGGCCGGAGCGGGAACTAGAAGGCTTTGATGTACCGCCGCCCCGGCGCGCACAAAGCGAAAGCGGCCCCGGCTCGTTGGTTGGCATGCCACGGGAGCGGGAGCGGCAGCGGCAACGGGAGAAGAGCGGTGGAGGCGGACGGCGGGGGTGGAGGCAGCGGATGGCGGGTGGCGGACGTCGGGTGGTTAGACAGAGAGTACGGGAACACGGGCGAGCGAGCGCCACGGGACCGAGAGAGACGAGCGATAACCGAGCGGACGACGACGCCGAGGGAGACGGAGGCAGAGGAGGAGGCGGACGCGGACGCGGAGGCGGAGGGAACGGACACGCTCGCGAACGAGCGGGACGGAGACAGTATCTAGCGGCGAACGTGTACGGTCGCCTCGTTCGAGAACGTCCACGCGCGGCGCTTCTGTGTTACGAACGAGGTTCAACCTTTGTCGGGTCCCGACCGACTCACCGACGCTCCAAGATCGGGTTCTTCGCTTATCGAACCAAACCAGGAACCATATTCCTCTAACGTCGTTGCCCCGAGTGCTAATCGATGACCCACTTTTAATCCTTTAGGTGCAGCGCGACTTTCATTTTTGGCCGGCAAGATGCAACGAGGGTTTTTTTGCCAGGGTGTACGCTTGGTACAGTCAGCTACCGATCGTACACTCACGATCACGGTGTTATTGGATAGAGCCGATGCAAATGAACTTTCGAGAGGAGCCCGGTGCCCGATCGATACAAAATTTTGACCCCTTGTAAAAGGCGCGTACAAGTCGTAAAGAAACGCAATCTATGGACGGAGACGAGAAACGATCGTTCGCGTCGGCTTCTAAACGGTACTGTATGTATCTAAGCCTCGTGAAGCGTAGTTACTGGAATAGACGGTCGGTCCGGTCCCCTTGGCAAAGGGGACGATCGACCGAGGAGCGTTTATCGGTGCTCCAATTTGCACGGGAGAGAGTTCTCGGCGTCGCGGAGACTTTTTTTCGTAACTGGAGCGAAAGATCCGAACCAGGAACGTCGACGGCGTCCTTAAACGACGTTCCAGTATCGTCGATACTGCGTACATCCGCGTTTCTTAAATCTCCGCAGCATCTCTGAACGACGAAGGTTGAGAAGATGGAAACGGAGGCCTGCGATCGTTGACGCGTCGCCGATAGACTCTTCGAAGTCGTTTGATCGAACAACTAATTAGGGGAGAGTCGAAAAATGTACTCGTTTACGGACGGTGACCGGTGGGAGCCGCTTAATATTGCAAATCGGTTTTAGCCTTGGGCGCTGGTCTCGCGCATGATTATCGGCGTGTCGGCATTTCATAAACGCGTCCACATCAAACGCAGCTGGTCGGTCGATCGCGATAATATTTGTCACGTAGTTGCGGTGCGCGGCGGCAGGCGCGTACGTACCGCGGGGATAAAGGCTAATCGATCGGTCTCTGTAGCCCAGCACCGTATGCGTGATTACTTTCCGGTGTGCGTTTGTCTCCTCCGCGCCCGGAATTTCTAGGCTCGCATACCGACGAGTTCGCTTCGCGGTTCGATCTGAACCGACGCGCGCGTCTTTCCTGCGACCTGCCACGCGCTCGCACCACCTACACACTGGCTCAGGGAAATGCACCTCCAAAAACTGCCCACAAACGACCAGCAGTCATATTTTCTTACGTGCAATGATCTTATCGAGGAGATGCTTTACAATACAAAAAACTTCCCACCGATTTCGATGACTTTTCTTTCTACTCGTATTCTCTTAGTTTCCAAGATATCGAGTGTGGCTTTACCTCCCTCCTCCACAAACTTTCCAACGGCGGTACGCAGAGTTTAATTATCGCCTGTCCTTTCGATCTTCGATTATCCGTTGCAACATCGAAAGTATCGAAAAAAACCGACGCGCGCTATCGAAACGATACGTAACGATCTTTCGTTTCGCGTATGCGATAGCCCGTGTCCAAAAGGAAAGTGCTCGCGATCGAAAGGAAAATAATCGTAGGGGAGATAGTTGAGAGCCCCTGCGCCGCGTTCGCGGAGTCCATAGCCCGAGAAGGAAACTGGCCGTACTCGTTTCTGACTAACGATTTTAAGCCGGGGGAAAGTGGTAAACGGGAAACGTTGTATCCGAATGACGTGTTGCGCGCGTTTTCTTTGCCCAGCCCCGATGCGTGCAGTCTCGCGGCCCGTGGAACTTTTAATTGGGTTATCTGTCCCGGAACGCCGTCAATCCGCGTGGTCATACCTCCGATACAGAGAGCTTTTCCATGTACCGCCGGTGACCCGAATAAAAGTGTTTCAAAGACGGCGATCGGCTATCTGCACGGCCGCTCGATCGCTCGAACCGAGCCCTTTTTCCATTCTGTCCGTTCCGACCGCCGCGTATCGACAGCACAAAATTAACAACAGAGTTCCACTACAGATACCCCGTACGTTTTATCGCGTAAAAACGACCGGTTATTGCGAAATTATTATGTTTCCACCGTCGTGCGCGCAGCGTACCGGGTACGTGGACGTCCGGGAAACAATTCCCCAACTTCTAAACTATTCGATTCTCGACTCACGATTTGAAATTATTATCGAGTTTTCGAAACAAAATTCCGTTGCAACAAGGTCTAGGTAAACGCTTACGTTTGGAAGGAAGATTGGGGAGAGCTAATGTAGCCACCGCACCGGGCAGGTTATTATAACAGCGTCCGCTTTAGTAGCCAAACTTTACTTTACCGTTCGCCAGTCGCTGCCCCCGTCAATTCTTGGAAATCTTGCAGCGGGCTTGACAAACAAAACTTGACACCGACCGTTATCGATTGTTAATTGAAATAAAACATTTGGGGTTCGGCCAAGTTCGTGTTCCCACGTGCTGGGTATCGTTATCTCGTTTACCCTTCAATTAAATTCAATTCAGGCAACATTTTCTACTTAATTATTCCGTTTTATGCATAATTTTTAAGCAGTACCGGATAGAATTTGTCTAGCTCGTCTAATAAACAATAATACCGCGTTAGTGTCTCTTTTAGCGAGTATCGAAGTCGCGAGAGATTCTTCGTTCTGGTCGACCAGCCACGAAGAGTTTACCATCGATTTAACCCTCTTCGAAGACGAAGACAATGTTTCCCTTTCGTGGCTCGGGAACGGCTACACACGCGCGACGTCTCCATCCGGAAGATCGAATCCGAACGTCGTTCAGCCTCTTACGCGGCGACAATTCGATTCACCCTATTCCGGGAATGGAAAAAGCTGCGAAGGAACCTCTCCTCGCATTTGTCGTACCAGCCACGTAACATCGTAACAGTCACCTCGGCGACGTTAAGAGGGTTGTCGTTTTCTGGGGTACAGGCCGACGCCGGAGCCGAGACGAACCCCGATCAGCTACGCGCCCTCTTTTCCGACGGAGTTTGCACACGTGAAAACTCGATTCGCTCGGGTGGCTCGTAGACAAGGAGACCTTGGTCAACTCGCTCCTGTCGATAGACGTACTTCGCGCCGATAAATATGTTCGTTTACCCCTGTGCATCTGTACTTAGGGGTACGTTTATTTTTCTTCCGCCGCAGGTAGTAGAACGCTTTTAAGTAAAAGCTTCAATTTAGTGGGAAATTATTACCGCGTAACAGGGTAGAATTTCCTACGCGCCAAGCAAGATCGATAAAGAAAGAATTGCAAGAAAAGTACGTTGGAATATCAAGGTTCGTCCGTGTTCTCTAAAAGTGTCATTACTTCACCCCTGACGCGTTTCGAACCGTGCCGGTGCAAACCCCTCGTTTTCAACTTACGCATTCGTCGCACGTTAACAATCCCAATTTGCCCATTCGACTTTCCTTTCCCGGTTTCCGTCCTTCCACCCCCCCCTCGTCGCCTAACTGTGCATCGTCGTCGAGAGAGAGAGAGGAGTTACGTGGACGCTAGAATTCTCACCTTGGTCCCCGGAGGGGTTGCAGCCGCCCCGCGCGCGCGATCGATATTATTTTCTCAATAGAGCGGGAACGCGTCTTCGCCATAGATAGAGTCAGCACAGCGCGACGGGGGCCAAAGTCGAAATTGGCCCGGTCCATGGAACGCGGACGGGTTTTCTTGCTACCCAGGCGAGTATGCATGAATTATTCGAGATACGTTAATCCGGTTGGCTTCCAGAGCAGCCAAAATCCTCCCTCGACCTTCCTTCCCTTCCTACCCCTCGTTCGTCCCCCACTTGTTTCGTCGTCACTGTTTCCCTGGTGCACCGATCGCTCGCGACGGTGTCGTCGTTCGTTGGTTCTCTCGCTCGCTCCGCGGGGAGATTGGAGCCGAGACGAGGTCGAAACCGAGGATTGCGGAAGAGCGAAGAACTGCGCCGAGAGGATGGAGGTGGGTGGAGGGAGGGAGGTAGGGACGGGCCGAGTCGAAGCCAGCGGTCCGCGAGAGCGAGCGGACCGATCGCTGGATGAAAGAGGACCGCGATAGTCTCTCGGTCGGAGAACGAGGAGAAGTTGGAGGAGAAAGAGCCCAGAGGGTGGGGGAGGTGGTGAATGGAGCCGTGGTGCACGGAGGAGGCGGAGGCCAACCCCAAGCCGGGGTTGCCG